GCTCGTGTACCAGGGGCACAGTTTGGTCTTGAAGAACTGATCCATGGCGCTCGCAGCCAACTGCCAGCCACGCTGCAGAGCGCGCAGTGGGACGTGTGCTCGCGAGTTGGAGATCCGAGTTGAATCAGGAGATCTGAGGGCAGAGGCCACGAGGGCGTTTGTAGGCGTTCGGTTTGTACCGCGCGTTTTCCTCTCCCGGCAGTCCAGATAGAGAGAGCGATTTCACGGAGCTCGGGGCGTCTGCGAGCTTAGCCAGCGCTTGACTGTTGCAGAAAAAAAGATGCAGGAAGGGTGTGCGAGCATGAGTGGCTTCAAGCGGCAGTCGCGTAAGCGAGTCCGGCTCCAAGCTGATGAGTTCGACGTCAGGCAAATCGGAGGTGGAGTCATTCGGATTTCTCGGACACATATATCTGTCACATATTCCTCTGTGGCTGTGGCGGGTGTGCAGACCCGACGGCGCTGCGCGATGAAATGGTCAAGGTGGTCGAAGATGGTGAGGTGGCGAGGAGAATTGATGCGCTTGCCAGGATTTCCGAGCGCAAGATGAAGAACACGCTCAAGGATGACGCCGTGGACGTCAGATCGGTCCTGCAAGACGCCAGTGGCGGCGTCAGCGGGCTGCAGTTTTCGACCGTGGTGTGTGACCCTTCGCTGCCTGACGAGCCCATCGTCGCTGCCAGCCAGGGCGTGGCTTCGCTCTTTGGTTTCCCCATGGCCGACATTCTCGGAAGAAACTGCCGCTGTAGGACAAACACGAGCACACAGCCCAGCGAGACCTCTGTGCATTGGTTCGCCTGCCCTTGTGGGTGTGTTGTGTTCAGTCATGCAGTGTGAGGACACAGATCGGCCAACGATTCAGCGGATCCGGCGGTGGATCAACGAGGTCAAGGCGTCAGAGGACAAGCTCAAGGTGGAGGACCTGGTCACCAAGGTGTGGAACAAACGGTCGGACGGCACCACCTTCTGGAACCTACTCCACATGTCGCCCATGATGATTAGCGGCAAGCTGTTTCTGATCGGCGTCCAGGCAGGTGTGTGAGTCACTGCAAGACGCCACCGCGCAGCTGTTGATACACACACTCTGACGTGCTGCATCTTTGCGTGTCTGATCAGATCTGACAGGCAGCAAGGTCGACCCCGAGAGCCATCGCAGTGAGGTGCTGACAGTTGTGCAGCAGTTCTTCGACAAGGTGTGCGTGCCGGGCACTCGCGAGATCGGTCAGAGTGACGACGTCGACGTTAGCTCGCCTGTCAAGGTGGACTCATCTGATGCTCCCAAGGACACGAGGGAGCCCTTCGCGACCACACAGACCGACCATGACGAAAATGGGTCAGTACGACGACACACAACACACATATCCATCCATCCAGACTGCACTCATATTGTTCCCTCTATGTGCGTGTCTGGTGTCCTCAATGCAGTGCTCGTGTGAAGCGTCTGCGTCTGTCTGAGCCACCTACGCCTGGTGCCGGTGAAGGAGCGCCCTCTGGTGCGGCGAATGATACGGACAGCAAGCCGGGTGCGTGAGGGGGATAAAGGAGAGATGTGGGGAGAGTTTTGCATTTTGCCTTTGGACGGCGTCTGACTTGACTTTTGGATGCTGACTGACCAATTGTCTTGATGGGCTGGGGGGCTGAGTCTTCTGTTCATGAATTCCATGTGTGTCGATTTGTTTGCCGGCTCAGCCGGCGCGTTGTGCAGAAGTGTACACAGAGAGAGAGGAGTGCAGTCACCGTACATGACGTGATTTGCTGCATGATGGTTTGAAGCAAACACGACGTGCGTGCACAAGTTCTCGGAAGCAAAATTCCTCGTACGTGCGGATTGTCGAATGGAATGGTTAGGCACCGCCACAGCCTCTAGCAATAGAGCTGTGGTGGGAGGTGACCGTTCCGTTCATCAATCCGCGCGGACGGGCGGAGGACTGAGCTTCCTGTGCCATGTTCGCATGTGATGACACGAACACCTGACCATAATATTCCTGGAGCATCGACGATCGATACCACATGGTGCCAAATGTCTTCATTCTCAGTCATCCGGTTCACACGACAGACAGACAGACAGACCAACGTACGCACCGTGCACACGAGAGAGAATTAATATCTGGTTGGTCGTGCCGTGTTGTGGGTGGCATACGGATGTATGCATATACGTATGTATGTATGTATGATGTGTAATCCGATCGTCTCGAAGGCTTTACAAATCACATATGCATGCACACGATCGGTCAATTGACGAGGACAAAGGTATACGCATCGCTGTACAAAGACACGCTTTGTACACACATCCGCCAGGTGGCCACGCAAACCCCAATAAAGGTAGCCTGTCACGCAGTCAGAAGCGGCTCAGAGGACGGGCCGTTTGTGGCTGCCGCCCTCGCGCCCTCCGTTGGTCTCTGTGTGCTGCTTGCCGCCATCTCGGCTTTTCTTCTCTCCTCTTGCTCTTTCACGTAGTCTTTGAGCAGCCCCTCGAGCATGAACACGACATTGTTGGTGCGGTGGCCCCAGTGCAGCATCCGCGACTGCTGAGACTCAAAGATCTCATGCAGCTCCTCTACTTGCTCGTGCAGCGCACACATCTGGTCAGCACACCTGGACACGACACACGGCCAGCGGAGAGAAAGATCGACAAAGCACATGTGTCGTGTCTCCTTCCTTCTTTGGTCCTGTTCTACCTCCAGAGGGGGCATGCGTGGCAGTCGTCCACTCTGTACGGCGTCCAGTACTCTCTGAAGGAGCCGAAGGCAAACCAGGGCTTCCGTCTGCCGTTCCAGTGCAAGATGCGGGAGCTGCGCAAAAGGGCGTCGGGGATAGGTTTGTTCCGGCCGAGGTAGAGGACGTTCCACAGCTCCTCCAAGTGCTCTTTAACGCGTTTGTGGAACAGGATGTTGAGCGTCAGCTGGCTCGACTCGACCGTCGACATGCCCGAGAATTTGGTGACATTGCTGGCACGGAGGAAGTGGATGACCATCTCCGCTTCCTCCGTTATCCTGTTTTGGCGCCACGCCTCCAAGTCAGCCACGAAGATGCCGGCGTTGAACATTTTGAGCCCGACATGCACCCCCAGCCCCCTGTCGAGCATTTCCACCTGCTCGGGCAGCACCAGGTCCGCCAGCGATTTGTAGGCGCCCCTCCGAATGACCGAGATCATGGGAAACTCCTTCCAGTGCTTTGGGATGATGGGGTCGCTCATGCTGGCGGCTGTGGCGCCCTCAGTGTCGTCTGGGACGAGCTGCCTCCTCTGGCTGTTGGCATTGAGGGTCGTGTTGATTGAGGTGGGCGTGATGGTGAGCTCCTCGTTGTGGACAGCCCGCTGTATGGCCCCGTCGATCAGGAATGCGATATCATCTCTCACTATGGTGTCTGCGTCAATCCACAGCACCTTGTGCACGTGCGATGGTAGCAGCTCCGGCAAATAAAAGCGGACGGAGTTGAACAACACCTGACAGCAAGTGTTCAACTCCGTCCGCTTTTAAGCGATTCAGCGGATGCCTGTTTGCATTGTTCACGCACTTACCTGGTTGTGTTTGCCTTTGGCGACGCGCACTTGCGATGGGGTGACGGGCAAGATCTCCACTTTGAAGTCTGGATGCTCTTTCTCATACCCGAGACACGCCACGGTCTCCCGCAGACAGGGAGGGTCGTCACGCTCAACAAACACATACAGCGTCAGACGGTCGTGATGCTGATAGTACACACACAGGCCGAAAAGGGAGAGCATACTTGGGTAGCCCATAGCCAAGAGGGAGCTGCCACTCCTTCCCACCTTTGTGTTGCGATAGATGGAGGTGATGAGCGCCATGAGGCCTTCGTACTGATACTTGTCGCAGGCAGTCACCATGTACAGCCGACCCTCCTCTCTTGGCTGAGGGGCTCTCTTTCGTCTGTTGCGATTGACCTTGTAGAAGGCCTCTGAACGGTAGAACTCTTGCACCCACGTGGGCGTGATCTCACGCTTGAGCAGCGAGAGAGAGCCGAAGAGGCCCTCGATCGAAATGTAGTCGTCTGTCTCCGTCGCGTTGACCAGAAGCTTGTCCGTTGGTAGGGGCACCTCTGACCGCTGCCTCTCGTCTATGTCGTCTTTTTCTCTGTTCCTCTCCATCACCTTTTCTCGCTTTTTTTTCATCTCCGTCGCTTTCTCTCTCTCTCGTGCCCATTCCTCCTGTCTCTGCTTTTCCCGCTCTTTCTCTTGGTCGATAGCCCGCTGATGGGCCAGTTCGGCTCGTCTGTCGGTCTCCTCGTGTGACGATGCAATCCTCAAAGGCGGCAGGTCGGCGGCCTTTGCCGATGTCCCAGAGCCAGAAGGGACCTGGGCGGCCGACAGATTGGCAGACGATGGAATAGGTGCTACTGCCCTCGTATCGCCGGTGGTGTTGAGGGATGCAGTGGCGGGGAGGGGAGGCGTTGGGCGGCTGACAGGGCGACTTTTGGTCTGTAAGTTGGTCCAGCCCTTCAGATTGGTCCGGCGCAGAAACTCCAGGTTGTGGGAGTCGGTTATGTTGTGCAGCGTCTGCACCCACGTGGTGTGCCAGCAGAAGAGAATGACGTTGGTCAGGACAGTGAAGAGCAGCGATACCGATATCATGAGGCGAAGAAGGCTGAATGAAGATGGCGGACCGGTAACAGACGGTTGGCCACCAATGTTCATCGGGTTGCGATGAAGTTGTGATGGTGGACTCTTCAAAGATCCGCTGGCTGACCAGAACGGGCTGCGGACTCTCAAGAGATGACGCTCCTGGCCTGCTGAGAGGCTGGCCAAAGGGAAAGATGGATGACAGGTGATGAGAATGGATGAGAATGCTGAAACTCAAAGATGATTCTCTGTGGCTGACCACTGGCCGCTTGGATGACTCCGGAACTGGCGAAAACGACGGGAGAAAGATCCGCAGCTACATGCGAGCTAAGCCAATTCGATGCATCCTGCTTCAAGCCCCTGTTGATTGTAAGGTCGTTGCTTACGTAGATCTATCCACAGGTAAGCACACTCCACCCACCAGCCATCGATGCGCATCATCCACTCTTGTGCGCACGTGCCGACGCGTGGGGTGCTTTGCTGACGTTGTCAGGCCCTGGGGCTGCAGGGGCAGCTGCGATGAGTGCTTCCATTGGTCGCTCGTACCGCTTCACGCTTGCCTTCTTGATCATCCAGGGAGCGCTCATCGCCCTCTACGCTGTTGGCAGCACAACCACGCTGAAGACCAAGCCGGACACGCACCTCACAGACGACTATGCACTATACCAGGACGTGCATGTTATGATCTTCATCGGATTTGGTAGGTTGGCGCACTTACAATGTCATGAGGCGGGCGATGTGCATTGCACGGTGGCTCATGCAGGCTTCTTGATGGCCTTTCTCCGTCGCTATGGCTTCTCTGCCGTGGGCTTCAATTACATGATCGCTGCGCTGGCCATCGGTAAGTGGGGAGCACAGAGAGGAAGTGTCGGATGCATCGTTCTCCCGTCATGCCTGTCCTGCAGAGTGGGCGATGCTGGTGGTTGGGTACTCCAAGCAGCTGATCCCGTCAGCATCCGACGAGGCGTCCTTCCCCACGAAAGTCGTCATATCGGTGCAGCAGCTCGTGCAAGGTATGGCCGGGTGCTTGGCGTCGGGGTACATCAGTGTACACAGATCTGTATAAAGAACAGGCGACTTCGCGGCCGCCGCAGTTCTGATCTCTTTCGGCGCCCTTCTCGGCAAGACAGGCCCGCTGCAGCTCATGTTCCTGACGCTGTTCGAGTGTGTCGCGTATGCCGTCAATCTCCGCCTGCTGGACCTACTGGGCGTCAGCGATGTTGGTGGATCCCTTGGCATCCACGCGTTCGGCTGCTATTTCGGTACGCTGCCAGAGACGCTCCAGTGCGTTTCATGCATGTTTTTCATGTCGTCTGTCTGTCTGTCTGTCTGTCGTCGTTCAGGTCTTGCCGCGTCTGCCATTCTCTCTCCCAGGGAGGTGCTGGCCGAGCAGCCCGACAACGCGTCGTCGTATTTCTCCGACCTGTTCGCCATGATCGGGTCGGTCTTCCTGTGGATCTTCTGGCCATCCTTTGTGGCCATCCCTGTCCACGGGGCTGCTCGCGAGATGTGTATCCTTCACACCGTCCTGGCAATTGCGAGTTCGTGTCTGACGGCGATGGCAGTGTCGATGAGCATTCGGCCTGAGAAGGAAATGAAGAAGCTCAGCATGGTGGACGTGCAGAATGCGACATTGGCAGGCGGTGAGAGGAGAGGAGGGAAAAGGGCGAAGGGGGAAGCGGGGTTTCCATGCTGTATTCTTCTGTTCGGTGTGCTTGTAGGTGTTGCCGTGGGCATCGTGGCCAACTTTCCCATCCATCCGTGGGGGGCCATGGTCGTCGGCTCCTTGGCGGGGATCCTCTCCGTCGTCGGCATCGCATTCATCTCGGTAGGTAGGACGTATATATGGGAAGAATCCCACAGGATGGGCCCTTTCTTATATCGCAGCCTGCAATGGAGCGCTACTTGGGGCTGCATGACACGTGTGGTGTCCACAACCTTCACGGCATGCCGGCACTGCTCGGGGCCGTCATCTCGGTCATCGTCGCTTCACTGACGTCAGACACTCCATCGGTACCCACATACAGTGCGCTCACATACAGTTACAGCAAATCCCATCTTGCTCGATTTTGCTCTATCTGTGTGTGTGCAGGCCGTCACGCAGCTCCTGGGTATCGTCGTCATGCTCGGTGTGGCCATCACAGCCGGCCTCATCACGGGGCTGCTGGTGCTCAAGGCCGACGCCGTGCCGCCCTCCAAGCTATTCCTGGACGACATGCACTGGGAAACACCCGAGCCAGCTCTGCCCGAGGGGTTCGTGGAGGCGCCGGGCACTGGAGGGATGGCCAAGAGCGTGGTGGTGCCGATCGGCACAGATGACAAGAATGAGCCCCTTCTTGCGTCGTGATTCATGTCCCTACATGCACTGCTACATCCATCGTGTGACTGACTGACTCGCGAGGGCGTTTTTCCCCTCGATCGGCTGACCTGACCTCTATTGCTGCGGTGTACTGCCTGCCTGCCGGGTGTACGTGTGTCATAGCGATGTGGTGATGTGCATGTGACGTGGATTGGTTGCTGCCCTGCGCCGTTCTGCGTTTGCTTTTTCGAACGCGGGCGGCGGCTTTTTTCTTTCCATCAGTTTTTCATTTCGGGCTGGGCGGATCGTCCAGAGTGTGTTGCACGCAATCAATTTGTTCATCACCTTGTGCTATGTGGGAGGACGCGTGTGCCCTGTGTGTTCACGTGAGTAAGCGTTAACCGTAGAGAGGGCCATATGCATTGTGGTGGGGGAGTGAGCAGGCATCAGTTTGCGCCACCACACAGGCACGGATTCGTGAGGATGACGGTGTGGCAACGCTGCGGTCGCTGTGTGATTGACTCTCCCTCGCTAGAAGTCCGCACTGCCGCCTGCTGGAAGTTGAGATCTCCATCATGCTTGACAGGGGCATGCGCAGCGGGGTGTCAACAGCCCTCGGCGACGGGTCCACAAGCATCACAAACCCATGTCTCATAGACACCCCTTTTTACCCGATCTCTGCTCTAACTCTAACAGCTGGCAGATCTCCCGTGCCCTTCTTCGCACCCCTTTCCCTCGCCATTCATCCCTCCTACTCGATGCTGACGGGCGGAGGCGGGGAGCCTCTGGGCGGAGCCGACTCGTCCTGGTCTCGTTCAAGGAGGATCATCATATGGTCTTCTGTGGGCGTCATTGCCGGCGTCCTGCTGATCACGCTCTTCATCCTCTGCTGGGCGCAGCTGGAGTACACCCAGATTGGCCTCGGTCAGCATGAGGGATGGGAGCGCACACATAGCTCTGCAGATCTTGGTCTCACGCGCTGTGGTTGTGTGCCTGTGTGTCGTGTTTTGTGGCCACCGTCAGACTACTCGTTTATAGCCCAGACAGTCGGCAAGCGGACGTATTTCCCTGGTCGCTATCTGCTGGGCCTCGGACATTTCTTCGTCAAGTTCCCCCGAACCCTCCAGGTGAATTGACGTCTGTCCCCGGGAGAGCCTTTCTGACTTGATGGTTTTGGCTGCGTGTTGCATGCCTTGATGTCGACGTGTCTGTCACTCAGACCATTTCCTTCTCCGATGACTCGGATCGATCAGCCCCTCTGCTGAAAAGCAGAACATCAGGCAAGCAAGGGGAGGGAGGCTGGACGGCACACACACCGCTCAGACATCAATCGTGCTCAGCTCGTCGTGTCGTGCATGCGTGGCGTGTCCGCGTTGCTCAGATGGCCTTGAGGTGTCTTTGGAGATATCCTTCCAGTACCTGATAGACTCCACTAGACTTCATGACTTGTACATGAAGTTCGGCAAGGACTACCATCCCACCTACATCCGCCTCGCGCAGGACCTCCTCACCGACGCGGCAACCAACTACACAGGTGACTGACGTCACGTAGGATGGATGGATGGATGGATGGATGGATGATGGTCCGGATGTGGGTGTATGCAGCCTACAAGCTGTTCCAGACGCCGGCGGATATACGCGAGAGGATGGAAGAGTGAGCAAGGCAACACTGCACATGCACACCATGGTCAGTCAGGTCTTGTATCGTCTGGATGCATATGTGGGTGTGGACGCATTCAGCGTCATGAATGACGTGTTTCAAAGACAAGCCTTCGCCAGCGTGGGGGGCTTCCAGCTCAAGACAGTCTCTCTCCCTCCCCTCTTTGAGCAGGCCATCCAAGAGACAGAGGTGAGACCCGCAACACAACACACCGATCGACATCGTCCTCCACTTAACATACAGTCGTGCTGGGTGCACGTGTACTGATCCATCCATTTATCCATCAGGTTCAGAAGCAGGACATCAAGAAGGCGGAGGCCGAGCAGCAGAGGACAGTCGTCACACTTGAAACGACCGTCATCCAGGCGCAGAAGCACGTGGAGGTGGTGCTGCAGCAGGCCCTCGCGACGGCCGAGTCCATTCGTTTGAACAACCTGGCCTCCATACAGGCCTACAACATCACACAGCTGCTGCAGGTGATTTGATCGGGGCTGGGGGGAGAAGGGAATGTACACGAGACCAATGCGTGTGTGTTTGTGTGTGTAATCAGGCGATGAGCTACGGCGAGCTTCTCCCTTCCCTCAACTCGTCGGTGCCACTGCTCCTCGACTACATGAAGGTCCGCAACCACGCACACACGCGCAAAACGGCGGCATAACGGTGTATCTGTCGGTCTGGCTATGTGTGTGTGTGTGGGTGGGTATGGGTGTCAGATTCGGGCCGTTCGCGACCATCCGAGCGCTTTGGCTGTCAACATTCCCACATAGACAGGCAGGCAGCCCACCCACCGACGATGGAATGCACGACTGAGTCGATGGATGGATGGATAGGATGGATGGATGGATGGATGGATAAGTGGACGGTGTACATAAAGATGACGCCCTTGTTGGTTGGCCGTTGGTGCAAGTGGGTTGTCGGGTGTCAAGTCCCGTTTATCAGTCAGGTCATTCTAGCCTTTGTGCAGCTTGTGTGGTGCGATTCTGATGGCTGGCCTCCTGGACGGCGACATCGAATGCGTGCATGACGTCTCATGACCGCATTCGCCGTGGCCACCTGGCGGCTTCAGGGCCATCGAATCACACCAAAGGACAAGCCATAAGGATGAGTGGAGTGTTCGGATTGCGCAGTCAGTCAAATGAAGTCGTGCATCAGTCCTGTTGTTGTATGGTGGGTGTGAGTGTCGTTTGTACGGTGCTTCGCTCGTTGCCAGTCAGTCCACTTGGCTCGTTGCAGCGGATCGGGTGGAGTCAGGGACAGACGGCATGCCGTGCCCGACCACCGGATCGGATCGTACGTGGTTCTTTTTCGTATCAGACGGACGCAAATGAACCAAGTGTGCTGGCCCTTCCTTGTACAGTATGGTGGGATGTGTGGGATGTTTGATTGATGCGTGGAGAGGTAAGGTGCCCGACTGACCCAACCCATTCATTCATTCATTCATTCAAACACACTGAATGTAATCTGCAGCCACGACGATACAAACAGTCCACACACTCGTCTCTCGCGTCTCACGCTTCACACCCCTCCTGCCTCACCCTCCCTGTTCCGACTCCCCCTAAAGCACCAACCCCCCCTTTTCCTCCACTGCACGCACCACCCTCCCCTCTTCTTCTGCCCTTGGTGGGTCGGCGATGGCGACCTACGCCGAGGGCGAGGCGACATGATACCCAGACCAGCCGAGACACGAGGGGACACCTGCTGCTGCGGATCTGGGGTGTCGTTCTCGTGACTGGGGGCAGATGGGGCACTGAACGTGACGGAGGTTGGCCGGGATGGTGGAGAGAAGGCAGACCGGAGGTAGGTACGCTCTGAAGAAGGGCAGCGAAAGAAGAGAAAGCTGCCACTGTTGCGACTTTTCGTCTCAAGTTACCGAGAGAGATGAGGTGGTCGATTCTGGTCTTGAGGGCGGCGCAACTGATGTTCGATGACGCACTGCAACGAAAGGCAAGATCGGCTGATGCACTCATTCCCCCTGAAGGTATGGGCGTGGGTACCTGTGCGCATTGAACAGGGCCTGTATAGCAGCCGCGAAGCGTCTATTGATGCGGTGGACCACTGCCAACTCATAGAAGGTGAACGGCAGCAACCAATCCACCTGCAGCGGGGAGGGAGGGAGAGACACAACAACCAACCGTCGACAACAATCAGGCAGGGAGGCAGACATCCCAATGAATCGGTGTTCTGACCTTGACTGTGTCGGGATGTCCGTAGAGCCCCCCGAAGTGCTCCCCTATGTCCATTTGCTTCCTCTGCCGGTCCAAGTCAAAGGCCTTCCGGCCCACAACACCTGAGCAGGCAGACAGGGATGCAGACATAGAGTCGACCACCACTGCATGTATGCCAGTCACCCACCCTGGAGGAACCGGCAGATGACCCAGTCCGTGTGGTCCCCAGACACACGCTGGGCTGTCGACGACGCCTACCGACGGATGCCGCATCAGCCAGGAGGGTGTGGCTGGCTGGTTTGTTTGTTTGTTTGCCTACGTCATCGAGCAGCTGTTTGATCGGTGTGAGGAGGTCCGGCTCGCGGATGTCTGTGAGGTGGCCTGTGTGGTAGCACACCTCCAGCCACGCCAAACAGGGGTCTCGCCTGACACAACCAAACAAACAGACAAACAAAAAAAAAGACATCCGTACGTACTGATCGACGAGAAGACGGCCTCATGTTTACATGCGCTGCATGAGGCGTTTCTTCCACGACGCCTCCCCAGAGATGGAGTTGCACACCTGCAGGCAACAAACACAAAACGCATCACTCACAGATTCACCACTGAGGGCCCTGGCGGTTCTTGTCACCAGCAGGTATTGCTGACGGAGTGTTTCTGACTTGCCGTCGTGGCCAGCCATGGCAAGAGCGATGACGAGGTGAGGCGTGAAAGCATGCACGACATCCAGGGCTGCAGAAAGCGGTCACCGACGTTGGCAAAAAGCAAAAAAGATGGACGATCCATGGCCTGCCTACGCTGGAGTATGTCGCGCACGGCCTTCCACTTCCTCGCGACAAACAATGGCGTGGCGATGCCCTGTGCCAAAGGCAGCATGTTGGTCGTGTGGAAGTATGCACAGCCAGAGCGCTCCGGGCCCCACAGCAATTGCCAAACTGAGCCACTCCTGCACACATAAAGGAAAGATAGGAGTGGCGCATGTGCGTGTGTGCCATCGTTCGTCATTCCGTCATGGCATACGTCTTTGCAGCGTATTCCTCGACCATCTCCGCAGCCTTGCTGTAGTGGCCATCGCGACATCTGAAGAAGACAGCCCATTTGCGCATTGCTGAGCGTTTCGTTGTGTCTCCCCCCTCTGTCTGACTGCAGTGCGAATCCCAGGATAAGCTTGGCCATCGGAGGAAACGACTCGATCTGACAGACGAGGAAAGGGGCTCAGGTGTCTCTTTAGTCGGCTTCTTTTCCCCAACCAGCATGCCATCGCGTCGGACCCCCCGTCTCTCCTCGTCTACGATCTTCTCAGCGATGTACGGCCCCATCAGCACGTGAGGACGGCCAGCGGCGCGAGATAGGGCCTGAAATCAATCAAGGATATCCACGAAGAAATGGACGGAGTCCGAACTTTGTCACCAGGTTGAGCAGCTGTTTGCCCACATCGCAGTCTGCGGGGATGGATCTGCCACCTCGGAGCGGCCACATGATTGTGCGGATGGTCAGGCGAATGATCTCAGGGAGGTGAGAGAAGGTCTTCCACGCGATCACGTTCATCATGCCTGAAAGACACCATCCAACGTCTCGTTCCTTCGTTCCGTTTTCAGCATTGTGCCAGCCGACCTTTGACGAATGCAGAGCTCGCTATGAGGTCGTTCTCCACCCTGTTCCATGTGTCAGAGTCGCCTCTTGGGCTGCCCTGGGGGCTCGACGTCGACAGAGGGGCGGCGGTGGACTGAGACTCCACTGATGCCGCCAGCTTGCCACCCCGACCAGCAGACGGACTGAGTATACACAGAGGGCACGTGAACCGTTTTCTTCTTCTCTGTCCGTGGTGGCGTCTCGCTACTTCGGGTGAGCTTTGTGGTCTGTCAGACGGTGTGCCTCGTCAAAGTGGTTGAGCGTTTTGGCAAGGGCAGACACAAATCGCGTCAGATTGCGCAGCGCCTGTATAGCTGAAGCCAAGGATACCTCTTTTTTGTTGTCCCTCTCCCTCCTCCCTCCCTCCCTCGCTCCCTCGCTCCCTCGCTCCCTCGCTCCCTCGCTCCCTCGCTCCCTCCCTCCCTCGTTGCCTACGTGTGCGGTGGCTGGTGAAGAGCGACGGCTCGAGGCACGTGGCGAGCAGCGAGGCCTCGCCTATCACCAACTCACAGATGCGCTGGACCTGATAGGTGATACACACATACATCCATACGCAGGTAGACGTTGCACTTATGCAGACATCTACCTGATGGATCTTGTCTAGTGGGGGGTCGTGCATGTGTCTCCGGAGGTCCCTCTTGTGCCGCGACGCCACCTCATACCACTGACACACACAGTGGGAAGGCGGGTAAGGGCTATCTTACCTTGATCCGTCCACCCACCGCTTTCGCCAGCTGGACGCTCTTGCTATATGTCGCTTTGGCAACCACCAGAAACCGATCATCCAGCCGCAGAAGACCACTGCACGATGCGAAGACACACACCACACAGGGCGTCGTTCCATTCGGATGCCGGTGCATGTCTGTTCCATAGATAGCTCACGCGAGTACGTTGGCCTCTGCGTAGAGCAAGCATGTGGCAGGGTCACTGCAGTGCGGCACAGTGGGCGGCGCCACGCCATCCGACCAGACTGCCTCCAGGGCTGACAGGAAAGATGCGCAGAAATCGTGCCGTTTGCAATGGATATCTGCCTCCTGCATGCTCACCCCTCACTGCGCCATCATAACCATGGCCATTAAGTGCGATGTCATCCAAGGAGGGCGTGGTGGAGTGATGGTGCAGCACCATGGGGCAGAAACACCTCAATTCACTCCAGAATCCCACTGCAAATGGGCTGATCTACGCATCCTCCTCCCAGAGAACGGAGGCATCTCCCTGTTTCCTCGCCTCCCTTCCTCTTTCCCTAACTCACGCCGCAAAACACTGCAAAACACACCGACGAGATGCTCCAAATGGAGGAAGTAGAGGGCGTTGCATCAGCGGCTGCATCATCAGCCAACCCCTGGTCGGCCCCTGTGTCAAGTGGTGGATCCGAACAAGTGCGCGTGGCGGTCCGCGTGCGGCCGCTGAGCCCGAAGGAGATCCTGGAGCGCTGCCGAGAATGCGTGAGGGTGTTCCCTGAGACCAACCAGATTGTGATAGGCCGAGATAAGACCTTCACCTACGACGACGTCTATAATGCCACCGATACACAAGAGGTACGATGCGCAACGATAAGGCCATTCGTCTTGATGCATTCATCCATCCATCCATGTCTGTTTCCTGCCTGCCCTGCTGTCGATTTGTGTGTGCGCAGGTGGTGGCCAACACGACGGCCAATCCGCTGGTGGAGGGGCTGTTTGAGGGGCTCAATGCCACCATTCTCGCCTACGGCCAGACGGGCGCAGGCAAGACCTACACCATGTCAGGCGTCCCAGGCTCATCCATACTCTCGCAGGACAGGTACGTACCTGTGTGACATGCCCATGATATCGAAAGCACGTTGGCCAGCGGACGGACGGACAGATGAATGCTTTGGTTGCCTTGCTATTCTGTCTGTGTGTGTGTCAGTGAGACTCTTGGTATCATTCCCCGCGCTGTGAATAGCATCTTCCGCTGCATGTACAGCAGCAAGCGGGAGGACATAGAGTTCATGGTCAAGTGCTCCTACGTCGAGCTGCACAACGAGGACTTCGGAGACCTCCTCGACACCTCATACGGGGCCAAGAACAAGTAAGTGAGCGGGACGGGAGGGCGGCAGGGATATGGAGCGAACGAACGAATGGGTGGCCACGGGACGGGTGTGTCCTTTCCTCTCCTTCGTGTCTTGTCTGCCCACCCACTCACAGGGCCATCATGATCCGCGAGGACACGTCCGGGCAGCAGATCCTGCTGGGCGTCAAGGAAGTGGAGGTAGGTAGGCATCATATCATGCACACAGCATTCACAGCATTCAACAGCCGCATCGTCAGCACGTCATCGTTTCTCTCCTCTCTCTCGTGTGGTGTGTCAGGTCAAGAAGCCCTCTGAGGTGTTGCGGTGCCTGGAGAAGGGCAACCTGAATCGCACCACTGGCACCACACTCATGAATGAGTACTCCAGGTACACACGCACACACGACAGCACAGCACAGCACAGCAACCAGTCAGTCTCATGCACATCGACCTACCTGTGTGCCTTGTTTGATTCAGCCGTTCCCATGCCGTCTTCACGGTGACCATCGAGCAGGCGCTGCCCGACGACAAATTCCTCAGGTGAGAGCTCCTGGGGCGGGGCGATTATGTATGGGATTATCACTCAGTGATTCATAGCGGGATGATGGCCTTTCTTGTCTTGTCAGTGCCAAGTGTCGGTTTGTGGACCTGGCCGGTTCCGAGCGTGTCAAGAAGACCGGCACCGTGGGCCAGCGGTTCAGAGAAGGCATCAACATCAATCAAGGTGACACAGCCGAGCGACCGACATACGACCGAAGCGCGCCCATTCCTGCGTTTGCCGGTGGGCTGGGCTCGTGGGTCTGTGTGTGTGGTGTCAGGTTTGCTGGCTCTGGGGAATGTGATATCTGTGTTGGGCGATCCCGCCAAGAGGGGCCAACACGTCCCTTACAGAGACTCCAAACTGACACGCCTGCTGCAGGTCAATGGATGGAACGATGGATGGAAGGATGGATGGAAGGATGGATGGATGGATGATGGATGCACTTTGCCTTGCCATGCGCTTCTTCGTATGTGTATGTGTGTGTCAGGATTCGTTGGGGGGCAACAGCCGCACTGTGATGGTGGCGTGCATCAGCCCAGCAGACTCCAACTTCAGCGAATCGCTCAACACACTCGTTTACGCCAACAGGTACCTCCACACACGCACACACACATATATACAATGGGGGGCATTCATTATCCTCTCGCACGTCTGTCTGCAGGGCGCGCAACATCAAGAACAAGCCTATCGTGAACCAGGACCCCCACACCATGGAGATCGCCAGGCTCAAGGCACAGATACAAGAGCTGCAGCTCGAGCTACTCAAAGCGCGCACCATCGTCTCCCCAAACCGACAGCCAGCCGTCCCCCCTGCGGGCCTCCCCGGCGCCCCGGAGCTGCCGGCTGCCACACCGCCCTTCGCGGGTCTGTTGGGTGGTGAGGATGGCGACGATCTGTCTCCTTCGGTGGTTCGGGAGTTGCGTGAGGAGGTGCAGTTGCTGCAGGCTCAGAACAAGAGTCTGCAGGAGCAGGTCAAGGAGAGTGTGGAGCAGGTGGAGGAGTTGCAGGAGAAGCTCACACAGGCCGACGAAGAAACCATCCGACTGCAGGTGAGTCTTGATTGGGATGTATTCAAAGCCCGAGGGTGTGTCTGATGGTGTGTGTGTGGATTCGATCGTTCAGGCACGTTTGGCGTGGATTCAGCGCGAGAAGGGCGGTGTGATGGTGCACCAGTCCGTGCTCAACGAGGACCAGGCCAAGGAGGTCATCGAAAAACATCTAACGACCATCAACGAATTTAGGAAAAAGTACAGCACACATCACACATCACACATCACACATCACACATCACACATCACACATCACACACACACACACACACGCACGCACACAGAGGCAAACCCCAATGCTCACTTCCTCCCTACCTCTCTGATGCCGTTTGTTCTCTTGTCCGCCAATCTAGAGTGCGTCACCAGGAGAGTTTGCTGGCCATCCTGACGCCCTACCCCGTCGGGAGCGACCCCAGCTGCCTCCCATTCATCCCACCACTGGCCATCGCACGAGGCCCCGCCTCCCTCCGCAGATCGCGGTCCTTTCCACCGACCTCCCAACCCAAGAAGGACACACACTCCGACCCATCCATGCCCCCGCCCTACTCGCCACCACTGGCTGGCCGCAGCGCGCTGCGGGACGGCGTGGGCGATTGGACGAGCTCTCTCGAGAGCGAGCTGATCGACGCCGTGCTGCAGCACGATGGACAGGGTGAGGGTGATGGTGATGGTGTGGAGGGTGGTGGCGAGGCTGACGGCGAGGCGGAGGCACATGCTCGTGAGGACATGAAGGAGGATCACGAGTTCCATCTCAGCCAGCGGCAGATGAACTGGACATGCGAGGTGCGCTGGAAGGGTAGCAAGGAGAGACAGATGGGGGGTACGTTCCCGTGTGTGGTTTGCTGGCCATAATCAGAGTTTGGAGGCGACGATCAACGAGAAGCTGCAGCTGATCAACAAGCTCATGAAGAACCAACAGGCATACAAGAGCATGAAACAGAGGTACCAGGCCAGGCAGCCCCTCTCACCCAGCCCACGTACCTACCTGTGCAGGTACGAGTTGCGTTTGGAGGAGTTGGAGGAGCAGCTCTCGCGGACCATCCAGGACAAGACGGCCCTCTCGCGCGAGCTTGAGGTCATCCAGACAGAGCTCGAGTCACACATGGCCATGGGCGACGTCTCAAGCGTCGCATCCGAGACCGTCAATGTCGAAACACAAACATTCACCAACCCCGATGAACGCGCCATCAGACCCGCGGTAAACACCACCCACACACACGCGCGCCACCACCATTGCGGGGGACAATGTGTGTGTGTGTGTGTGTGTGTGACATGCAGGCCATCCCCCCCGAGGTGGCCAGCAAGGACCCCAAGGCGGTTCAGCGGATGAGTCGTCTGGAGGAGGAGAAGGCCCGGCTGCAGGGGCGGCTGCAGGAACTCAACAGCCGCATCGTCGACCTCAAGCAGCAGCAAAGAGAGGCACAGCGCATCGTACGGCTCAAGACACAGCAGGACACACAGCTGCGGCAGCTACACCAGGTCAGCACCAGACGCGCAGACAACGGCCAGCCGCAGACACATACGGATGCCGCTGATGTGTGTGTGTGTGTGTGTGTGCAGGACGTGTCGCGAATGAAGGCCCAGCAGGACGCTTTGCAGGTGCGGATGCGTTACGAGACCGACCGTTACCGTGAGTGGAAGAAGAAGTGGCAGGACAAGGTGGCGCAGCTCCGCAAGGAGGCCGACACAGACAAGAAGAAGGCGTACGACCTCATGAAGACCACCAAGCAACAGGAAACCATCATCAAGTCAGTCAGCCAGCACAAGACAAGAACACACAACACACGTGCTGCGCAGCCTGCGTCTGTGAGTGACGTGAGCGCTTGTATGTGTTGTGTTGCAGGCGTAAGACCCAGGAGGTGTCTACGATGACTCAGAAGCTGCAGCTGATGAAGAACAGGGGTTTGGAGGAGGAGCTGCAGCTCAGCAAGAAGCGCCACTGGATCGAGGCGCAGGCCGCCAGGTCACGCCGGCAGAAGGAGGCGCAGGACCGCATGAAGCGAGAACTCGAAGAGCGAGAGGCCAAAGTACGTACCATCAACATACCATCCACACCCAAATGTATCTATCTCCATCTTAATCGACTTTCCCATATCTTCATTAGGTCAAGGCTCTCGAGGGCATGTATGCGGAGCGCGCCCAGCTGCTGCAGCAGAGGCCCCCCAAGCAGACATCCCTCCAACCCAAACGCCCCTCCACCGCCTCACCACCACACTCACTCCTCTCTCGCCTGCCACAGCAGCAGCAGCAGCAGGGCCCCCGTCGCAGCGCCCCATCATCCACCGAGTCAGGTGGCTCCCCCGTCCCCGCACTCAGCATTCAGCTCAACAGCTCCAAGGGCCGCGCCACAGTCGAGAAGGAGGCCAGTCAGTCCCGCCTTCGGTCGCTGAATGAGAGCATCGGGGCCATTGAGTGCGAGATCGCCTTCCGGTCTGACCGCATAGCCGACGTGCAGCAGGAGATAGCTGAGAACGAGGAGGAGGGCATGGTGTCGGAGGGCCGGGTGGCCGCCGCCATGGCCGCACTCGAGGAGGGCGGCGACGAGTCCGAGATGAGGGCCACCGTCGTGGCACTTACCGAAAGCGTCGACGCGATGCAGGAAGAATGTAAGCACGGCACGGCTGGCAATCGATTTCCGTATAAGCTTGATGCATCACTCACCTGGTCGTGATTGCGTGCAGGTGGGGCCTATCGCAGTCGCGTGTCTGAGTTGGAGGCCGACCTGATGGAGCGAGAGACCGAGGTGCGAGAGCTCAAGCAGCAGCTGGCCAACGCCGAAACCGCGCACCAAGAAACGATCACTTCCCTGCAAAGCGCTCACCAAGTAGGCCGGGAGGAAGGGAGGGAAAAGGCCATCCATCTATCCATCCGTCCATCCCTGGGTGTCCCTTGCTTCCTTCAGGACAACATGCTGGCGGTGTTAAGCCACGTGGATGAGTCCCTCTCGCAGAACGTGCCCCCCCATGTCAACCAGCCCGCCTCTCCCTCTCCATCCCCATCCCCGTCCCCAGCACTCGCTGCTGACGAGCTCGCCTTCACCCCCACACGCATCAAGGCCTTCGCCCCGCTGCCCACCATCAGCGAATGCGACAGAAATGACGACGAGGAGCAGGCCCCAGAGGAACCACCAGAGCGGCCGGCACCGCCAGCCAGAGACGCAGACCGGCCCGCCCCCCTGGACCCCTCTGCTCTGCGGCAGCTGGTGGATGTGCGTGGCCGGCGCATCCGTGAGCTGGAGACCCACACGGACACGCTCGAGCAGGCCCTGAAGAACGAGCAGGTGCTGAGCCACCAGCTGCGGCAGGACCTCGTCAAGGCCCAGCAGCAGCTCCACGAGGTCAAGATGCGCGACCGAAGAAGAGAACAGAACTGGGTCCGACAACACGAGACCATCGAGAGGGACTCGGCTGGGCACTTCGCGGGCCAGGTGGCCGCGCTAGGGCCAAAGGGTTTGGTGGGGGCGGCCGCCAACGAGGTGGACGAGCCACATGATGAAGACGAGACGGACAACGGCGTTCCCTCACGGCCGCTGCACCGAGCCCCTTCGTCGTCCCGCCTGCTGACGGCCGAGCAGATGGGTGTCGGCATCAACCTGCAGCTCGCCAAGGGGGAGGGACAAGGCCGCCCTGGCCCATCGTCCCCATCCCCTCCGGCCCCTGTTCCCAGCGAACAGTCCAAGACGGCGTCGATCAGTTTGTTTGACCAGCCCAAGAGCCTCCCCTCGTCGGCATCAGCAGCTGTGGTGCAGCTGGATCTCATGCGCACGCCCGAGAAGAAGAAGCAGCCCACCTCCACTCGTGTCCTCTCTCGCAGCCTCACGACGTCATCCATCGACCCGTCGTCGTTCTCTGCCCCGCGGCCTACGCCGCCCTCCCCCTCCCGTCCGCCGCCTGCCCCAGTGGCCCCTCTGCCCATGGCGTCATCTCTCCCACCCTTTTTGTCCAAGAGCACCAGCCAGCCCCTGCTCGACTCCGACAAGGGCATGGACGGCCACCCGTTCTTCAGGGGGACCACCCACGGCCTCAAGCACGCGAGGGACGACGAGGCGGCGGAGGCCAGAGGGACACGGGCAAAGTCCCGACTCACGTCGGGCCGCATGCCCATCATCACCCCGGTCTGGCGCATGAACCAGCCATCTGGCTCGTCGGCATCACACGAGGACAGCATCCTGCGGTCGCCTGTCCGTCCAAACCCCAAGGTGGTGCATCGGGGGTCGCCGGCGAGGGGCACGGGTGGGAGAGGCGGCATTGGGGCGGTGGTCGCGCCGCCGCCCAAGCCACTGCTGGGTGGGCGGGTGGCGGCGAGGCCTGGCGGGCAGGGGGAGAGGGGCGAGGATGAGTCGATATCGGTGTCTGAGCTCGCCAAGAAGGAGGAGTACCTGCGACAGCTCTTATTGCAGGTAAGTGAAGTGAGGCACGCAAGGCGCACAGACAAGCGGGGGGTGATGTGATGTGGATTCATGTGTGTGCAGGTCGAGCTGCCCGAGCACATGATCACCGATTTGGATCGTGCGGTGACTAGGAAGGGCGAGCGTGAGAGGGAGCGTGAGAGGGACAAGGGCGACGGCTCGGACGCATCGTCACCCGCCAGCCTTCGCAAACGATGGGAGGCCGTCGAGGAACGCATCCAGTAAGACCATGTGCCCACTGTGTGTCGGTACAGCACTCTCTTCTCTCGTTTGTATGCGTGCAGGCAAGTGCTCGAGTCGAAGAAGCGTGTGGAGGAGAGAAACTACGCACTCAGAGAGAAACTGGAATACAGGTATGTATCTGGCACCCATGTCGACACACACACACACACACACTGCGCCATGGCTGAATCTCATGCATGTGTAGGTGGGAGTTCCTCGGTCGTGAGTACGAGAAACAGTTTCACGAGTCCGCCATCACAACCATGGGGTGGGAGGGAGAACTCACCTTCAAACGCGAAATCGGTCAGCCACCAACCAGACAGACAGAGAGACCCACCGGCGCGCAAATGCACACGACCACCACTATGTCTGTCTGTCTGTGTACAGCTCGCCTCGACGCCGAGGTTGAGTCGCGGCTGGAGGGGGCCAGGCAGGCCCTCGACACTATCCTCACCACCCCATCCGACCTCTCACACACATCACCCGCTGCCCTTCAACACGCAGTTTACACCGCCATCGCCCAGCAGGCCGCTGCGGCCGTCGCACACCGCACTGCCAACGGACAGCCACACAGTGAGATGCTGGAGCAGCTGCGGGCCACCCTGTCGGCCATCGACACATCACGTGCCCGGCTGGAGGTGCAGCAAGACATCGCGCACAAGATGGCGGAGAGGGACTCGCTGTGGTCGAGCGCGGAGCACTTCGAGCGTGACCTCAACGAGCGGATCCGCGAGCGATTCAAGGGCCACTCCCGGGGACATCTGGAGGAGGAGAGGACACGCAGGAGCCTTGTGCAGAACCTCACCCAGAAGGTCACCGAGCTGGAGACGCTACTGGCGCAGTGGCAGTCCCTCTCCCCGTACCCATCCGTCGACATCATGTGGCCCTCCAGTGGCAACGGAGCCGACTCGACGTCGGCCATGAGACGGCTGGAGGACATTCTGTACAGCGACAAGACCTTCCTCAGCCAATCCCCGCTCCACCTGCTGTCCGTCGGCGACCGGGGGCTGCCCGGCCTCTCCGAGAGGGGCGGCAACGGCTCGGCCTCGCCATCCTCCACCCCTGGCCACACGCCCCTGTGTGGATCGGGCGGAGCCAACTCGCCCGTCAACCTCTCCCACTCCCGGCTGCCCAGCTACCCACAGTACAAGGCCATGTCGATCATCCATGACGGCGGCCTCTTGTCGGGGCCATCCAAGCAGGATGGCAACGGCAACGGCAACGGCAGCGGCCCATCTCCCTCCTCCAGCTCATCAAGCTCGTCGTACAGACGCCGCCTCTCTGCCGGTCTGCGGGACAACCCTTACGACCTTGCCCCTGTCAGCGAAGATGGAGATGACGGGGGAACGGGCATGGGCAGAGGGAGGGGTACGGGGAAGGTGGTGATGAGAGGCAGTGATGCGCCCCATGCTGTAGCTTTGGCTGAGGAGGGCTTGCGCATTGTGCCCATGGATCCCTTGCCGCGTCCGATGAGCGACGGCGGTGTGGCGCGGCGTCTGAGTTCGCTCACGTCGAGGGACAGCGACGCGAGCGACGGGCTCGGGGACAGCAGAGGGGGGCGGTCGAGGGAGGACGATAGACAGACAGCTCGATGTACATGAGTGACGGCATCTGCAGAGCATCTATGACCGGTGTGCGGCCTGATGTGTGTTGTGTCTGTCGAGCCATGCGATGATTGACGCCTCCCGACGCCTGACGAACCCTCATGAGCCCCCCTCTCTGTTGATCCTCGACGTAGAGGGTCTTCGAGTAGATGTTGTTGTAAGTAGTGTAAGTAGTGGGGCGAGACAATTGATGCCCTTCATGTTTTGCGTGTGTGTGTGTGCATTGGTGCGGGTGGGGTCGCTGTGAGTGACTCCTGCTGTGTAAATGTCAATGTCAGATCTTTTCTGCACGGCATTCCATTCAACGCTCGCATCTGCCCCCCCGACAGATTCGTCCCCTATGTATGGTATGTCCACCAACGGACACACACGCAGGTAGTCCAGCACCCATGCCATGCAGGCGTCCCAACACCAACACCACACAACCCCCACAGACCGATCGATCACCGGGCGGTCTGCACCAGCTTCGAGTTTTGCAATGCCCTGAGCCTTCTCACAGCCGGGCAGCTTGGGTGATGCGCGTCGCGCGGCTGCCCACAACTGTAGCAGATGCGCATGGGGACATTCTGCGCTCGCCGCGCAGTCACCAGTGCAGGGGGCATCTCTTCTCGTTGTGGCGGTGGCGCCTCTGCCTCAGAGCCCTCCTCTTCGCTGAACAACGACACCGACAGTGAAGAGACCTCCTCAGCAGCGACGGCAGCAGCCGCCAAGGGGGATGGCTCAGCACCAGCAGCAGCAGCAGCAGGAGACACGGGGCTTGAGTCGTCACCTCTTCCGAGAAACCCGAGACAGACAGGTCTTCCTTGGTCTCTGCTGCTGCTGCTGCTGCGGCTGCTGGGCCTTCCTTGGCCACTTCCACAGGCTCTGTGGGGATCTCCCCAGCTGCAGGTTCTTCTTCCAACCCCTGTGGCGCCTCTGGCGGAACGATCGCCTCCCCCTCCCCTTCACCCTCTGCTAGTTCAGGCTCAGCCGCCGCCAGACGTTCCTCCTCAGCTTCCTCTGGGAACTTCTCGGCCTCCGTCTCAGAGAAGGCCGAACTCTCAGCTGCCTCTTCCTCCTCAGCTTCTTCTTCTTCTTCTTCTTCTTGTCCTTGTCCTTCCTCGATCGCTTTGAAACCGACTGACTCCTCCTCAGTTCTTTCGGAAGCTGAGAAGGCGGACAGCTCCTCTCCTTTGTCCTTTTCTTCCTCCTCCTGCTCCTCCTGCTCCTCCTCCTCCTCCTCCTCCTCTGTTGCTGAGAACTCTGATGCAGACGGCGACCGGACCGGAACAAAACGCTGCACCACACAAGGTGACATTGACATTGTTGGAAAAGGTACTTGGTGTTGTTTCTTGCCCATTTCTTTGCCCACCACCTCACCCACCTGCCGTCCGGCCGATGGCCTTCTCCGCTTTCGTTTAGATTTTTTTCTGGCGCCCCTCTTGAGCCAAGGGTCATCGGGACGGTACACAACGTGGCTCAGACGAACACACCTGCAGACAGACAGACAGACCAAAGCATGTCTCCGTGTGTCTTTGTGCAGCAGTCATGTAGGCTAACCTCGGGTTTCCACATCTCATGGCGAATGGCTTCTTGGGGTCACCCACGAGGGCGTAGAAGGGCATCTGATGCATCTTGTCGTGGGGCTTGGGGTCCGTGAGATCCCCAAAGCAGTACACCATCACGCGATTCGTGTAGGTGATCCAGGGGTCATACACCTCTGCAGCAGCGCCGACACAAGATACACTCAGGCAGGCAAGTGTGCAGTGGTGTGGTGGCCCAATCAGGTCTACCGGGCAGCCAGATTCGGCACGCTGCGATGTCTCCTCGTTTGGTGAGGGGGCCCATCCACAGAACACACTCGTCCTGCACCGACTTCCTCCGCTTCGTTGACCGACGTCTTTTCTTCTTCCTCTCCTCTTCTTCTTCCTCCTCGCTCTCTGAGGCCTCTTCATCTTGTCCAATGGGATTGCGCTTACGGGGAATGTTGGCGCAGATGAGCCCCAGTAGCTGCCTCTGCAGCACTGCCGACGGGTAGAACAGCTCGACACGGGTCTTCAGGTGGGGATTGCCTGAGTGAGTGCACAGAGAGCCACAATGGACCGAATTAGCGTTCTGCACTGAAATTCAGGCCGCATCCCTCCACCAGCCACCCTCTCACCTGAGATGACCCTGTGCAGGTATGTGACCAGCTCCTTGATCTCTTTCTCCGTCCTCCGCTGTGTTCACCTGGCCGTGTCCACATCGATCTTGCTATGGCCCTCCGGAGGCAGCCTCGGATCCGTGTATTTCGTGTAGATGTCCTCCACGGTTGGCTTGCCCTTGCTCTTGCTCTTCTCCCCCTCTGCCTTCCTGGGGCCACCCGAACCCATGCCAAACAGGGTAAGAAAGGCAGCCATTCTGCATGGAGGACTTTTCACCCTTCGCTCTTCGTTCACAGACTCCAACGAATCAGGGGGGACTCTTCAGCTCAGAAACCCTTTGGGTTGAAACCCTGCTGCCTGGAACTGTTGTGTGTGTTCCAGATGTAGGTAGATGTACCAGGGAGGGTTCTGTGTGGTTGGCCGTCGAGCTGAGTATTGATTGCCTTTGTCTGCAATGGCCGATGTGATGAGTCAGCTATGTACACACACACATGGGGGGGAGCTATGCAACCAACGTATGTATAGCAGACCATGCAAGTAAGCTGCATCGCACCCACCCGCCCACCCCAACAGGTCAGGTCAGGTCAGGCCCCCTCCTCCCCATCTCCATCCACTGCCCTGCCCCGCATCGCTGCCGACACGACACCTAGTATCATTCTTGCTCAGCTAGGTGCTGTGCTGCAGGGCCTGACGTCAGCCAGGTGCCGCAATGCCTCACTTGCTGAACAAGAGAGACACACGCACACAGATGGGCTGTCTGTATGGCTGTCTGACAAAGACTGACCTGAGGCCGCCCTGTCGTTGGGGTCGGGGGCGAGCAGCAGTTTCAGCAGAGAGGAGGCCCCCGGGTACATGGCCAGGCTGGTCAGCACCCAACCACACTGACACAATCAATCAGTCAACAGACAGAAGGAGAGCGCATATGAATGAGCGGTTGACCTGGCTGTCCAATGCGGCCGTCCGTCCGTCTATACAGGGCCCATGGCCCTGCCCACCTGGAAGCTGAGGCTCTCCTGCAGCTGTTCGGTGATGGTCTCCCGGATCTTGTCGTTGTCCATCTCCTCCGCCATCCTGTGGGTCAAATAATACGGCCACTTGTGCGTTATCAGCCGCCACCTGCAGCAACCAAATTCACACACACACACACACACATATGCTCGTATGCGGCCGGCCTTCGTGTGCTGTGCTCTGCTCTGCGTACGCTATGACGCCCACAGCAAACAGGTCAGATCGCTGGTCGAACCTGCCAGCATACAACTCGGGTGCCTGACAAACGACACACACAGACACACGGGCGCCCATCTGTCTGTCTGTTGGGTGGTGGATTGGGTGCGGTGTGGTGCGCACCTTGTAGCCCCGTGTGCCCACGGGGACGTCGTCCTCTCCCAGCCCATCCATGCTGTTGTCGGGGATGTCATGGCAGAGTTCAAAGTCAATCAACTGGACACTCTCCAGCTGATTGGCTTCCGTGAAGGTGATCATCACATTGTCGGCCGTCACGTTACGATGGTATACCTGCAGGCAGACAGACAACCAACCACCGTGCAGTGTGTCCAGGGGATGGAGGATGAATCGCTCACCATGATATCCGGATCCGCATGGACGTATTCGAGGCCCTTGAGGACCCCATCGACGATCTTCCAGAAATCGTCTGCAGGGATGGGCGTGCAGTCCTCCATGTGATCCACCTCACAGATGAAGTGCTCGGCCGCCTCTCCATGGATGAGCTCCATCACCACCCAGTAGCAATCCTCCTCCTCAATAAACTGACCAACGACACAAACAGGCCGCCTGGATGCGATGAATGACTGGCCCTGCCCTGGTCCCCCTTTGTTTTAACCCACCTCGTGGATCCTGCCGACGTTGGGGTGTCTCGCCTCGCGCAGGCGTCTGTAGACCTCTTTGACACCCGCATCAAAGTCTTCTCTGAGGGAGAAATAGCCAGAAATGCTCATGCAAGGGCGTGCAGCCTGCCTGCCTGTCTGCCCGCCTCACTTGTCTAGCTTCTTGAGTCTGAGATCCTCCTTGGTTGCGATGTCTTCGGCCCGGTATATCGTTCCGCATCTGCATGGCAGCAGTTGACGAGTCACACATGCGCGGCTTCAGGACATCTTCTTACCCGTCCTCTCCAATCTTGTGTACAATCCTATATGTATCCGCCACAACCAACCCTCTGATTGAACAGAATTGGGCCTCTTCCTTCATCCTCAATTGAGGTGCGTTTGACGCCCGCCGACTTTCCCTAAAGCCAGCGGAGTGAAGCTGGGTACGAATTCTTCTTAGGTTCACGGATCACGATGGATGCACAAGAGAGTCAGCCCAGTGACGTCTACCAACCGCACCAATGCAGACAGACAGACAGACAGACAGTCAGACAGACAGACAGTCAGACAGACAGACGGATGTCATTCATATATAAGCATTCAAAAATGAAGCAGTCACGACCATCACAACCACAACCAAGTTCAACCAACCGACCACCGACACTCAGCAAACGAACCACATCTGTTTCCCTCCCTCCCCTCCCTCCCCCGCCCCTGCCCGGCCAGGTAAGGTAGGTGGCTTCCTATGTGGCTGCCTTGGCCTTTTTCCTCTCTCCCCTGGCCACTGCGTGGAATCCCGACTTGATTTGTGAGACGGTTCGCTGTGCGGTGCAGTTGTAGCAGATGAGGGTGTACAGCCGGGTGGCGGCGTCGCGCTGCAGAGCCGTGTTGGGACTCTTGCACATGTGACACTTGACGTACTCGTCTGATCAATCGACACACACAAGTGGTTGTGTCGGGTACATGTGTGTGGTGAGGTGTCTGTGGCCACAGACAGACTCACCGATGTATTTCCTGAGGAGGCTCTCCATGTGTTTGGGCCCGTACTTGCCCTTGAGCACCAGCTGGTCGTCGCCCGCCACCGACCCCTCCGTACCCAACTCAGCCAACACAAACTGGTTCACGTGGTCCTGGCTACGATTCATCCTGGTACACACACACACACACACACACACACACACACAATCAGACAGTCAGGAATGACTCAGCTCACGCGTGACGTGTCGGTGGGGTGCACGAGTGGCTGCGGCGTACATTTTGCATATTTCAGCGAAGTTGATCCACGCGACCTTCTTGGAGCCGACCCGCACCACCTGGGGCGGCTTGAGAGTGTACCGCTTCCGCTGACCCAACTCGGGATTCGACTCATTGATGCGCTCGTACAGCCGAGACAGCAACTGAAGGACACGCACGCACACAGGCACATTGGATGCACACAAGTCAGTCATCCGGATGTGTGGCGTGGTGAGCTTACGAAGCTGTATGGGTGTAGTTTGCCCTTGACGAATGGCTGGCCAGACCCATCAACAAACTCCTCGGCCTTCTGGTCGGCAGCTGTACAACCACACACACACACACACACACACATATACACACACAGGGACACCAAGCATGACGGCGCTCCGCGGCATTTTTGGTCGGTGTCCGCCCACATACCTTCATCGTCGGCCTTTTTCTTCTTGGTTCCCTTCTTCTTCTTCTTGCCAAACATCGCCTTCATCTCCTGCACACACATACACACACGCGTCGTCATCGGATGATCTACGGTGCACCGCATCATGCGCTCTATCGCTCGTCCGTGCACCTGGCGTACCTCTGCGTCTGCCTCTGCGGGTCCTGCCTCGGCAGGCCCGTTCTGCTGCAACTCCGACTCGTCCATTGCCGCTATGCCTCGATTCACAGATTTCTCCTCAACCAACACTTGAACGCGACAGACGCTGATACAATCACGCTTATGTATGCCAGAGAAATGCCTCACGCGACGAAACAAAGACAACAGAGGGGAAGCTCCGGATCGCTGCGAGCTTTTTGGCAACTGCTGCTGAGCGGTGCTCACGCTGGTCATGGTGGTTGGCCTAGCTGCCGCCGTGCCTGGCCCTCCCCTCTGCGTTCATCAGCCCGCTGAGGCGACTCGCACAGACCAGGAGCTCACCGCCGTCTTCATCTGCACAGAAGCGGGGGCTGGCGGCTTGGCTTCAGCGATATGATGGTCACACCTCACCTGTTTGGCAAGTGATCAGAATGATGCATTCACCCCTCTTCGTTAACGGTGTGTGTATGTGTGTGCGTCAGTCTTGGTACGATGACCTGGGGAGGAGTCAGAGCAATGAGGTGAGGCGGACGCACAGCTCGGCTGCGCCATCAAGGAAAGGGGTGATGGAGTGCATGTTTTCTTAGTTTTTTCTTTGTCTTCCCGCGTGTGCAGAGTTTTATCTGGCGCCGACTGCCCAGCACACTCATGGCTGACTGAGAAGTACATCGGCACGTGGCTGGCCAAGAACCCTGAAATGCGCGACAAGACACAGATCGCCACCAGAGCCGCAGGATTCATTCATGGTGGGGGCAATGCGTCACACGTGTCGGCATTCTTCATTGACTTTCCACCAGCGAGTCACATCCGCCAGGGATGGTACCATCCCTGGCGGATGTGAGTCGCTACTGGAAGGTCAATAGAGGATACCTACACATGTATGTCATGCGCATGCATTGCACACCCGGGGATGCGAGGAGAGGCAGACGCGTGGACAGACAGTACAGACAATCCCTACTGTGTGTGAGTGATTGCCGCCCTGTCTTGAAGCTCTCTCTCTCTCTCTCTCTCGCTCCTTTTTTTCCTTCCCGGTAGCTGCGCTCCCTTGATTCGGTTTGCGCGGCTGGCTGGCTGCTGTATTTCCCTAAATTCGATGCCTGACTGCTCTACAGCACCCAGTGTGTTTTCTTGTGAGGGTGTGGTATTTGTGGCTGTCGCTGCACTGAGGAAGTGGGTGCGTGTGTGTATAGGATGGGGTGAGTGAGGGACATCGCCTGACCGACATGCATGCTCGAGCCCGGAAAGGGCTGCGTGTGTGAATGAGAAAGAGGACCGACTGGCTGCCTTCTCTCTTCGTGGATGAAATCGAGGAATCGCACCAATGCAATGTGTGAGGACAAATAAATGGACAAATTTGGCAATGTGGAGAAATTTCTCAATCTTTGCATACCCTAACAACCAACCAAGCAACCAAGCGACCAAGCAACCACACGTCTCTCTCACTCTACAGCTGAAATGACCCAGTGGCACAACATGACTAACAAAGCCACCAACACACCTGCATGCGCACCACCACCATGTTTGCCGATCGCGCCGCCTCCAGGACACAGCCTTCCGTCCAGTTCTTCGCAGTTCTTCTTCTGCTCCATCAGCAGCTTGGCCGGCAGACTTGACTCGTTCTTAGGAATATCACCGAACTGTCAGCACAGAAAGAGAGACATTGTTGTTTAGGCAAGGCGTCTTTGTTAAGTCTTTCTCTACCTGGTTGAGCCTTTCCATGACTTTCTTGCTGTCCTTGCTGAAGACCCTGAGCGTGACGGTGAGGCTGCACTTGCCGTTGTACTGCTCCACACACAGTCGCTTGAGCATCTCGCAACCAGCAGGGTCACAGCGGGCCTGCCCACGCACATACTCACACAGAAGAGAAAGATTGAATGTCTCTTGTGTGGATGCAGGACTGCGTACGATCTGCTGTGTCTTGCCGTTGGCCCATGGCTTGAGCTGGTCAGGACAGGCGCACTTCTCCTGCAGATGTGTGACACGATCGTCCTGGTAGGGCGTCAGCTGATGGAGACACCGACGAGGATGAATGGCCGGCACAATTATGTGTTTCGCTCTTGTCTTGTTACCTCGATAGAGCGCCACACGTATCTGACTTTGAACTCACTCCCCTGATTTTCCGCCGTCGTCTCAGCCAACACATTGTAGCTGGCCCACATGACCAAATCTGGCAGAGAGAGGAATCAGGGAACCACCACGAACGAACGAACATCGTCCTTACTCTTTCCGTGTCTCCCGTGTGTTGCCTGTCTGTCTGTTGGGCGTGTACCTGCATCGATGTCCTTGACGTTGCATTTTCTGCCCTCGTCGTTGGAGTAGTACCTGTCCCACTCACGCATGACGCCGTTCTTGTGGTACCACTCGGTCGTCTTGCGCGACTCCACCAGCGTCCCCGTGTCGCCCGCCTCAGCCACACAACCCAGCTCGTACACGCCACACAGCCTCTCGTTGCCGTTGGAGTCGCTGTCAGGCTGGATCTTCGTCTTGCCCGCCTCCTCGGGCGACTTCTTCTCCTCAGCTGGCCCTTCAGCCTTCTTGTCGCCTTCCTTTTTCTTTTCCTCAGGTTTCCCTGGAAGGCTGGGGAGCTCCTCTTCAATCTCAGGCCTGCTGCAGGGCAGGGGAGCGTCAGCGGCCTCCTGAGCCGTCGCCGATCGTTTGTGGCGGTGTGGGCGGAGTGGTTTGTCTCGTGCAGAGACATGGGGAGGGGAGGGAGGAGGTGGTCGGGCGCTAGACCGGGCAGCAAGTGAAGGACCATCGTGTGATCGGCCTCGCTTGCTGAGCTGCTGATGCGAGGTGACGGTCTCCGGGACGACCACTGGTGAGGGCCCTTGCGCCCCAGACCGAACTTGTGGATTCTTGCAATGTGTCGATGAGCGTCCGACCCGCTCCTCTGCAGTGGCCGGTCTTCTCCATTCGTAGTGGCCCTGGTCAGAGAGAGGCCGATGAATGTCCAGAAAACCGGCGATAACGGCATCGCGTCAGCGAGGACAAACGCCGAGACGGATGCTTTGCCTTGACTTGGTTCGACAGCGGGGGCGTCAATAAGGGAGCGCTGTTCATTCAAGCATCAAGAAGCTGGGGAATCAACTCAGGCAGCAGTGACCTGCGCGCTTATCCAGCGCTTTGGGGGCGATGCGATCGGCAGGCGATGTGCTACCACTCCAAGTACCACCATGTGCGTCAAATTCTTGTGCGATTAATTCTTCGAAGTCAAATCGATAGGTCACACCAATCACATGCACGTCAGGCACTGAGCTCAGCCACAGCAGATCTGTCGATAGTCGAAGACGCCCATGGTGCCGTCCGCCAGCACCTGTATCCATTTCCAGAAGACCCACGCATCGTGGACGAGGCAGTCGTTGAGCTGGGCCACCTTCTCCCAGTCGCTCAGACGGTAGATGGAGTAGTTGCACCCGTGGCTGTTGCCCTCCCTGGACGACACGTGGACGTACGAGGAGTCGAACATGTACGCCTGCATCGATGACACAAGGGAAAAAAGAACGAGCTACACGTCGCAGACGACACATGCTTGTGTGTGTGCTGACCAGGGATGCTTGCGGGTCAACGCGCGGAGCTGGGCCAGGCATCTCGGTGATGGCCAGCTCCCATGTTGTGCGGCCGTCTCGCTGCCTGCGCTCGTGAGAGATTGTGTAGATGTGCACGTTCACGTCTTCGATGAACCTGGCAAGACACGCCATGGCACGTGCAGACCGTGTTTGTGTGGTGGGTACCTCATTCGTTTGTCGGTGGCTCGTGCGGACGCTTACGGGTGGTGAGTGTCTTCAGATAGGATGAGCAGGTGCTGAGGCCCGGCTGTGATGGAGAAGGCCACCTGCGCGAGGCCTGTGTTGATCTCCCGCACACAGGCGAAGTTCTGGGAGCTGTCCCACACGCACACGAGGCCACTGCGGTCCATGGAGAAACAGTAGAGCTCGTCTACCCTGATGGTCAGAGACAGAAGAGATCCACATGCATCGACGAGAAGCCTCAGCTGTGCGTCGGGCATTGCGTACCAGACGTCCTGTTGTGTGGTCTTGAATGGATGATCAATGACACACACGCCGATGATGGGCTCTGTGTGTCGCTGCAGCCGCAGCATCTTCCTCTCAGCTTCACCGTTGTCGTCATCAGCCTCTCGAAAGTTGTACACGTACAAATCCGGCATCGTATCCAAATAGAAACCAATCTGCAGGCATCGCAGCAAGAAACACCTGCATGGCGGTCATGTCGCCTTGTCTCCTACCCCTTACCAGCTCATTCGTGTACCACGTGACGTACAACTTTGCAGGCGGTGGGGGGAAGGGTCCCTGCACCCATGGTCCCTGCGCCCATGGCGGTGGCTGCGGCCCAATGGGGGGCCAGATGAAGGCGGCTCCCGCTCCCCAGGGGGGGATGAGAGTGCCAGGGGCTGCAGGGGGAGCAGGGACTGCGGGAGGCGGAGGGGGAGGGGGATTGGCAGGGGCAGCAGTAGGGGGATCGGGGGACGGCAGACTGGTCGGAAACCTACTCATCTCCAGCTTTCGCGACAGCTCGATGCGGTCGGCATTGGTGACGTTCCAGATCACCAGTCCAATGTGGCAGCTGAGCATGAGGGTATCCTGCCAGCAGAAGAACTCCTGGGGCGGCTCGCACTGCCGGTCTTGTGAGAAATAGTGGCCATTGAAAGCGCCGGTCCCCACAGCGGCTGCAAAGCTGTCGTCCTCCTCTTCTGGCTCCTCGTCCATCGGCTGGTCGGCCTCTTGCGACGCTGAGAGACAGCAGCAAAGGCAACGGTGAATCGATGAATTCACACGGGCAAACAGCAGCCGTTTGATTGGTTTCCTTGTCACTTATCTCACCTTTTTGGTTGTCTGCCGTGTTGGCTGGTGCTGATTGGGTGACGGGTGCGACGGGGAGCGCTGCGACAGCTGCAGCGGGAGCGCTGGCGGGACGCCTGGCGGGGGGAGACGGCTGAGCAGGTCTGGCTGCAGGGGGCGACAAGTAGATGGTTGCACGGTACTGAGCAGTCCTCAAATCCCACACCTGTCGTTGTATGAGCACACATGAAAGGGCGGCGTGCTTTGTGTGTGTGGGGGGCGTTACCCGAATGACTGGCTCAGTGGCCACATCATGACGCCCAGCCCACTCGACGAAGGCACGGTTCCTGCTGCTCGCCGGAGGAGTCACGTACACAAGTATCAGCTCCTGCGAAGACATCACGCCTGAATCGACTGCCACCCCTTCTGCCCTGTGCACCTTTGTGTTGGCGAACATAAGGAGCTGTGGGGGCGGGTTCTCGCGTGGCTTGGCCCTCTCCTGCGTCCGTATGCGAATGGCCTCCTCGTCAACGGACCTGCCCCCCTCTCTGATGGCCTCGATCGGTGGCCTCGGCGTATCGTCTGGAGGCACCACGAAATCGCCCTTGCGAGCAAGCCGCGACTGGGGGTTGATGCGGCCGTCCAACGGGCGAGTGCAGTCGGGCAGCGTCAGCACCTCCTCCAGCTGCACGAGAGAGGAAAGGAGAGGCAGGCGGACGACACCCACACGTCATCGGCCGTGTCACCGATCGTCCTGTCTTGGCTTACCGAGTCAATGTCGATAACTTGCAGCTTCCGACCATCATCCCTGATGCCAAATGAAAGCAGCAGCAAACAACCAGTGCTGCATCCAGTGGCCATCAGACACTCCCTCCCTCCCTCCCTCCCTGTGTGGTTACCAGAAGAGCAGCGACAGGTCTCTCGACACGTGATACTCCCTGGAGCCATGGAAGCGTCGGGAGCCCGGTGTGGCCAGCAAACGGGGCTTCTGGCGGAACCGACTCTCACCAGCGTCCATGTTCCTGAAGGCCAACCACAACACAATCAGACCACAGTGATTGTGTCCGCCAATCTGACCCACCTGTGGAACTGCACGATCTGTTTGTAGAGGTTCTTCCAGTGGTGCTGCGCCGGGCCGTGGTAGGGCATGGTCGACACGTTGCGGCGCAGCGAGCCGTCGCCACGCGTCGTGCCGAATCGCACGCTCTCGGGGCATTGGTAGGACATGTACTCGACCTGCGATGAGCCGAATGAGAGGAGGCTGAAGTCAGTCGAGGCAAAGAAGAATAAACCAGAAGGAGTAGCACGTAGCTGAAAGATGTACTTGTTCATTCTTTCCATAAACGAACCAGAGCAGCTGCCAGTCGTAATGCTTGGCCTGCGCTCGCATGAGTCTGCTGGCGGAGGCCACGCTGGCTCGGTCCGATGCGTCGAGGAAGGCACCGACGAAGATGTGAGGTCCACCTGGGAGCGATGAGAGCGTCGGAGGACCTGCTGCGACCTAACAGGCAAACAAAGGCACAAATGGTGACTTTTTGCGTCTCTGTGTTCGGTGTGTTGATTGGGTCATTCCGTGATTGACTCACCTGCGTTGCTTGAGCGGCTTCGCCTCTTCTCTGCCGTTTTGCCGGCATCTGATCCACTTCGTCATCTCCTTCGCCATCAATTGGCCTCTTCGCTCCCTCTCTCGACGCCATTTCTGTGAGAAAACACTATAGCCGGGGAACAGTGACGCACAGATGTAGCACTGCGAATGGCCCTGTTGCGTCACTCTCAAGCTCGCAAGGGCCGCCCTTTTTCTTTGCGAGCAGAGTGTGAGACGATGCGGGAGGCTTGTAGAGCCTGGTGAAGCTGCCACGGAGCGTTGTAATTCATCATCGCCGCTTAGATGGATCTCGTTGAAACTCGGGTGAGAGGAGGGGCATGTGGGCCGAGTGAGCGATGCTGCATGGTTGTGTTGTCCTGCGCAGATGGTTGCCTTGCGGATGCAGGAGCAGCAGCTCGCACAGTTCCGGCGGAATCAGGAGAAGGTACTCTGTGTGTCTTCGCCCAGTTCATACTGACCATCCACACGCGCGCACACAGACACACACACGTCCTTGCGGTGCATCCATCTCTCTTTGCTCAGTTGCTTGTTCGCTTGTGCTGATTGTGTAGTGTGCAGGTCAACGCATGCATCGAACGACTCACACAGATGGACGCCGGTGCGATGACACCCCAGGTGGGAGCACAAGACAATAGCCTCTGCGTGTCTGTCATCGTCGTGTCTTGATTGATTGGTGCTGCTCTCACCTGCTTCGCTCACCAGATGCTCGACACGATCAACCGTCACGTCGCCACAGAATCAGACAGGCTGGCCCAGCTGGCGGACACTTTAGACGCGACTATCGCACTCACAACACACCGCCGCACACAGGTGGGTCAGTGAGTGACCACAGGCAGGCACAAACGGAAGACCCATACACGTGAAGGTATGTATGTGTCTGATATGTCGCCTGCCTTTCTTTCTCTGTGTCATCAGGCGCGACGGTTGCACCTGTATGACCTCCCCGCCCGGCCCCTGAGCGTCATCATCGCACAGTCTGACTTGACCGCTATCGCCCGCTTCAAGTCGACTGCACGACCCGTCACCAACGCCCTCCGGCCGATCGCCCGCAACCTTCGGCTGCCGATGGCCATCGAGCGGGCGGGGCTGAGCGGTGTGATGCAGTTCGACGATCAGCTGAGCCACAGCGATGTGATGAAGGCCATGTGGGTGGTAGAGGAGGGGGGCGAGGGCGGCTGGCGGGAGGTGGGCGGGACGCTCAGACTCGCTGAGCATGGCGGCTACTGTCAGCTGCCGGTCACTGTGGGTGCTGCAAACCTCCAGACACACGCCACCAAGGGGGTAAGCAAGAAGAGGCAATGGGCGAGCTGTTGGATTTGTGGGTGCCGATGTGTGTTGGCTGCAGGACTTCTTGGCGCTGCCCTGTGTGTTTGCGCAGTGGATGCTCGTCGGCCGCCATGTGGCCTTCCGCCGCCCCAATGGCCAGCAAGACGGCACACTCGAGCTGTTCCGACACAACAACGAGATCCGCGCCATCCGCAACGAGCCCAACTTCACCATGGCCATCGACCCGCCCCTCTTCCTCCCCAACCGCCCCGTCCATCCCTTCTCGCAGCACCCCTTCACCCACCACGCCAAGCCGCACGACCCGCCAGTCGGGAGCCGCATTCTGTGGCAGCAGGGTGTGGGCTGGGGGACGGCCGGTGCCAATGGTGGCGCCGTCTCAACATCGGCGAGTTCCATGCTGAAGGGCCTGTTGCTGTTTCACCGGGTGTTGGCTGTGGGGGTCATCTCCCACTCGCCAACAGTGGCGGTGGAACGGTCAGTGGATGGCACGCAATGAGAGAGCGAATGGCTATGTGGTGCGTTATTGATGTGTGTGTCAGGAGTGTGCGTGGTGGCCACCTCGACCGCATCATGACCCGATCACCGCACACGGCCCTCAACGGATGCTCGGGCGTGACGACATGGGAGGCGGCCAGTGGGCGGTGCGTGCAGCTGCATTTCTTGACGACGTCGGACGACCCATTCATCGCGTGGATGTCCTTCAACATCTCCCCAGGCAACAACCAGGACGGTACGCATGCACACGCACAGCACATCATCATGCTGCCTTGTTGTGTCTGATCGTTTGCTCTGCTTTGTGTGCGTGCAGTGCACGTCACCATCCATACCACCGAGGCGCCAGCAGCAGGTGTCCCTCAGGATGCGCCCTTCGCTCAGCGATTCCCCCTGACGGCCGCCAAACCCCGTCGCGCTCTCGGCCCTATCGCGGCCATCGTGCTCGACGGCCAGACGCCTTAGGTACACGGTGGGGACCACCCAGATGATGCAGAGGGTACCTGATGGTGCGGATTGTGTGGGTGTTGGGGTGTGTTGCGCAGGCTGACTGGCGTCAAGGATCGCCACAGAAGTAGCTGACTGACTGACTGTCCGGTGGGCGGGCGGTAGGGCGGGCTGCGTGTCTGGCGGTGTGTGCATCTCATATCTGCTGCTGCATGATGGACTCATCCGGGGACGTGTAGTGCGCGGACAGACAGACAGACAGACAGACGGACGGACAGACAGACAGACGGACAGGTGTGGCGCGGTGCGGCGCTGCGCAAATTCTGCGTGTGATGAATGGTGCATGTCTTTAGAATGTGGTTCCCACATGGCGTGCAGATCTCACCCACCACGGTGCATGGCATGCACCGTCGCGTCCTCGGCCCCGTCGCAGCTGTCATCCTCGACGGCCAGGCACCGTACGTAAGCAGCTGACTGTCTGTTTGGCGGGCGGGCGGGTGGGCGGGCGGGCGGACTGGTGAGTGCATCAATCATTTCTGCTGGTGCATGATTTAGTGCATGGGACCGAGTGAGAATGGACTCTTCCGTGGACGGACGTGCAGAGTGTCCACAGACAGACACTTGAATGGGTTCAGGTGTGGCGATGCGTCGCACCACCGATCCATCTCTGTCTGTCTGACGAAGCCATCTATCAGTACAAGGCCCCGTCATAAACAAACTAGGCCATAAACGAGGACTGTGTGTATGTCTGTATTGTCATTGCAGAACCGGTCGAAGAGCCAGTCATTGATTCCCTCTGATTTCCCTCTTCGTGTCTTGTGTGTGGGGGCTGACTTATCTTTCAGCGAGCTGTACACAACCATCCACACCATCCACCCACGAGAGCCAACATACTGCCATCGACTCGACCATAGACGCTCGTCAACGCACATGCCAACAATGTCACAGCCAGACGCCGCCCCTCACTCCTCCTGCCTTCGATAAAGCAGAAAAATAGGGACCTTTTCCCCGGCCCACTCCGTCCCTCTCACTCTCACTCACCTATGAGCATCCGCATGAAGCCATGGCTGCACAAGATGTGTAGAGGGCAAAAAGTGCAGCTCATGCCCGCCCATTCAGGCAACGCTGTAAACTTCCATTTCATGGAGCTCAAAGTGAAAACCCAACCCAGACACGGGACGGAAGAAATCATCACAGGCAGTCGGTCGTTGCCAGCCAGCCCATTCCTCCGGTTCCATGGCATCGGTTGACCAGCCCTGGCACCGGTTGAGCAGTGTGTCCATGGCTGCCTTGGGGGGGACGCCGCCCTGGGGAATGCCAATGTTCATGCCCGCCGCGGCCAGCAGGCAGGACAGACGCGACGGCGCATTGGTCAGGTCCTTGGTCTCTGTCTTCTCCTCAATCCCAGCCAGAAAGGAAAACCCCGATGAGGAGAAACCCCCGATGTAGGGGAAACCCCCGATGTAGGGGCAGTCCGCCGTGCCCTCGAGCTTGTAGCTGAAGCAAGGCGTAGATGGCATGGTCTGTGTCGGTCCTGACACGTCGATCTTGCCAGCAACGACCATCGCAAACAGCTCGCCACTGGAAGGAAGCAATCGACACAGCTCACTCCTCGGCCCGTCACGTGCATCATGCATGCCAGTCTCTACCTGTCTTTGGCCCGCATGAGGATGATTAGCGGTGAGTGGTCCTTGACGGCGTCCAGGAAGTCCAGCCATCGGCCGACGCCCTGCAAACGGAAGGCATCATGGCACCGATACGTCCGTGTCCGTCGATTCCTCTGCTGCTGCTTACTTGTACACGCGCTGAGTGGCCTCGCCGACATCAGTGGGCAGCGTAGGAGGTGATGGATCTTTCCATTTCTGTCCCCACTGGTTCATGTTGTGCAGGTGCTGGCTCGTGAGAAGGCCGTCAGTCGGGCCGAGGTGCCGATCGGCATCGATGCCGAAGACGTCCAGCCCTCGACGGAAAAGCGACGGGACGACGTCACCCATGGCACCCATCACGTCAGCCGACGTAGTAGCGCGGCGCTCCTGGTGGGCGCGCACGGCGATGTCGGCAATGCGACGGACACAGTCGAGGCCGCAATCGGTAGAAGGGTCGTAACTGAAGCAACGAATCCCAGTCATTGGTGTGTGGATGTCAATGCCATTTTGTGTCACTCACCGTGTGAATCGTCCGTAGAACATGCTGTCCTCGGCTCCCACCGACTTGGCGGCCGCGTTGGTGACGGTGACACTCGACCCCAACACATCAATCGACACCAACTGAACAGACAGCCGACACGCCATAATGCTCATCAAGGCTTCCTATCGGTCTCTATGATAACCTGATCGTCGTCTGCGTTGCCTGTTTTGAGGAGGGGTTTGACGGCCTCAAGTCGAGCGAGCTCGGCCGTCTTGGCCTCCTCAATGCGCTTCAGTGTGGCGGTCAGCTCGGTGCTGAGGCGCACGGCCGAGTTGCTGCTGCTGCCGTTGGCCGCACTTGCGGTGGTGTTGGCGTCCTCATTGCTGGCTTGGCTGGCCGATGGGTCGTAGAGGAGAGCATCCACCCAATACCTGACACACACACACACCAGGACAAGCATCCTTCAGTAGTGTGGGCTCGTCTGATGTCGGCAACTCACTCACTTGTACGACAGATCTGTTTGTTTCGGAGCCGGCAGAGCGATGACATCGATGTCGCCCAGCTCATAGTGGCGCAGCTGCTCAACCAACCTGACACACACACACACACAACACGCACCAGCCATAGCACGTGAGCCAGACAGGCTTCCACTCGCCTGTCGCTTCACTGACCATCTGAATGAAGGCGGGTATGCGGGAAGGAAGATGCGATTGCTCGAATCGCGGATGACCGCACCGTCGAAGCGGCCGCAGAACAGAGAGGCCAGCACAGATCCCTTCCTGACGCAGAGAGTGGAGCGGCGCCCGCCGCGGAAGATCTCGCCGCTGACATTCAGGTCAAGCTTGTCTGTGGCCATCTGGTCGGTGGACAGCGCCTGGAAGTCTGTAATGCCGCCAATCTCTGTGATGCGCTGGCTCATCTCGGCCTCCACTTTGGTGATCTCCTCATTGATCAATGACGTTTGCCGCCTCCCTGCCGCAATCTGGCAGCTGAGATCCGCCATCCTTGGGCTAATCAAACGTTCAGCAGCGGTCACCTGCGACCTTACGTGCGAGCTTACGTGCAGGCAATCGACAGAGATCAAAGGCAGACGAAGAGAATGTAGCATGGCGACGACAGAGGCGCGCAGAGCCCGTTGACGCCACAAAACAGCACTCAGATCCACAGCTTTCGCTCTTGGGTGCGATGGCTGCCAGTGCCGCCGCTCAGGTGAGAGAAGAGGAAGCTCTAGGCCAGGCAAATCCCTGCACCATGACGTGAACCATTTGTGCTCTCTGTGTGTGGTTTGTCATCGGTTTGGTGCAGATGAGCGCGGCGGTACGGGCGCGGCTGCTGCCCCAGGTAGAAGGCTATCGGCTGAAGCAGGCTCAGGTATCAGCCGAACAACACACCCACCAACTCGTCCATTCCATGCAGTGCATCCAAAGCTCACCGGCTGCTTGTGTGTGTGTGTGGTGTGCAGGTCAACAGCTGCATCGACCAACTCCTCCAGATGGACACCGCAGCTTCGATGGCACCACTGGTGCGGCAGGCTGCCAAAGACACCACACACCACAAAGCCCTCTGTGTGTCTGTGGAGTCCACTTGCTTGGAGTTGCTCTCGTCGTGTTGATTCATTCGTCAGATGGTGGCCAAGGTGAGTCGTCAATTTGCTGCTGTGTCCGTCCTGCTGGCCGAGTTGGCAGATACCATCAACTCGACCATCGCACTCACAACACATAGCCGCACACAGGTGAGTGAGTGACCACAGGCAGGCAGGCACACAAGACCCACACTGATGTGGTGTGCACCTCTTTTGTGTGTGGGTGTCGTGTGCATGTCTTTCTTTCTGTGTGTCATCAGCCCCGACGGTTGCACCTGACTGACGTTCCCGCCGAGCCCATGAGCATCATCTTGGCACTGTCTGACCTCACCACGGTCGCCCACCTCAAGTCGGCCGCCCGATCCATCAGAAATTCCCTCCGGCCGATCGTCCGCCGCCTTCGGCTGCCGAAGGCCATCGAGCGGGCGGGGGTGAGCGGTGGGTGCAGTTCGACGATCAGCTGAGCGACGGCGATGTGATGAAGGCCATGTGGGTGGTGGAGGAGGGGGGCGAGGGCGGCTGGCGGGAGGTGGGCGACACACTCAGACTCGCCGAGCAGTGCGGCTGCTGCCACCTGCCGGTCACTGTGGGTGCGAGAAATCTGCAGACACACGTCACCAAGGCGGTAAGCACGACACACAGAAGAGGCAATCGGTGAGCTGCTGGATGCGTGTGTGTTGGCTGCAGGACTTCTTGGTGCTGCCCCGTTTCTGTGCACAGTGGATGCTCGTCGGTCGCCATGTGGCCTTCCAGCTCCCCGGCGGCCAGCTAGACGGCACACTAGAGCTGTTCCGCCATACCAATGAGATCCGCATCATCCGCAACGAGCCCAACTTCACCCTCACCATCAACCCGCCCCTCCCCCAGCTCACTCGCCCCATCCATCCCTTCTCGCAGCACCCCTTCACCCACCACGCCATGTCGCACGACCCGCCAGTCCGCAGCCGCATTATGTACCAGGATGATGTGGGCTGGGTGACGGTTGGCGTCAATAACGCGCCTCATTACGCATCGGCGAGTTCCATGCTGAAGGGGCTGCTGCTGGTTCATCGGGTGGTGGCTCTGGGCGGCTTCACCGACTTGCCAGCAGTGGTGGTAGACCGGTGAGCGGATGGACGGCACACAATGAGAGGGCGAATGGCTATGTGGTGCGTTATTGATGTGTGTATCAGGGGTGCGCGTGGTGGCCACCTCGACAGCATCATGACTCGATCGCCACACACGCCCCTCGCCGAGTGCCCGGACGTGTTGGCATGGGAGCGGGTCGGTGGGGCCCGTGCGCAGCTGCATGTGCTGACGTCGGCCGATGATCCATTCGTCGCATGGATTGTCTTTGGCATCCCCCCAGGCGACAACCAGAATGATACCCATACACGTGAGGGAATGACATGCCCACAATACACCCCTAACACGTGAACATGCTGTCGTATTGTCTGACTTTGTGGTCTTGTCCGCATGCAGTACGCGTCACCATTCGCACCACCGAGGCGCCAGCAGGAGGTGTCCCCCATAATGCGCCCTTCGCCCAGCGGTTCCCACGGACGGCCGCCATGGTGCGTCGCGTCCTCGGGCCGACCACAGCCATCGTGCTTGATGGCCAGGCGCCTTAGACTCACGACCATCTACAGGGTGAGAGTCACACACCTGATGCAGACATGCATTTGATGTGTATGCATAAGACGCCTGTGTGCTGGTCTCTATCATGCAGGATGGTCGTTTGGCTCGAAGGTGACTGGGCGGCTGACTGGCTGGCTGGCGGGCCGTTAGTGGGATGGTCTATGTGCAAGCTGGCTGTATGTGGTGCGTCCGGCCGCATGGGATGGACTCATCCGTGGACGCGTGTGTGTGCAGACAGACAGACAGACAGACAGGTGCATGCGAATGAAATCCCTCCGTGACAGAGATGGAAGGCACAGGCATGCACGAACCATTCACAGCTGAATCCGCATGTACTTCAGTCAGCAAAACAGGCACACGACACTGCCAGCACGCACCTACAAGGCCCTCAGCGCGTCACGGCGATCCACCTGTCATCCATCCGTCACGGACCATGGCAGCGCTTTCCTGCTCAAATGTGTCTCTCAAATGTGCGGACAGAAACCTCTCCATGTCTCGCTCACAGCCCAGCAGACACGGAGACACACAGAAAAAAAAGACCTCTCATACGGCGAATTGATCGATTAAACGCACATGTATCACGTATCTGTCGCTCAGAAGATGCCGCTGTTGTTTCCGCTCTGTCTGCCTCGGCCACCACGACCGCCACCACGACCACCACACTGACACACAACACAGCACAGACATGTAGCAGCATAAGGGTGTGTCCGAGGCCATGTGGATCTTTCTCAAGGCCAGCATCGGCATCCCTGATGACGACAGCGCCGAGCACGTAGCCCAACTCTTACTCGACAACTGGGTTTTCGAAGCCAAACAGGACTCCAAGTTGGAGGTAGGAAGCACACCCGACACACGACACAAGAGGAGTCTTTCACCTTGTCTGTGTCAGCAGTTGTATCCGCCGCCGCCGCGATTGCTCGGCCTGCTGGCGTGGTCTCGGCTGCTCTGAGGGGGAGGCTCGTGGCCTCTGAAGTCGTAGTGCGGGCCTGAAGGCCGGTTGCAAGACGCCCACACTTGCTGCATACACACACCACACCCAGATGAACGAACGAACGAACGGACTTGTGACTAATGCATGCGCATATCATAGGGTGGGTGTTGGTGTCTGTGAGCGTAGCGTACCAGTGTGTCCCAGCTCCTGAGTGTGGGCGAGGTGAAGGCAAGATATAGAGGCGTCCTCAGGTTGTTCCACACCCTGACAACCATACAAAGCAGACACGTACACATGTGTGGGTGTGGGTGTGGGTGCCTCGCTCACCTGGGTGGTTCTTTGAGGCGCCCTTTCTTGCTGATGAAGTCGTTGACCACCTCGGCGAACTTGTCGCACACAGCCTGCACACACAAGGATGTGCATATGGATGGATGCACACGTGTGTATTTGTCATCGTGGTGGTGGTGGTGGTGGTGGTTGCCTGCAGCATGTCGTGTGGCCAGTAGGTCATCATGAAAAAGACCTGCACACGCAGAGAAAGATGGGGAGAAGTGATATCCTCACCCACCCACGCACATGGACACGTGTGTGGTGCGCACCTGCGTGCACTTGCCCTGCTTCATGGTGGCCTTCCACGCCCAGTTGAGACCGCCATCCTTCTGACCCAGACGATCTGCGTGTCATGAACGAATGCACCAGGTGAAGAAACACACACCTGTTCGGTGATCGTGTTTGTCTGCCTGTGACATGTGCCATACGGTGTTCGTCGAGTAGGGGCGTCTCGTCGACTTTGATGGTCAGCTGATCCACAGCAGAGTGCCGCGAATTGTCCACAGTGAGGGCGCCAATCTGCGTTAATGAATGCATTGACGTGCAGAGGGACTCATGTGTGTGTGTCTGCGGAGATACCTTGACATAGTTGGCGATAAAGAAGTCGCGCAAGAAGCGAATGAAAGAGTTGTCGAAGTCGCACCGGGGGCCGTCCTCTGCACACAGGCGGATGTGGATATGGACACAGACAAGCACGTAAAGGCATTCAATCAGCAAATCGTGTGCGAAAGCCGTACTCGAGTGTTTGGCGGTCTGCAGGTCACTGTGCTCGAGCTTGCGGCAGCTGCCGGGGGCCCGCTGACACACACACACACACTCACGTGTCGCGTCGCATAGAGCCACTTCTCATGTGTGTATGGCCACTAACGCAATAGAGGCGCTTGGTCAGCTCCTTGTACGCCTCGCGCAGCTGGGATACTGAAGAACAAACGAAACGAAAGACGCACGCGGCCCGCACGTACGTATGGATGATGTACGAGTGTGCGTGTGCGTGTGCGTGTGCAAGTGAGCTCACCTCTCGACAGCGACCGCCACTCGCTGCACTTTTCCGTCAGGAGCTCATCCACCTGCAGACACACACAGAAACGCGTGTGCAGCGTGTGTATACCCCTTCATGTGTGTATGTGTGTCGTGTTGGTAGGCGTGTAAGGTACCTGATGTGTCATGGTGACGTCTTGCACTTGCTTGAGGAACTGATCAGGTCAACACACAACAACGTGCAAGTCACTGGGGGTTACGTGCATCCGGTGCCCACACACAGACGCACGTCCTCGTATGTCCCGGCGGCTTTCACGAATGCTCCGAGCAGCTGGGCCCCCTGCGCACACACACACGCACATAGACGTCACATGAAGGTAGATAGCCGCACCACAGACAACACATGCCTGTTCTTTCGCCATCATGCGAACTCGTGCATGAGAGCCGCGATTGCCTGCACACACACAGAGAGTAGAATGCAACTACATAAACCTGCACGATGGTATGAGTTTGGGCGGACCGTGCGGCCAGGCAGATGTCGACGGCGGCGAGTCCATGGCGGTTGTGGGGGTGTGGATGGGCGGCATCGCCTCTACATTGCTGCTGTCGTCGTCGTATAGCTGGGGAGAGGGCGCTGCAACACGCCACGCACGCAGCCATAGACCGAGCGAGTATGAATGTGTGTATCGTATCGGCGTGTCTGTCAGTGCACTACCTACCCAATTTCTGTTCTGCCGAGGTGGGACTCCCTCCCTCGCTGCAGGTGAGAGCCTGAGGGCTCTCACCTGCACACACACACACACACATACGGGCGCAGGCGAATGCGCACACGATAAGGCAAGAAGCATGCACGCCACCCTTACCCCGGTCATTGTATTGGTATGCGTCATCGGCCGGCGTGGGAGGCTCGAGCTGCTGCTGCTGCTGCCGTTGCTCCCACTCCTTCACATGAACTGGAGGCACCACTGGGAAGTCACTGGGATCACGGACACCCCTGACACACACACACACACTCGATGAGTACGAGTGAGCGGCTGTGCAGCTTTGCGTACTCGCTGACGAGGTACTGCTGCAAGACCTTGATGCGCCTCTGCTCTTCTGTCAGGTATGCCTTGTGGGCACACACACAGGCAACACGCCACACGATGAATCGACAAGTGCATCGTCCTCCTTCTTGTGCAAGTGCGTTTGCTGACCTGATCTCTCCTGTGGTGAGCTACGCGCAACAAACACAAGCACAGAACGTGGGAATGAGTGTGTGTCGGCGTGTGCACCTGACTGTCGTCGACTCCGTTGTAGAGCAACACCATCACAGACAGACGGACACCTGATTCTGTCGAGATCTTTTGGATCGTGCGATCAGATCTGCGACGCCCCCACCAAGCCCGCCCATGGTCCCCCGCTCGGTAGATTCTCCCTCCCTCCTCTCCCTCTTTTCCCGATGGGTCAGCCCCTCTACGTCTTCCTTGCCCTCATCTGGGCCATCCTCAGCCGCTCCGCATTGAGCCAGCGCAGCGATCGTGGCAAAGCCCATCACAAAGACTTGCACAAAGACGAGCCCAGACTCTATGATTACATCGTGGTACGAACGACGCACAAGCACACCAAACACGGTGTTGTGACACGCAGCTGCCGATGGCAGGTTGGTGGTGGGGCTGCCGGAGCCCCCCTTGCTGCCACCCTTGCTGAAGACGGTGACACTGATGTGCTCCTTCTGGAGAGGGGTGGCTACAGGAGTGAGAATTGGGAGGGCAAGATCATTGCAGGCCTTGGTATAGGGCTGCGCAACCCCGAGATCAGTCAGGATCTCGTCACAACCGAGAACCACATCACGCAGCTCGCCAACGTGCTCTCTGGCGGCACTGCTTTGGTACCAATCCACGTAGACACACACAGGAGAGAGACGAGCACATGATGCCTGCCTAGGTATTGTTACAATATGTAGAGTGCAGGCGTCTATATCGAGGAAAACGCTCAGTACTTCGACGCACTGCGGGCGAAAGGGGCGAACTTCGATCAAAGGATTGTCGACAATGTAAGCGAAAAATCCTGCACGCCTCTCGCGAGGACCAACGACCAATGCCGTGTCTCACTTATACATCCCCCTCTCAGGCGTTTGAGTGGGTCCGCGAACAAGTCGCCACCCCAATGGGATTCTCAGAACCGTAAGTCAAGTCACGCCATCCACCAAACGGCGATACAGCAAGTGTGTCCGTATATGTTCACGTTTTTGTTTCAGATACGGCAGCGCATGGGCGGAGGCGAATGAGGAGGTGGGATTCTCTCCTGCCGTTGGCCCCAGAGCCCAGGCCGTGGAAGGCTCGTGGAACAGCCTATCACTTTTCTTGAACGATGGCGATGAAATGGCGCCGACCCGGGAGCGACTTGCCTCTGATGTCTTACTGTCCAACCAGAAGGGTGTCCGTCTGGAAATCAAAACTCGCGCCACCGTCACCCGAGTGGAGTTCGATACCAGCCACAAGGGCAAGCCGCAAGCCACCTGTGTGCAGGTTGTCAAATCGCCAAGGAAGCCGAAGCCGATCGACTCACGGGTGAACGAGCTCTTGCTGGAGGACATATACGATGACAAAAAGGGCAAAGAGGAGAGACACGAGGTGATGCGCGCATGTATCCGCCCTGGTGGCGAGATCTTCCTGTGTGCTGGAGCGATCTTCACGCCTTTGCTGTTGATGAAAAGCGGTGTGGGGCCCAGGGATGCTGTCGAGAAGGCGATGGCAGCCAGAGGGGAGAAAGGCGGGCTGGTGCTCGACATACCTGAGCTGGGCCAGAACCTTCACGATCGGAGTAAGACGTTCATCGCTACTTTCTTCGATGCGCCTGTGCCTGGCCCTGACGGCTTCAAGGGCACAGGGGCGCAAATGGCGGGCTTCAAGCGATTCGGCGACTGCCACGACAAGAAGAAACTCGATTACAAGTAAACACATGTATGCGTGGCACTGCTCTAATGGGCGCCATGTTTGCGAATCAATGGATGGGTGCAGTGTCCTCGATACGAGTTTGGATTGTGGGTGGCTGAACTCTGAGGAGTTCAGCGGAGTGAGGGCCGTAGAGGGATTCCTGACGTGCGCTCAACTCATCCTCCCTCCGGCCCTTCGGGCTACACCGTAAGTCGATCACATACACACACTGTGGAGACACGTATGGATGTGTCTCACCTGATAACCTTGACGGTATGATGTACTCAGCGAGGCTGATTTGCTGATACGGGTATTGGAGGAGTGCATATCGTCCACAATGTCGTCGACCATGTTCAATCCACTCTGTCTGCCACTGCTCCCGAGCCTTAATTGCATCAAGTACTACCTGTACCTATGCAGCATGAACGTTCCGTCCTACTCACATCGTTCCACTCTGTCAGAAAAGCGGTCGGTATGGTCTCCTTTCCCACCGTGCCGAAAACCCGCGGTTATGTGACCATCAACGAAAGAGGTACTTCACCAGTCACACTAAAAGCGTGTATGCATGTATGTATATATGCGTGTTCAGGCGAGCCGGTGGTCTCTGGCGGCTACTGGGGTGATCCGCAGGGAGAGGACCTGAACGCTGCCGTCCAGGGCATGAAACACACACTCAAAGTCAGTGAAGGAGATCCCAGCAGACGCTTGCACGTGCAGTTCTGTGTGTATCATAATGTCGTTCTCGCGTTTGTGTGTGTGTGTAGATACTCGCCACGGGCAAATTCGACGACATTTTGCAGCCGGGCGGGCCGCTGTCATGCCCCTTTCTCGTGTTGAACTCACTAATGAACCTCATAATGATCGGCACACGAAATCTTGTCCCTGGATCGGACGAGGCACTGGTACGGACATACGGATGAAACGGAAACTGACGAGCGCGTGTCTGCACAAGCTTTAGTGTTTGTCTCACACAGGACCTGGCAGCGGTCTATCGTGCAACGAAGCCGGATTACCCAAGAATCCCATCGATATGGGAGTTCTTGGGCATACAAGATCGGCCTGACCCGAAACGTGCCCTCGAAGAAGCGCCGCTGACGGGCCTGGTTAAGGACAAGATGCAGTTGATGGAGAAGGTGCGACCCGACGGGCTCGCTGATTGGCGAGGTCTGCAATCCCAGCTGGCCAACTACCTGAGAGAGGACCTGCAGGCTGCCATGGCGCCCATTATCCCTGTCAGTCAGGAGAGAGGCTTCTGTTGGGTCCATCCACCGCCTGTTGCCTTCATTGTACGTGTAAGTGTGTGTCCTGCAGGAAAAGGGAAAGGACGAGAGTGGCCATAAGGATGCGAGTCATCACCCTGATTGTGCCCTGTGGGGGCCTTGCACCGAGAAACACCTGGAAGAGGCGCAGCTGCGCAAAGCCAATCGATATGCGATATTCCCGCCGCTTCCTTTGGGTGCGTTGTCGACCGACAACAGAGACAAATCATGTCTGTGCCTACTCTCTCTCTCTCTCTGTGTGTGTGTGTGTGTGTGTTGTGTGTGTATATTGTGCAGACATGAGCAAAAAAGGGCTTGAGACATACATCAAAGCGCACGGCAGCTCCATTTGGCACTGGGCGGGGTGAGACATGTGCAAGCATACCTATCATATGTGTCCGTCTATCTGGAGTGGAATACACACTTTCTTGTTGTCTGTATATCGGCAGGTCGGCGGCTATGGGTACCGTGACATCAAGTGATTTTCGCGTCAAGGGCATCGAGAACCTCTCGATATGCGACTCGTCTGTCTTTCCACAGGTGAGTGAGCGGTATATCGATTGAGTCAAGGACAACACACAGACATGGTGGCCGGCTGCAGGTTCCTCGGATGAATCCCCAGGCGACCGTCATGATGCTGGGTCGCTACGCCGGCATGCTGCGCAAGGAAGAGCGCAAGACGCAACACCACTACCACCACCACGGCTGATTGATCTGTCTGTCTGCCTGTTTTCTCTTGTGTCTTTTTGGTGCTCTTGCCCTGTGCTTTAAGCCACTGTTTGCGGTTGAAACGCTTCAAGCCTTTTGGCTCTTGTCGTCCCGCGTAGTGTCTCTTTTGTTTGCGGCCGCAATAGCGCGGCCCTTCGTGGGCTCGTTTAGTATGTGTGCTTCTGGTCTGCACGCCAACGGCAGCGAGACACCCACCAGGCGAAAGAAACAAAGAGAATGGATGAATGCATGCGGGGAGTTTTTTTTTATCCCTTTGCTTTTTCTTTTTTCCGATGATTCACCTATTATGGGAACGTTTGTGATAGTTTTTTTTCGCCATCAGGCCGTGAAACAAACTGGCGTGGGGCATGGTAGGTCGCTTCATGGATGTTTACTTGGCTGTTGACGAGCGGACAGAGCAAGAAACATACATGTATTGCCGATCAGGTACAGATGTGGGACACACGCCGGACATGGCATGGCTATCATCCCCCCTATGTAATGCAGCACTGTCTCATTTCTGATACACTGACAGCGGCGGAAAGGGGCGGATGGATCCATAACACGCGCATCCATCTGTGGTCAACATGCACGGTGGTACATACCCACGTGGTGCACAGCTCATCAACAACAGCACGTACGTGTCACGTCACATCTCTGAGCGCCATCCATCCATCCATCACCACTGGCTAGATTCATTCAGCCCGTCAACACCTTCTGCCTTTCGCCGTCCTTTCGCCTGTTCTCCGCAACCCTCCCGAACCACCGCAAGAGCTCGTCTCGCAGCGACGGCCGAGAGGGGCCGGCCCCATCGGCCGCCTCGCCCCGCAGCAGCCCCTCAAGTGCGTCAACCCATCTCCTCAGACACACATACTCGGACATTTTGACACGCTGCACACCGACAAGAAGGAAACCGAGACATCAACTGGTTTGTCTGTCGAGCGCGCGTCGTCCTCACCGCTGCGTTGGTGGCTCCCTCGTCGTCCGAGAAGAGCGACCTGTCATGATCACAGCTGTTGCCTTCCGTTCTTTCGGTCCACCACACGTACGACGAGGGGTCGTGTTTGCGGTTGGTGTGCATCGTTGAGCGGAAGGGCTCCAAACTTGGGTCGTCTCTGTATGGCGTCTCGAGCAGCCGCAGCAGCGCCAGCCAGAACTCGCCAACCCTCTCACCAAACCTCTTCTCGGTGAGGCCGAGGAGCCGCGATGTCTCCGGGCTGACGGCATCGCTGTCAAGCGCCACCTGTCCCAGATTCAACATGTCCGTCACACTGCAACAACACACCAGACACCCGACACCCGTGTGTGTATGGCTGATCGAGCGCCCATCCTCACTTATAGGCATTGAGCAGCTGGAACACACGCGAGTACACGTCGCTGCCGTTGGCCACCTGCCGTGCTGCTGCGGTGATAAGCCACGGCTGGAGGGCGTACGTCTGCCTCGGCTCCTCACACGGCGGCAGGGTGAAGCCGAAGCCCTCGAGCAACTCCCTGTTGGACAGGCGGCCGTATGAGTTGATCAACTCCTCCCCAGGAGCTATCCGCCGGGTGCTGCGGACCTGGCCACACACAGGGAGACGTGTCACGCTTATCAAATGCATCCATGTACCTCCAGGAAGTCAGTTGCGCTGTCATAATTCCACAGCAGGTTGACGTGCTCTGAGGCACGGTGGTTGAAGAGCTCGAGGAAAGGGACGAGTGCATCCTCCTCAGCCACAGCATCCTCCTCCTTATGCCTGTTGCGCCACGTCTCGCCCTCCCTCGGCTGCACGGGGATCGAGAAGGCCCGGCTGCTGATGAGCGACACCGCCTTGCCGTACTGCTCGAGAGTGAAACCTTCGCCCAGAACTCCCCTATCGATGTTGGACAAAATCTTGCGATGGTCCCGACTCAGCCATTGCCTTCGTCTCTCAGCCACGTGGTACGATGGTGAGGGCCACAGCAGCCGCACCGCAAACGCATTGCCGCTGGTGAAGGGTAAAGACGGGGAAGGCAATTTGTTGAGATCCTCCAGCCAAGCCGACGCGCCGTTTGAATCTGTGTGGTCCAGCTGATGGGTCAGATACGCTGCCATCGAGAGAAACAGCCGATTCTGCGGCAAAGCGTTATAGGACTGCTGCGCAACATAGGCCGACACGCGCCGAGACGCCTCGTCGCAGGAGAGGACACATGGTCGAGTGCTGCCGTCCTCATGGGCCATGAACGTGTCAGGCGTCACCATAAGTTTCCGTGGGACAGCAAGAAGCAGCTCTTCCTTGCCGATTGCATCTTGTGCCCCCAGTCCGCGGGTCTCCTCAGGCCGCAGGACCACAGCAGGGTGAAGGTACCCATCGTTGTCGCGCAGCCATCGGGTGAAGCGACCAAACCACTGAGTCTCCTGGGACGTCCGCTGTGCCTGCGAGGCTGCAAAGAGGAAGATAAGCGCAAGAAAGTCCTTCATCATGGTTTTGCTTGCTTCCACACCGTTCATCATAACGGTCAAAATTGCGAGCTAAACCTGACATGGCCATTCTGCATTCGGAGCCTTCCATGCACCACATGGGAGGCGTGGAGGCTCATTTGACGACAGAAATCTGCGGAAGTTGACTCTCGTGCCTTGTCCTACCCTGGATGCTGCTGCTGTGCCGAGCACACCTGAGTTCTGAGTGAGGATGGCGTAGGCGACAGCGAGAGGGTCTTCTCGTCCCGCGACACCCTCAGAAGCACGAGTCTGCCGCACCGGCGAGGCCAGTGAGGAGGACAAGTGAGGAGAGGTGTGGAGAGGCGTCAACCCGGCTGGACTGGTGCCGCTGCAGCTCATTGGGCGCTCGGAAGGAGTCATCGTGACGGCAGGAGTCATCCAGGAGGCGCTTGTCAGCAGACAAGATCTCGGCAACTCCTTTTCCTTCTGACTGACACAGACACCGCTGAGTTTGTTCCCTTGGAGCCGGGCATGCATCGTGACGGCCACCGGCACCCCGCCGCTGCCGCAGGCGGCGGATCGCAGAACCCCTACCATCCCAGCCACCACCACAACGCCAATAATGCTGCCCACTACGGTCACAACAACCAGGGGTGTGTGCCTGCTGCGGCCGGCCAGGGCGGTCAGCAGGCTATGGGCGGTGGGACGGGCAATGTGGAGAGGTCGCCCACCACCGACAACAGCCTCAACGACATCTGCCTCGAGTACCCCATTGAGGTCAGTCAGTCACGTGTATGGGGCAGGGGAATGTGTTGATGGCATCGTATGTGAGTGACCTGTGCCTGCTGTTGCTGTGTGTGTTGGTCAGGTTCTGGATGAGGCGACAGAGGGTTTTCACGCCAAGTATTGTTTGGGCGCCGGTGCCTATGGGAAGGTCTACAAGGCCACCCTCAAGGGTCAGTCAGCCAACGAGAAGCACACAACACGTGTCCGCCGCGCAGCGCAATGGATCGGTTCACTCACTCATCATGGGTGTGGTGTGCCTCCAGGCACCGAGTGCGCCATCAAGCAGCTGCAGCACCCCGTCGAGGCCGGCTTTGAGGAGGAGGTCAGAGTCCTATCCAAGTTCAGGTAGGTACCCATCAAAGCGCACACCGCACCACGGCATACGTGGCCCCTCTGTTGATGGTTGGTCATCTGTGTATCGATCCTGAAGGCATCCGTGTTTGGTCATTTTGATGGGTTTTGCCCGGGCCAAACAGGGCCCCTATCGCTACCTCGTGTATGAGTTCATGAAGGGCGGCGATGTCGGCACCAGACTGCAGAAGGGTACACACACACACACACACACACGCACCCCGCTCGCCACACCTGTCTGTCTCTCTCTCTGTGTGTGTGCAGGTACGAAGCCGTTGCTGTGGTATCAGCGGATTGAGATCGCGGTTGACGCGTGTGAGGGGCTGCACCACCTGCACAACTCGCACCCCAAGGTGTACCACCGCGACATCAAGACGGCCAACATCCTGCTGGACAAGAACGATGGCGCCAAGATGGCGGATTTTGGACTAGCCAAGATATCGCATGGCGGAGAGGGTGAGCGGAGCGGGGCAGACATACCACACCGCACATTTTGCTTGTCAGTCACAAACTCACACACGCATGTGCTTTTGTTGTCCGTGTGTGTGCAGATTGCCGTGTGCAGCAGACGGCTGGCACTGTGGGCTACGCCGATCCGCTGTACATCAAGCGGTAAGCATCCATCCAGCAGAGGGACACACACACACAGACCCATCTCCCTCCCCTCCTGCGATTGATTGCATTCTTTCTTCCTCGTGTTGGTTTGTGTGTCCTTTTGTGCAGTGCTGTTGTGACTGAGCACACGGAGGTGTATTCGTTTGGCATGGTGTTGGTTGAGTTGCTGACGGCCCGCCCCCCCGCCACACAGCGGCCGGGCACCAAGGAAGTCGACTACCTCGTCAATGAGTTCAACCACGACATCGACAGACTCATGTGCATGCTCGACAGACGCGCCCAGTGGCCGCTGGAGTTCGCAAGGAAGGTCGCCAACCTCGCGCTCAGGTGAGTGGAATGGAGTGGATGGCGACACATCCGGGATGAGTGAGTGAAGGAAGGCTCACTGTGTCGGTCGCCATTTCTCTGTCAGATGTATCATGGTGCCTGAGGACCCGCGGCCGTCGTTTTCGGAGATCTTGACGGAGCTGCGCGCCATCTCCGACGAGGCCACCGCCTTCAAGGAGCGCCAGGAGGCCCTGAGCTCCCTGGGCCACGGCCCCGCCGCCACCACGACGCCGTACCAAGGCATGCCTCCCCTGCAGCCCACCCACACACCCCACTCCCCCATGGCCCCCCAGCACCCTGCCGTCCTGCACCACCCCGCCCCTGTTCCGCCGCATCCCAACGTTCTCCGCACACCAGCGTTCGGCAATCCCAACGCTCCCTCCATCCAGCAGCAGCCCAAGGGTGGCATGATCCAGGCCGCCAACGGCTATGGGGGCGGTCATGGCTCGCCGCAGTTGCAGCCCCAGCAGCCAGGGGGTGGAGGTGGGGGCTATGGCTATGCGGGCGGCCACTCGTCGCCCCCGCTGGCACCGGTTGCCCCGCCCAATCACGGATTTGGTAAGCGGAGAGATAGAGATACAACGACACGCCCAAGAAGGCAGACACACGAGACCTTTCACCTGTCTGTTCTGCAGGTGGGTCGCCCTTTCAAGGTCACCCTGCGCCGAGCCCGCCTCTGCAGAATCTGGTGAGACATCCCTCTGACATGCATTGAACATGTCACAGCAATGCGTGTGTGTCTGCCGTCTGTCAGGGGTTCGTCGATGCGCTGGCTGCACATGGGGGCGCCATGGCGGCGGATCCGTCATCTGCTGTGTCACCCATGGGCCAGGGAGTCTTGGTCGGGGGCAGCAGCACACAGCACCACTACCCGAGTAAGCGACCCGACACAACAAATGTGACGAAACGATTGCAATGAACACGTGCTTTCGATCCGTCTTTGCGACGTGTGTGCAGATCAGCCACTCGCAGCGTCAGCGCATCGTGGTGGAGGGCACGATGGCCACCCGTCCTACGGCACCGGGAGCCCCCTCCAGCAGCCGGCCAATCCGTGGCCCCACATGACCCCCGCCATCGCACAGCGCGGCCATGAGATAGACATCGACCCTCTGGCGGGGCTGGGCAGCGTCTCGTCGCGACCGCCTTTTGACCAGAACGCCCACAGAATGCCGCCACAAAGGTGGGTTACTGATTGACACTCACGATACGACACCCGCTGAGCTGTCCTTCATGCCCACTCTCTCCCTTTGTGTGTCTCTGTACCAGTCATGTCGATCAGCTGCCGCGTCAGCAGCGACCCCAGAACGGCCTGCAGGGGATTGGCATGGGCCTGGGGCTGGGGAACCCCCCACAACAGCAGCAGACGGGCGTGAGAGCATCTTCGCCCGACGACTGGCTGAGCCCGCCAGGCAGTGCAGTGCCGCCCTTCTCCCCTCACGGACAGCCTGCTGGTGGTGGTCCGATGGGCGATGGCTTGTTCGATGCTCCGCGCGGCGCAGTGGACATGGGTGTGTATGGTGTTGGGCCGCCGGTGCCGTATGTGGAGACGGGAGTGCGGTCGGGGGGCAGTGGGGGCGGTATGAGGACGGGCAGCGGCGGGAGTGGCCACGGCTCGCAGGCGTCCGGTGGGATGGCTGCTACGAACGATCCTGACGCCATGTCTGCTGGTACGTTGGGCGGAGGGAGGGAGGGAGAATACCATCAATGAGATGGGGCGGATACGCTGTGCTTATTCCTCTCGTGTGTGTGTGTGTGTGTGCAGACAGGAGTGGGTATGAGCTGTTCCCTCGCTCAGAGGCCCCCGGTGGCCTCTTCGGTCGTCTCGGTCCCGCAGCCGGCCTCCCCCAGCCGTCTCATCCGCCATTCCCTCCACGAGCGTCCCCCTCCCCGCCCCTCGTCCCCTCACCCGACGCCGCCCAAGCGCCGGACCTCCACCCACACCCACCTCCAGCCATCGGCGCCGCGTCGTCTGCTGCCGACCCCAATCTGTTGTTTGGCAGTTGGGATAATCGGCTCGGTGGGTATGGTGGTCAGCCTGAGGACCACCGTACGGCGGCAGCGGCGACGGCATCGGAGAGCCATCGCCATGTGCAGGGGAGGAGGGGGCTCGGTTCGGCCCGGAGGGAGGGCAGAGGAGCTGGCGGCCTCTTTGGCGGCGGACAGACGTTTATGGACTCGCGGGCAGTAGGTCGAGGGGGCGACTGGGGTGCGGGTGGCGAGGGCACGCCATCCCACCCTTCATCAACCAATGACCCCCAGGTGCCCGCATCATATGACGACGGCTACAACGGCCAGCAGCAACAGCAGCCTTATAGCTACCACCAGTACCAGGAGGCCGCCCCCCCGATGAACTACATGCACCTGTCCCGGCAGCCCGCCGCTCCTGCTGCGGCATGCGGCTACCATGGTGACGGTGGTGGGGAGGCGGGAGGGCTGGATCGGCTCATCGGCGGGGAGCCCCTGGGGGATGATGGTCATTATGCATATGAGGAGCCGCAGCCACAGGCCCAGCAGCTGCAGCAGCCGGAGAACGAGTAAGCCAGAACACAGTGAAGATGGAAGCGAGGTGGCGTATTCCACCACTCTCACTCTCGTTCGTTGTGTGCGTTTCCTTTAGTGATGCCCGTCGCGACAGGGAGGAGGAGGAGCTTCGCCGGGCGCTGGCTGAGTCGGAGCGGACGGCCAAGGAGGACCAGGTCCGCCAGCGACGTCGCCAGCAGGAAGAGGAGGACCTTGCCCTCCAAGAGGAGGAAGAGATGCGCCGGGCGATGGAGGAGTCGATGCGCGAGGAGCAGCAGCGGCGGCATTCCATGCAGATGCACATGCAGCAGCAGCAGCTCGGCCGCGGCCAGGCAAGTGGCGCACCATCGTCATATCAATACCAGTATGACTTTCTCGACCACAGCACGGGGCAGGCTGCAGAGGGGGGGAGCCACCCGCCCCCCTACAGCAGCAGCGGGACTGGTGGCTATGGCTACGGGTCGGCGACTGGCGGCAGCGGGCAGCCTGATCGGAACGATCTCCTGCGCTGAGTGAGTGAGTGATGGATGGATGGATGGTCCAACAGGGAGGGATGCGACTTATGGTTCTGCATGAATGGCCTGCCTGCCTGCCTGGGTGGATGGCTGGCTGGCTGATGGTTTTGGGTGGGCGGGATGACTGATAGCTAGAGGCATACAGCAGCAGAGTCAGACAGAGGCAGCCAGCCAGGCAGGTGGATGGACTGATTGGACGACTATCGACAAGATAAGCAGAGATCGATCTTTTGATGTGTGGATGAACGCATGAATGAGAACGGACCGTCCGGCCGGGGGACTGGATGAGAATGGGTGCATGGTGTGGATGGATGGATGCATGGATGGATGGATGACTGGATGGGCGTGTGTCTGGTTGTTTGTTTGGCTGTCCGTCTGTCTGACTGCATGGTCTCAGCCGTCTGTCGGTGGGTCGCTGGCTGGCTGAGGGCATGATTGATTGATTGATGGATGGATGACTGGGCGGACATGCGTGCACGGATGCCGCGAGCTCAACGCTGCCTAAGAGAAGGTAACAATGTTGACTCACTCTTGCTGTCAGGTGTGTGCTCGTGGACGCATTACTGAATGCATTGCGTTCTCGTGTGGGCTGCGAACTGATGAATGGATGGATGGATGGATGAACACGACCCTTGAACCGTCCAAGTCAAGCTGCATTCGCACGAATGACACAAACTCTATCACACTCGTGCAAGGCATCCATTTCACAGACACCTCCATGCTACGAACGAGAATGAAAGACCAGCTGGTTAAGGGAGATCTCTCAGGAAGGCATGAAGACAAACGCACACATGCAACCAGATCACATCACTCATTGTGGCGGCAGTCGCGTGAAGCTCTCAGTCTCTTCCGCCAGGTGCTCCTTGACCACTTGCTCGTGCTTGTCCTCCACATCCCGCAGGCACTTGCCCACAGACCGAAAGTAGTCCACCAGGATGGTCTGCTTGCGGCTGCCCATGTTCTGCCGCAGTGCGATGTCCTTCATGACCTCCTCCAGCGTCTCACGCACCGTCTCAACGCTGCACTTGGTCTCGCCCTCAGGCCCTCGCGGCATCAGGTCGCTCTCCAGCTCCTCACACCACCACTGCCTCTCGGTTTGGAAGAGCTTCTGCAGCACCTGACCGGCCGCAGAGGTCGCCATCCACGAGCTGGGGTTGAGCCGCTTGTCGTTCTCTATCTCGTTGAGGACCGTCTGAGACGCCCATGACTCCAGAATGAGCTCCAGGGTGGGGAGGATGTGGAAGGCTCGCTCGTCGGCCTGGCCCTTCTCGTACCACCGCTGGATGGAAAACAGCTGCCCGTCATCGATCTGCTGCAGGTTGGCGGGGTCCCTCATGAACGTGCGGACCCGCTCCTTGACCTCCCATGGCAGCGGATAATAGAACTCCCCCTTCTCGTTCGTCGCGATCTGCAGAAGATCTTGCGCCTGGCTCTCGGCAGCGGTCAGCTTGTCGCGCCCCTCAGCCACGATCTCCTCCTCCAGCTTGTAGACTCGCACGAGCAGGGCCGACAGCCGGCGCTTCTCCTCCGAGTCAGGGGCGCGCTCGATCATGTTCTTGAAGCGGTACTCAAACTGCTTGGAATTCACCAAGCTGAGGCTGTTGTACACAATGGACGGCAGCTGACTCTCGCCAGCATTCAGCAGCCTCTGTATCAGCACATCCACGTCGTCGAGAGCCTCATACTGCCGACCGCTCTCCTCATCAGAGAGCCGCACGACAGTCGCTGGGTCAGAGGCGATGCTCTCACCCCCAAGTGTAGCGTCGCCTCCCGAGCAGGCCGCCTGCCGCCTCCCCATTTGTCGCATTGCGGGAGAGATGAGCCATGAAGGGGTCTGGATGAAGGCTCGGGGCATGGATCTGCCGCCAGCCTTGCTCCAGCTGTGGTCAAAATGAGGTGGCGGGGGATGGGGCTGCTCACACTGATGCGCGCCGTCATCGCCGCCTCTCGCCTGCCGCCCTGCTGTCCTCTCTGCCGCGCATGACGCGTCATCTTCGTCAGTGCATGCTCTTCTCGCGTCCTTCCTCCCCGAAGGCCGCCTTCGATTGGCGCCGCCGCTCAGCCGTCCGATTGCGATAGCGCCGGTCCATGAGCCGAGGGGCACTCGCGGAAGGGAAGATGGCGATAGCAAGGACGCAAGCGTGTCGCATGATGCGGACCAAGCGAGTGAGAAAACCCAGAGAAGAAAAAAGACAACCTGATTCAATGGGAATTCCATAGATGGATGAGGCTCACACACAACACCGAAGCCTCTCAGATGCAAGAAAAGCGACGGATCAAGTATCGCAAGCGAAACCCTTAGCTCGCAGGTAAGAGGGGAAGCAGAGGGAGAGACGGGGGAGATGGGAAATCCCTGGTGGACGGAGGCTGCTCGAAGTAGAAGTCATTGCACCGCAACTTTCAGCTAAGGGAGTCCCTTTTGAGCGCATCGATGCATCCCTCGAGTTTCTGGTGTTGACGAGGGGCGGGAGGCCGGGCAAGAACCAATAGACCAGACTCTGCTCATTGGTAAGGGGATGCATCGCCAAGGAAAGCTGTCCCGGTGATTCATCACAAGAATCTGCCTGTGCAGATGTATGCCTCTGGTTATCACGAAGTGCCGTCGAGCGCTCCTCTGAGCGGCCGTGGTTTCCACCACACTCAACCGGCGAGCGGTGGTCAAAATCCACAGGCACCAGCGGCTCCAGCACCAGCTGCAGCGGCCGCTTCGTCGGGCGGTCAAGCGCACCATCCTCTCTTGCACCCTGCCCCCGTGATGATGCCTCCGCCGCTCGTCCCGTCATTTGGATCTGGTCCGCGTCCCAACATCCCTCCCTGGGCAGTGGACCAGGGTAGCCGACAGGCGTTGCGCCCCACGATGGAGAGGGCGCAGCGGCACATCAGCATCATGCAGCACCTCCTCAACTTATTCAACGACGCCGCCGAAGCGGAACATACTCGTCATGAACAACCGCAGCAACAGCAGGAGCAGGTCAACTCGCCGCTGCCGGCGGCTACACGGGAAACGGCGAGGCAGCGGGCCGGAGCTGTGGCGGCTCTACCACCAGCAGCAGCAGCATCAGCACCGTCTGCAGCTGCAGCTGCTGGTGCTGGTGCTGGTAGGGGCTTCCCAAGCGTAGACCAGAAGAGCCTCAATGATCTGTCTTTAGCAGGTGGGCACGGCACAGTCATGAAACACGCACAATGCATCCGTGTCGCTGTGTCGTCATCTCTGTCTGTCGTGTGTTGGTTGAATGGCATGAATCCAATCCGTCCGGCAGCTGACACTGAGTTGGAGGGCATGGAGTGGATGTTCTGCCCCATCACGATGGAGATACTCAGGCAGCCGGCCTCGACCCCATCGGTAAGGGGGAGCCCCAGGCAGGAGGCGACAAACTCGCAGCACACACAGCTCATGAGCTTCTCCTCCATCTCTGTGTGTTAACAGGGCAATACCTACGAGTACAAGGCTATCCTGAGCATCATCCGCGCCTCGGAAAAGCCCCTCTCGCCCACCACGCGCACACCCATCAGCGAGAGAGACCTGCGATCGAACCGATGCCTTGTTAGCGCCATCGAGGCCACGGCCAAACAAGTGAGTCAAGTGCCGTCAGAGTGCAGAGACGAGAGAAGAAGGACATGGTCATTCGTGCGCCTGCCTGACTCTGTGTGTGTGTGAGAGTCAGGTTGTTCGCGAGCAGGACCTGAGGGCGCGACTCATTCAGTTAGAGACAAGGGAGGCGAACGTGCCACCCCCACCTCTACCCCGGCCTCCACCCCCACCACCGCCAGCAGCATCAGCAGCTGCTGCAGGTGCTCGGGCTGGCGTCTTGCTGCCAGGTTGTGTTGCTGATGTGGGCGAGCGCGGCGAGACGGCCAGGGGATACAGCCCGGTCTGTCCTCCCCAGCCGAGACCACCACCACCACCACCATCTCCTGCTGCTGCTGCTGCTGCTGCCACGCCGGTCCATCCATCCCCACCATCCAGAGGTGAGAAGGGAGGAAGGACACGGGAGCAGAGCAGGCAGGCGGCAGGGCAAGCAGATGAATGAGTCTCGGTCTCTGTCTGTGAGCCCAGGAGGCCGCTTCGACTACGATGGTGAGCTGCGTGTGCGCGAGCGACGCCGCGGCTTCCATGGCGCGGATTGGTATATGAGAAGAGACCGAGTGGACAACAATGACCACGGAGATACCACCGACCAGGTACGGCACGTACACATACTCAGAGACTGCATAGAGGACATACCTTATTGCAATCATTGACTACATCCCGTCTGCCTCTCTGTCTGTCTCTCTCCAGGTTCCTGTGTCCCGTTCGGAAGGAGAGACTCTGTATCACCAGCTGCTGGCCCCTCCCATTCACTCACAGCGCGAACTGCCTCTGCTGGAGCTGACTGCCACCCCCTCAAGCGCGCCGGGCCCCCCACATGTGCCCGATGCCGACCGCTTCCAGAGGCGGCAACCACGGGCAGACGGTGGCCAGCTCGCGTCGCCATCGACGTCCCCTCCCCCCGGCACCTCGCCCCGCAGCCCCCTCAGCATCGGCATGAACACCAGGCAGATGCTGCCATTACTCGCCGAGCACATGGGGTCAGGGCCGGCTCCTATCAGCCCGTTCTTCGGCGCCATGAGCCCAATGGGGGGAACCGGGCTGCCTGCTGGCATGATGGAGGCAAGAGGCGAGCAGCCGCCGACAAGGCTTGCGTCTTGGCCGGCGGCAGCTGAGGGCGGCTCGGTTGGTGCTGGCCCTGGTCGCGTCCCGTCGATGCCCCACGCCACACCGGAACCTCTCCCAGCGCCTAACGCGACTAGGCCACACCACCCACACCAGCAGTCGCAGCCTTCCAGAGCCCCCTCTGGCTCTTCCACCCCCTCATGGATTGATTACGCGACGGATTAATGATTGGTCTGTCTGTCAAGCGTGATGGATGACGGGCGCTTATTAGTTCAGCGGACAAGGACTCATTAGTCCCCTATAGCATTTTCTGTCTTTTGTACGGCTGGCTGGCTGGCTGGCTGATGGAGTGGCTGTGTCGTGAGTGTATTCGTGGGATGACTCGTGACTGACACAACGATCGGTGGACTGGCTAACTTGTCACGGTCAGTCAAGTGGGAAATTTGCTTCTGTCGGACACGTGGGCACGAAGCATCGACACGTCATCCCGACTTGCAGTGCTGCATTAAGTCGGACTGTCGTTTCAAACTGCGCTCCTGTCACTTTTTTGTCACACACGGCCGCAGAAGTCACGCAAGAGCTACCTATACATCACGACCCCTCAAGAGCACGGCAGCAGGCACAGCCCTTTACGAGAAGATGCACTTGGCGAACAGCGTTGCAGGGTTTGCGGTCAGTTCCCCCGCATACCAGAGGCCGAACAGGAAGATCAGGGGGATGGTGCCGTAGTGGAAACACCACCTGTAGTGCCCCCAGTGCTCAAGACCCTTCGCAGTCATCTGCACGCAAACGGGCAGGACAAACAGCCAAAGATCCATTCATGAATGAGCGCGGCACGTGTGCCGTCGTCATGCTGCCCTGCTGACCTTCTTGATGAGCGCCTTCTGCTTGCTTGGAAGGTTGCCCATCTTGGCAATACCGGATCAAAGTGCACAGATTTCGTCGATTTTGATCTGCCGGATGCCGACGCGCAGCAGCCGATGATGCGGTGTTGGCGTTTTCCCTCCTTTCCTCTCCAGCGGTTTTGAGTCGCGAGCTTGAGCACGCGAATTGTGTTCGTTCGTTTCGGTGGTTGAACGGAGAGAAGGTGTTTTGGCTTGTCAGGACCCCCCTTGCTTGATGGCGTCGTCGAAGCCCGTCCAGAAGCTGTGTGTGCAGTGCGAGGAAGTCGCTGCTCTTGACTACAGCATCCCCCGTGCGGATAGCGACCCCTCGCTCCCCGTGGGCGGGAGAGCCACGCCCTGTGTAGCCGCCAGCGATGGTCAGCAACGGGAAATACCAAAGATGGGGAAGAACACGAAAGACTTATCTCGGTATGTGTCCGTTGCACCGCACTTCGTTCGTTCTCAGGGTGGGTGTGGAGAGCCAGTGGCAGCTTGCTTGAAGCGGCGTGTGTCAGGAACCGTTTCTCCTTGGTACAATCTACGACTGATTACGTTCTCTACCTTTCGCTCATTTCATGTGTTTCTTGTTTGCTTCAGGCTCACTCGTTCAGCCTAACGGTCCCTGGGACGGTATCGAGGCTTCGCGCCGTGCATGGTGGCGATGTGCTGGCCCTGATCAACGAGACCTATGCGGGCAGCAGATCAAGTCGCACCAGCCGACATGATGAGGACGATCTGATCGGCTACCGACAGCAGAGTATGCTGTACATCACGACGCGGGGCGAGCGGTGCTCCATCGACCTCCCTGTGGAACACGAGTCGCGCTACAAGTGCAACAGCCTGGCGTTCCTCGAACCAAAGTGGACCGACATCTCTGTCGTGACCGACACTGAGGAAACTGCCGTTGGCTGTGGGGGGATGGCCCAGAGCCACGTAAGGACACTCTGGCACGCAGCCAGCCATGTATAGCTCCATCCATCCATCCGCCCATCTGATTGTGCTTTGTTGCGTGTGTCAGTCTGTGCCCCATTCCTTGCACGAGATGCCCGATGGGTCGCCTTCCCGATATCGACAAAGGCCCTCGCATGCTGCCCACATCTGGCGGTCGAAGAACGCAACGATATTCTGCTCAAACGGGCTGGCGGTACGTGCACACGCGAGCAACGACCCTGCGAGGGATATGGGTGACTCCTGCCCCCTCTTTGATTTGCAGGTGTACAAGGGCACCACTGGTCCGTTGGATTTGATGGCGGCTGGCGCCCGCCACCCGTTTTCGATGCCCTTGTCGGTCAAGAAGGAGTGGATTCGATCGATCGAGCTGGTCAAGTCTCCCACCCGACACTTCAACCTGCCCTTCCCCCACACCGCGACCAGCACCGACCCGTCCCAGAGCAACCCCACCCAGATCAACTGCATCGCCGCCTCACACGACGGACAGATGCTCTACTTCAACCAGACCGTCAAGACGGGCGGCAGCGGGGACGACATCCCGTCGGTGGGGATGCGTGTGCGGCAGCAGCCTGTGCGGCAGATGGAGAGGCGCAAGCCAGGGGCGGCGGAGCATGATGCAGGCAGCATCGTCATCGATTGCCATGGCATCCCCGTGATGAGTGGGTATCGCGTCAAGGTCCTCGACATGGCGGCCGGTCGGATTATCACCACCGGCGGCACCGGCGCGGAGGATGTGCTCTACGTGCTGGTCAAGTACGTCAAGATAGCCACTGAGGACGACACCAACAGCAGTTGCAGCGGCGAGTCACGTCCGACCGACAGCAAGAGCACACCACCTGCTGCTGCCAGGACGACCGTCCGTCTCTTCATGGTGCTGCTCGAGACACGGACGGTGCGCGAGCTGCAGCTGGTGGTGCTGAGCAACAGCCAGGGCAGTCCCACAGGCTTCTCCCCTGTCCAGCAGCTCTCATCCGACTCACTCAGCAGCGTCAAGGCCCCTCCCCAGCACCAGCAGCCGCCCCTCTCCCTCCCTCCCCTCGCCGAAGAGCTCGACACACACACGGTGCCCCCGCTGCCCAGCCACCACAGCAGCCCTCACATCACCGCCCGGCCCGTTGCCTCATTTGCTGATGGCCAGCGAGAGCAGACGTTGAAGAGCCCGTCTGCGCCAACCACTACCGTCAGTCCCTCATCGACAGTGCCGTCAGCGAGCTCGTCGGTGGGTCAGGGGCTGTACCAGATGGCGCGTGACGGCAAGGCGGCCGGGCCGGGCAGCGTCGAATGGCTCTGCTCACCACTGGACGCTCCGCTGTGTGGGATGTGCGTCGATGGGGCCGATCCGGCGAGGGTCTATTTGGTCACGGAGAGCGGGAGTGTGCTGACGACCAAATTCAAGAGGCATCGGGAGGGAAGAAATTAACGGTCTGATTGACCGGTGGGGCGCGGGGAATGAGAGCTTTCCGCCCTTGTGTTTAGTGTCGGCTGGTTCCACTGCTTTCGGTGTCGCTGTGTTTCCCTCTGGACGTGTACCGCGCTGCTTACGTGTGAGTGTCCCTGTCTGTCGCTCTTTGTAAAGGTGGGTGCGCTGCGCTGGTCTGCGGCGCATGTGTGTTGTCGTAAATTATGTATCGCTCATGTCCGTATGCAAGTACCTGTGAAGTGAAGATGGTCCACCCGTGTCAAGTGCTATTTGTGATGCATCCATATATATCATGGCTGCTTTTGTTGTTGCTGGCTGTTGTGAAGACTTCCTGACCGGCTGACGGCGGCTGGTACACACACACACATCCCCATTAATTGATGCATGGTACAGTGCCTGGGTGCCGGCTGGCTGAGACCTTTTTGAAACCTGCTATGTCTCTGCCATTATATCTGTGTGTGCTGTCGGCCTGTTTTCGAAAGCGGCCCCCTTCTGGCTGAGGGTGGATGGGTAAAGGGCCGACGTACAGGTGTCCATGTGTCTTGTCTGCACGCCTCCATGAGGGAGGGATTTTGCCTTGTTGAAGGAGAGGGAGGGAGGGAGAGAGGGAGACAGTTTTGCCATCCATGGATTCACGCATGCGATGAATCAGCCAGCCCTTCACTTACTGATTGAGTGAAAGGATACGTCAAGATCAGATACAGTCAGTGCTCTCTTCTCTTCTTTCTCCTTGTGCGTGAGCGGACATGTTGATGAAGTGGCTGCTGTTGGCACCCCAAATATGCATTGACGACCCGCTGATCGACAACAGCCATCGACACCTTCGGATTTGAGTGCTTACACTCGGATTTGAACATGTCCATGGCCATCGTCGAGTTCTGGGTGAGTTCGATGCCACTGCACTTGGGGTGCACTGCGGTTGAGTTGTCGGGGCAGGACCTCATCGCCAGACTGGCAGGCGAGCTCCTGTCAGAGCGACAGTGTCAACCGGCATTGATGCTGCAATGCGTGAGTTTTCCTCCGGTGCACAAGTGTGACTTTTTTGCACGACACGGACATCCCACTCAATGACCTGTCGGCGGGCATCCCGCTCAATACTCGGGAGTATTGTACATTTGTACTTCTCAGTTGTGCGTTTATTGTGACGCCCTCTCACCACACAACAACGAAATCAGACGTGCAGACAGTGTAAAGGGCAATCCTTGTAGGCTTTCAGCTGACTTGTCGGGGTGGCGTGATGGGTGTGAAGTCAGCTGTGGTCAATTTGACAAGCGAAATGTGACCTCAGTGCCTTTTCCGAGTGAATTTGACGGCCGTGTCGCGAATTCTCGCCGGAGACAGAGACGATGTAATTTGCAATTGATAATCTTTCATTTCCCGCTGCCTGTGTGTGCATCTGTCTGTGCAGTCAATCCTAGGGATGGCCACTGGCGAGTGCGTGTACCTGCAGCCGTCGCCGGAGGTGTACAGGGCGGGCTCCTTCCACCACCAGCAGCAGGAGCCGGAGAGTGTTGGTGTCGGTGTCCAGGGTGTGGTTGAAGGTCTGTCGCCTCTGGTCAGCGTCGAGGGCACTGCCAGCTTTGCCCACGCACCGCAAACAGCTTCTCCCGCCCCCCTGAGTCCTCGCGGTGCCGCATGTGTGGACGATGACCCCATTCGCCAGCGCATCAGCTTCACGCGCGGGTCGCTCAAGGACTTGCTCGCTGAGACAAAGGCGAAAGGGCCGCTGCTGGCGGACGCCGGACGGCGTGCCACCAGGAGCTCATTCTCACCGTGTGTCTCCCTGTGTGTTTGTCCCTTCCTCTGCCCCTTCGAAGGCCCGAGGAATAACCGCTGTCTACATTTTATATCTCGTCGACCCTTTTTTCGATATCCTCGCCCCAGAAGACGGCCGACAACGGCCCTGGTCGTCTCTGCACCCCCACCGTGACCGATCGACTGACTGACTGACTGACTCACTGACTAACCTGACGTATGCCGTGATGAAGGTGCAAGCAGCGCCTCTCGATCGACGCTCAACATCATACTCTCTTAGAAACAACCAATATGCACACCAGCACTGCCTCTGACAGAGCAACACACAACTCTTACAGCAGTTCAGATCTGCAAAGGTGCGTGTTGAAATCGCTCGTAATACATCAGTCGCCGACGAGAGGAAACACATGCTGCGCACAGAAAGTTCAAACAACGGTGAGTTCCATTGCAGGAAGATCAGCTGCGATGGTGTTGCTCTCCGGAATGAGGTAGTGCGTGGTAGTTGGGGAGAGGAAAGGGAGAGGGGATTTAGTTTATGGCCTGGTTTGTCAGACAGAAAGACGACTTTGTGATGGGTGGGTTGTGCCATGCCATGGGCGAAGTTCTGCGAACCACATTCTAAACGCATCCATCATTCATCGCACCAGAATATGCTCACACGCCGCACCGCACCTGTCTGTCTGTGCGCGCACTACACGGCCCCGGATGAGTCCATCATGCAGCAGCAGATATGAAATGCAGACACCGCCAGACACGCAGCCCGCCAGACAGTCAGCTACTTCTGTGACGCCAGTCAGCCTGCAGAAGACACCCCAACACCCACACAATCCGCACACCAGGTACCCTCTGCATCGTCTGGGTGGTTCCCACCCTGTGTCTAAGGCGCCTGGCCGTCGAGCACGATGGCCGCGATGGGGCCGAGGACGCGACGGGGTTTGGCGGCCGTCAGGGGGAATCGCTGGGCGAAGGGGGCGTCATGGGCAACACCTGCTGCTGCAGCCTCGGTGGTACCGATGGTGACGCGCACTGCACAAAGACAACAGCAGAGGATCAGACAACGTGACAGCATGAGGATGTGTTGTCAATGTGTATGCGTACCGTTTCGGTGGTCGCTCGGCTGGATACGAAAGGCGATCCATGCAAAAAATTGGTCGTCCGACGTCGTCAGCACATGCAGCTGCCCACACAGCCCATTGGCCAGCCCGTAAGCCATCACGCCCGAGCATCCGTTGAGGGGCGTATGCGGTGATCGGGTCATGATGCTGTCGAGGTGGCCACCCCGCACACGACTAACTCACACATCAATGCGCACCACATAGCCATTCGCCCTCTCATTGCGTGCCGTCCGTCCACTCACCGGTCCACCACCACTGCTGGCGAGCAGCCGCCCAGAGTCCGCACCCGGTGACGCAGTATCAGACGCTTAAGCATGCAGCTCGCCGATGCGAAAACCCTGTTGACAACACCCGTCCCCCAGCCCACACCATACTGCCACCCATGCCACTCAATGCGATGGCGGACTGGCGGGTCGTGCGGCTTGGCGTGGTGGGTGAAGGGGTGCCGCGAGAAGGGATGGATGGCGCGGTTGGGGAGGGGGAGGGGCGGGTTGATGGTGAGGGTGAAGTTGGGCTCGTTGCGGATGATGCGGATCTCATTGGTGTGGCGGAACAGCTCTAGTGTGCCGTCTTGCTGGCCGCCGGGAAGCTGGAAGGCCACATGGCGGCCGACGAGCATCCACTGCACACAGAAACGGGGCAGCGCCAAGAAGTCCTGCAGCCAACACACACGCATCCAGCAGCTCGCCCATTGCCTCTTCTGTGTGTCGTGCTTACCGCCTTGGTGGCGTGTGTCTGGAGGTCTCCAGCACCCACAGTGACCGGCAGCTGACAGTAGCCGCCATGCTCGGCGAATCTGAGCGTCTCGCCTACCTCCCCCCAGCCGCCCTCGCCCCCCTCCTCCACCATCCACATGGCCTTCATCACATCGCCGTGGCTCAGCTGATCGTCGAACTGCACCACACCACTCAGCCCCGCCCGCTCGATGGCCTTCGGCAGTCGAAGGTTGCGGGCGATCGGCCGGATGGCGTCGGTGATGGGTCGTGCAGTCGACTTGAAGCGGGCGATAGCGGTGAGGTCAGACTGTGCGATGACGACGCTCAGGGGCCGGGCGGGGAGGTCGTACAGGTGCAACCGTCGCGCCTGATGACACACAGACAGAAGGACATGCACACAACACACACATGAGACGTGCACACCACATCAGTGTGGGTCTTGTGTTTGTGCCTGCCTGTGGTCACTCCCCCACTCACCTGTGCGCGGCGATGTCTTGTGAGTGCGATGGTCGAGTTGATGGACTCCGTCAACTCGGCCAGCAGCTCGGACACAGCAGGAAATTGACGACTCACCTTATCCACCATCTGACAAATGACTCACCAAGACGAGAGCAACTTGGCACAAAGGCCTTTGTGCAGCGGTTGTCAGTGTGCTCTTTGCAGCCTGCCGCACCAGTGGTGCCATCGAAGCTGCGGTGTCCGTCTGTGTGAGTTGGTCGATGCAGCTGTTGACCTGCACACCACACACACACACACACACACACACACAAGCAAGCAGCCGATGAGCGCTGGATGCACCACATGGAATGGACGAGTCGGTTGGTGAGTTGTTGGGCTGATACCTGAGCCTGCTTCAGCCGATAGCCTTCTACCTGGGGCAGCAGCCGCGCCCGTACCGCCGCGCTCATCTGCACCAAACCGAATGACAAACCACACACAGACAGCACAAATGGCTCACGTCATGATGCAGGGATTTGGTTTGGCCCGCAGCTCCCTCTTCTCTCACCTGGGCGGCGGCAATGGCAGCCATCGTGCACCCAAGAAGCGAAAGCTATGAATCGGAGTGCTGTTTTGTGGCTTCAACGGGCTCAGGCGTACAAACTGTCGTCGCCATGCTACTTCTCTGCGCTCCTTGGGCTCTCTTGCGATTGCCTAGTAAGCTTGAGCTCGCAGTCGTCCGACAGATCTGCAGATCCAGATCAGCTGCGATGGTGTTGCTCTACGGAATCGACGACAGCCAGGTGTTCACGCCCACATCGAAGCACATGGACGGAGATGCAAGTGAAGCGCATTCTGTCTGTCTGTCTGTCTGTCTGTCTGTGTTTGTTTGTTGCATGCAGCTCACCACAGAACAGATCAGGTCAGTGGATCAGCGGAAGGATGCTGCATCTGCTGATCCACACGGGTCCATGTGCTCGCGAACAGGGCGTGTCTGCTCGAGGAGGAGGGGCGGACGGAATCCTGCAGCGGTATCTCATCAACGAGTAAGCAACACGACCGCACACAGACACGCGGAGATGCATTCATCGATGTGCATGCGCGTGTCTGTCTGTGTCAGGGGTGTGTGTCATCCCACAGTGACTTCCCATTATATGGTGCCTGCCGTCCACGAGCAGGAGTGGGAGCGACAACAGCTGGAGCGTCAGCGTCAGCAAGAGCAGCAGATAGAGTCTGCCACAGCACCCGATTACGCATACCAATACAATGACCGGGCTGAGTATTGATTGTATGATGCACCAATCGAGAGCGCATCCCACTCACCCGTCTGTGACCTTTGTGTGTGCAGGTGAGAGCCCGCAGCGCCATGACGGCCGAGGCGACGTTGGCAGTGACGGAGGGAGTCCGAGCTCGGCAGGAGACTACACAGGACAGAGATTTGGTACGTTTACTCCAGACAGACAGACACACCGATATGCGTGTGTGTGCAGGGGGATCGACTCCTTGAGACCTTCCTGCATGGCGCCGGGACATACGAAGACGTACGTCTGTGTGTGGGCACATGATGCATCACCAACCAGTACTTGTTAGACGTGCTCGCCTGTTGTTGGTGTGGTCAGTTCATCAACTATCAGGGTGCCGCTGCCTGGGCATATCAGGTCAGACACACAATTGCGACGCGATACGCATGCACCGCTGCTCCCGTGTGTGTGTGTATGCAGGTGGATGACATCCTGACGGACAAGTGCAGCGAGTGGCGGCTGCTGTCGAACGGTGAGCTCACTGGCACACAAATACAACCATACGGGCGGCCGCGTGTGTATTCCAGTACGCGGCTGCGCGAGAAGTACAGGGGCCTCAGCAAACACCTGTATCATGTGGGTGGCCATACACACATCCACAGAGCAAACACATCTGGACCACACGGACGTCGACCCAGAAAAGGCTGTGTGGACCCGTGTGTGAGTATCAGCGGCCCCCCAACCACTGCCGCAAGCTGGAGGCGAGTGACCTCCAGACCTCCAAACATCCAAGTGCGCATATCACACACACAATCGTGGATGCGATGGGATGAACGGATGTGTGTATCCGTACATGGGTGTGCTCTATTCATCTGTGTGCAGAGGACGGCCCTCGGTGCGACTTCGACAACTCATTCATTCGCTTCCTGCGCGACTTCTTTATCGCCAACTATGTGAAGGTACGCAGACGACACAACACACACGCACACCGGACGCATCCACGAGTCTCTCTGTGGACATGCATTCATTAACGCAGATGGGCGCCCTCACTGTGGACAATCCGCGGCACTCTGCTGTGGATCAGCTGACCATCAAAGTCGACGAGACTCCCGTGCTCGACGAACACCGTATGGCACATGTCACAGGCAGACACACACGATCACCGAACACGTGTGTGTTTCTTGACCTGGTGCATTGGTTCATGACACGCAGATCGTCTGGGTCAGAAGGAGGGCGGTCTCAACTGGGCGTGGAAGGCCACCATGAAGCAGGGCAAGTGCACGCAGGTGCGCATCACACACGTGGCCATGTGCATGGGTGGGTGGGTGGGTGAGGATATCACTTCTCCCCATCTCTCTGCGTGTGCAGGTCTTTTTCATCATGACCTACTGGCCACACGACATGCTGCAGGACACCACCACCACCACCACGAAGACAAATATGCACGTGTGCATCCATATGCGCATTCTTGTGTGTGTGCAGGCTGCGTGCGACAAGTTCGCCGATGTGGTGAATGACTTCATCAGCCAGGAAGCACAGCTAGTGTTGCTCAGGGGCTGGGACACACTGGTATGTACCGTCCCGACCACACAAATGCTCTCACCAACCGATGTTTATCCGTCCGTCTGCATGCACTGTGTATATTCGTTCACTCATCCAACGCAGCAAGTGTGGGCGTCGTTTCATCGGCCGTCCTACAAGCCCGAAGGCCCCCTCCCTTCCAGCTGAGCAGCCGAAACAGCAGCAGCGGGCCAAGCAGGCGTGGAGGATACAACCGGGCGAGTGGCGTACACACGCCTTCTCTCCTGTGTACCTACAATACACATTGCTGCCTTAGTGCACATGTGTCTATTGTGTGTGTCAGTGTGGTGGTCGTGGCGGCGGCCGTGGCGGAGGCAGACGCAGGGGAGGCAACAGGGGCATCCTCTGATAATGAGAGAAAGAGAGCCTCAAGGCAACACAGAAGCCTTTTTCTGTGCCTATTGCAAGTGTATTCTATATGCGTGCCACTGAGTGTGTCATTGATATCCATCTGTGCATGCCCTTTTTGTGTGGTGTGTTGACCTGTACTGATGATGGAGCGGCACATAACCCTCGATGTTGACCCCTGCCAAAGTGTTTCGCCAAATCGTCTCCATTTTGACGGCATGACAGGCATAGAGCCACCTGTGGTCAATCCGGTGAGACGCTCAGTGCCTTTTCCGAGCGAATTCGGATGTTTGTCGAGAATTCTCACCGGAGACAGAGACGCCGCGATTTACAATTCAGTGATTTTTAGCAGATTTCTCAGCAGATTTGCCACAGTTTGCGCTGTTTCCTCCATATCCCCTCCATCTCTGTCCCCATTCACCTGTTCTCTTCGCCAGCCGCCCTCCCTCACAACCTCCCATCGACCTCCCGCTCCCTCATTGACGAGACAGGCAAAGACAAACAGCAGCGCGCGGCTGGGCCGGGGGAGGGAGCAGCGCCGCCCGTCCCTGCGGGCGGCCCGCAGCCCGAAACGGGGGGCACATAAGCCTTCGCCTTTGGCCAGCCGGCCGAAACCGGAGAAGGGACACGTGTTGATATGATAGGCTGTCGTCTTTTCAGTGTCGAGCAGAATTCACTGAGAGCCTGCCTGAAGGCTCTTCCTTCGATAAAGCCCACTGTCCGTCCGTCCGCCTGTGGAGTCGAGCCGAGCAGCCAGCGTTCGTGTCGGTCATGCGTCGCAACAGCGGTGAGGAGGGGCTGAGGTATTCCGACATCGAGTCACAGCAGTCCGAGGAGAGGGAGAACGAGGAGGTCAGAGGCAGAGGGCGATCACGTCACTAAGCAAGGAAGGGGATGGATGGATGGGATGGATGAATGGACGGCTCGCCTTGCGCCATGTGACATGGCTGTGTGATGTCCATTCATCGTGGTTTCAGCAGCACAACTTCGAGGGGGACGTGGACGTGACGGGCGGCAAGGAGGACTACGTTTGGAAGGGCAAAGAGTACGAGTGCACGGACAAGAACTCTTCTGCGTGTGTGTGTGTGTGTATGTGTGTGTCCATGTCACACAGCGCTGGCCACGCCGTTGGCAAAGGTGCTGATGGGTGTCTGTCGCTATTGGAAGGTGGTCAAGGCCTACGTGGTACAGACACATGCAGATGAACACTCACACGCGGACGCGACCACACCTATCTGTGCGACTGCATACATACCTGTCTGTCTCCCATCCGTCAGTTGGCCGAGAAGGTGGATCTGCTGCTCGACTGTGGCATGAGCATCTCGCTCAAGCACCGGTGGGTGGGGTGGGGCCGGGACACACATTGATTCACACACCACACGGGTACACACACATACCCACATCCACGGCTGTTTGTTGTGTGTCTACTGTACTGTACCTGTGCACGTGTTGTGTAATCTGATTGATAGCATGTTCTGCACCGGCGGGCAGGGCAGTGTCCCCATCGGGGCGCCGGGCAACAAGATCCCGTCGGTGCAGCCGTGGCTGGTGCAGGTCCGCCACAAGAAGAAGCAACAGGTACGTACGTACGTGTGCCATGGGTTATCACACTGGCCATGAATACACACGACGCTCTCCATGTGTTTGTCATTGCGGGATGGATGGATGGATGGCTCGGTCAGTTGGTCGTCATCTTGAGCTCGTGGAAGGAGGAGTTGCTTCGAAGCCTGTTCACCATGGTGGAGAGAGCACTCACCCCCTACGCCACCCTGCAGGCGTACGCACCGTCGAGCAGCACACACACGCACGGACAGAGACGTGTGTTGATGTGGATGGATGGATGGATGCTGTCTGCAGTCAGTTTGAGACGGTCCCACCTTCGAGAAAACACTCATAGAGACACTCAGCAACAGCAAACTGATGGTGGGGACACACACAATAAACAGACAGACAGACAGACACAGAGAGAGAGAGAGAGAGGCCACGGGGCCACACTCATACCCTGTCTGCCGGCTGAACCTCTGTTAAACAGCCGGCCCGCCTCGCGTCAAAAGGGAGATGGTCGGACGAGGTAAGGAGAGACTCCGAGCCTCAGGAACGGACAGAAAGAGGGCAGGACGGCTGGGAGCGAGGAGGGCCATAGGGATGCAGGACAGGGTAGGAGGGACAGAGCGAGCGGACACGCGTGTGCATGCGTCGACGGAGAGCACAGTCGCCTTCATTTCCTTCTTCTCTGTGTGCTGTGCGTCGCTCCCAATGCTGCAGCCGTGATAGCGACCATCCCCAGCGACCGGCTGCTCATGGAGGGGATAAGGGAGCTCATCGAGGACCGAGAATACGCGAAGGGTGAGACCAAACTCCGTCAATGTATGTATGTGGACACGCCCACACGCTCTCTGTCTATGCAGCCCGCATCCAGGAGTTCAAGGGGCGCCTTGAGGAGTTGTACGCACACATCCGAGAAATAAAGGGTCAGTCACAGTTGCACAATGGGGTCAGAGCAGCCACACACGAGGAGAGACAGACAATCCCTTGATCGATTCTTTGCGGCATGTCTGTGCATATCCGCCATTCATGCCGGCAGACGAGAAGAGGGAGCTGGAGCAGCAATGGCCACAGCAGCAACCAGCCTGTTGGAGCTGCACCTCTGGCACATGGACCGCATCCCTCACTCTGCCAAGACAGACAAGGTCTTGCGAGGTACGCAAGAAAGGCCGTCTCACGATGGCTGGGAGCGAGGGGGGCCATAGGGAGGCAGGACAGGACAGGAGGGACAGAGCGAGCGGACACGCGTGTGCATGCGTCGACCAAGAGCACAGTCGCCTTTATTTCCTTCAGTGATGGCGGCCGTGTCCACCGACAAGGACTTCATCGATGAGATAGTGTTGCTCGTTGAGGACCGAGACCGAGCCAAGGGTGACCAAACTGCCGTCCATGTAGTATGTGGACACGCCAACACGCTCTCTCTGTCTGTCTGTCTATGCAGCCCGCCTGAACCTGCTCGAAGACCGGCTCACGAGACGCATCGCCGACCTCGACCACACCCTGAAAGAGCTGCAGGTTAGTGACCGCAGACAGGGCAGAGGCAGGCCGAGTGTTCCTTCATGCAGGAGGCCGAGGAGGTGGTTTTCGGCGCCTCACAGCCTGACTGCAGGTAAACACACACACACACACACACACACGAGACAATACACCCATAGAAGCGTGTATGTATGTGTGTGTTGTATGTGTGTGTTCCACCGTGTGTCTCTCTGTGTCTGTGTCTCTTCCTCTGCCCCTTTGAAGGCCCGAGGAATTACCGCTGTCTACATTTTATATCTCGTCGACCGTTTTCTCAATGTCCTCGCCCCAGTAGACGGCCGACAACGAGTCTGCTGATGTCTACGAGGCCACTCAGCGTGTCTGTGGTGGCTAATGTTGGTTGTATGTGTGCGTTGTCAGTCTGCGATTTCTGAGTCATGGCTTGTCTGGAAGACTCAGAGCCTGACTTACGCGAGGATTGAAGAGCGCTCATGAATGAGCACAAGATGAGTCATCACACCTTGACCTAACGGCCATGGGTGCGGGCAGCTGGGTGTCGCTGGCCACCGAGCCGAAGCATCCCTTCCACCAGATGACTGTGAGGGGGGGCGTCATGGCCAGCGAGGCCAGGCAGCTGCTCCGCACCTTCTTCAGGGAGGCGCGGGCGAGGGGAGGGGCGAGTGGGGTGCCTTCACTGACGGGGGAAGGAAGTGGAGAAGGGAGCGGTGTAGCTGAATGAACCCATTTAGTGGGTTGCAAACGCATTTTGGCTGGGACATTTGTCGATGATTGTGTGTTGTGTGACAACGGCCATGGTCGTCTCTGCATCCCCACCTTGACCGATCGACTGACTGACTGACTGACGTGACGTATGCCGTGATGGAGGTGTAAGCGCTTCATTTGTCCTTCCGTCAATCCCTGCGATGTAGCGCGCGCCCTGTACACGGGCTCTGGTCGTGTTGTGGGCAGTGGGTTAGGTGGCGCCGTTGTGGTTTGCGTGGGCGGGCGATGAGAGTGAGGAAATGAGATTGCCAGCGTTCATTCGTGTGGTGGCAGGACATCAGGTTTGACCTCAATCCAGAGCAATGAATGGCTGTGGGGTGTTGCATCTGGTCCTGCGCGTCAGTGCCCATGCAGAGACAGACAGACAATCACCCACCCACCCACCCACCCATTTCATCGCCCTGTCTCTCTACTCATCCCGGGCGGGGGTCTGGGGGCCCGGTTCTCCTTGTAATTCCTCTTCCTTCCCTTCGAGTCTCGGACGCTGCTGCCCGCATACAAAACAAAACACACAGCAGGCACCAACATATGTACACTCATTGATTGTGTCACATCTGTTGGTTCACCTCTGGGCTGTGATTTTGCCACTTTTGCGCACGGGGCTTCTTCCTGCCCTTCTTGCTTCGGCCGGGTCGGATCACAGGGGACGGCGGCCGAGGATCCAGGTCGATGTCGATCAAGATGTCCTCGAGAGCGAGGTCGAGTCGTCCCAGCACAGGGGGCCACATGGCCGCCGACAGGGGGAAACGGTCGGTGATCAGGTCAGAAGAGTAGTCAGCACGCCGTTCAGAGGTGTGCAGAGAGAGTGAGCTCATTCCCAGGTGTGAGAGGTACGCGAAGGCGATGAACGTGTCGGTGGGCCGGTACCCGCTCACGACGATGTAGCCATGGTCCAGCGCATCACGACCCTGGCGGCCGACCTCCACGGTGATGCCCTCCTCCTCGGGAATCTCGACAGTCAGCATCTGGATACTGAGTGAACGGTGTCCTACCTCCTTAAAAGACCCCCGACACCACCTGCCAAGCAGAGCGCCCTGTAGAAATGACGTGAAGGAGGGAAAGAGGCGGGGCAAGATGCCAAGGAGACTGAAGGTCGACTCGCTGATGACTGGGTCGGTCTCGTCGTAGCCCACAGCAAAGGGATGGTTGGCCGGCAACTCATCCAGCGGCACCACACGAAAGTCACCGACGTGAGGCAGCCGATACGTCCCGTTGTCAAGCAGCTGCAGCTGAAGGCTATCTCCATGGTATCTCAGCTGATCTCCGATGAGCATGTAGATGGCCATGGCGAGGGGCTGCTGCTGCAGCACCGACATGGTGGGCAGCGAGTCAGCCGATAGCACCAGAGGCCGTTGAGGCCCATATTCGGTCATCTTCTCGGTGGAGGCCATGCGGATGAATCGTCCCATCAGCCGCCACTCGCTGCTGCCCTGCTCCAGCAAATGGACGATCTTGAAGGCGCCCTCCAGATCAGTGGCTGTGAAAGACAAGGCATCCTGCAACCCCAGACGGCCCAGAACCTCCTCTATGTGCTGCTTGACGAGGCCCAGCATCACGTCCACCTCACCGGGATGGAGCTTGTCGATCTGCGAGCGGAGTGAGTCGCGCGTTCCGTCATCGGCCGACATGGCCATGGCTGCGGACTTGTTGACTCCGAGTGTGAGGAGGGAGGAAAGGGGGGCAGGGCTGCTGGGGCGGTCAGCATGAGGGGGCTGCTGGGTAAAAAGACGGTTCACCTCTGGGCTGTGATTTTGCCACTTCTGCGCACGGCGCTTCTTCCTGCCCTTCTTGCTCGGACAGGGTTTGATCACAGGGCTCGGTGGCCGAGGATCCAGGTCGATGTCGATCAAGATGTCCTGTTCCTCGAAGTCTGCTGGGGGCGCTTTGATCGGCGGGCCCATGGGCGGCCCCGGCGGTGGGCGAGAGGGTAGAGAGAGGATGTATGGCGGCGTGAAGGGTGGCGGAGGGCCAGGGGGGCGATGTGTGAGTGTCTGCGGCAGGCCGACCACCGGTGGGTGGCCAGGGGGACCATTCGACGGCAGGATGGGCACTGGGCGATGGGCGGGGTAGCGAGACGTCACCAACGCCGCCACCTCCCGAGACTCATCATCGGTTGCCGAACGCCTCTTTCTCTCCGTCTGTGGCCTCTGCTTCTGCTCCATCTCGCCCTCTCTCGTCGCTTGCTGCTGCTGCTGCTGCTGCTGTGTCGGGCCCTCCTCTCTCTGGGGCATGGGAAGCATCGGGCGACCACCATGGCTCATGATCCACCCCAACGGAGGCACGGGCGGCCGCATGACGCTCCCGTCATTCATTCGCGGCCCAGCATGAGCCTGCGGGCCGCCGATAGGTGGTCCGTGGGGCCGGATGAATGGCGAGGGGGGCGGCGGCCGCTTGGCGAAGTGGTGCAGCTGGAATGGAGCCGGCGAGCCAGGGGGAGGGCGAAACGACGCGTAGGGTGATGGCTGCGGGAGGGGGAACGAAATGCGGCTGTCGGTGTCCACTGTCTCCACACGCCCGTGGACGAAGCCGGGAACACCGGGGCCCGTGAAGCCGGGCGGGCCGGGCAGGCGAGAGCCATAAGAGATGAAGGGGCCTGCAGCTCTCCCTCTCCGCGATCTCATCTGCGCCCCATACACGCCGGCCTCCTCCATCTGCGGGGCGTGCATGCCGTGGGGTGCTGGGTAGCTCGGTCGCATGTGCGGTACCATCATCGCTGGACCCCTGAATGGGGGGCCGTAGCCGGACGGTGGCCCCACGCCGAAGGTCTCCTTCTTCATTCGCTGGTTGCTGGAGGGGGCGAGTGGCGACCGCTGCGCTGCTGCCGCTGCCGCTGTGCTGGGCTCTTCTTCGATGATCGGGGGAGCCGGGCAAGGGGCGTCGGAGTCGATGATGCGCCACTGCATAGAGAGAAGACGGATGCCATGTGTGTTGTGGTCCGGGCAGGTCGGTGTGTTGTGTGTGCACCCACTTGTATGATGCAGTTGTCCTTGCCGCCACTGGTGATGAGTGTGTCATCCTGTGTCCACCTGACGCACGTGTCAATCAACATGCAGCACACATGTGTCGGTGTCTGAGACAGATGTGTTCTTCTTACTTGACAGATGAGATGGCTGCAGCGTGCCCCCAGTGCTCGTGGCAGTCCGCCACGGCAGGACACGGGAAAGGAAACAAACGCACTCTGAACCCACAACGAACACATCCTTTGCAGCCCGGTCGTGATTCACCTTCCCTCCCTCCCTCCCTCCTTCCTCACCTGCCACATGTGGTTCCCGCGGCGAGTAGGTGGTGTCGTCTGGCCGACTCGCAGCCGACGATGGCACTGGTGGCCATCCCCAAATACTGACCACCGCTGCTCTCACCCACGATGCCGCCAACTGACCCACAAAGAACACACACAAATGGTATGGTCAGCAGCAAGGAGGGAGGGAGGGTGGCATCTCACCGAGGAATCCAGTGGTGAGTCTCCATGGGTGGCTGTCGGAGAACCAGATGGCCGACTGGATGACCCCCAAATCATCCCCCTGCATCGTGTCCAGCCGGGCACCCTCGGGCACACGCCACCACATTATCTGATTGATGGATGCAGCACCCACACACCAAAGACAAGACGCGAGTGGAATACCCATTTGCGCAACGCACTGTGATATCCTGAGGTACGTTTTTGGTTTTGTCGGTGATCATGAGGAGCGACGAGTCCTCGAAGAACTGCAGCTCGTGGAACGGGGACGGGCCGCCCTGCAGACTGCAACGCTTCTCAACCTGTACACATGACCCCCCACAAGACATCACAAATCGTGAAGCAGAGTTGAATGGGCTCCTTCCTCTTTGTCTCAATCTCTCTCTCTCTCACCCTGAGGTAGGGCATGATGCCTCTGAGTTGCACGACGACGTGGTAGATGGCCGCCTCGGGTGATGAGGCGGACGTGGCGGCGATGAACTCCCCCGACGGGGCGAAACCCATGTCTCCGATCGACCAGGATCCAACCCTCTCACGACACAATCTGCACACATGGACGGACACAACGCATGGATCGGTGCATGGATGGATGTGGCGAGAAGGCGTGTGCCATGTCTTGCCTGTTGCAGTCTTGGATAGGAGTCCCATACCCACAGTCAGGCGTCGCCACAAAGTGCAGCCCGCCCTTGCTGGTGCCGATGGCCAGCACCTCACCCGTCAGATGATACGCTAAACACGTCACAAACACCGGAGGGCCACCACCATCTCCGCTGCTGCTGCTGCTGCTGCTGCTGTTGGCGGCTGCTGCTGCAGGTGCTGCGGGCCCCGTGCGTGTGCCGGTGGCCAATCCGGGAGATGAGTTGGATGCGCCCGAGGCGAGGCTGACACGGTAGGGGCGGCGGGGGAGCTCTGCATGGTGCTCGACGTCGATGAACCTGCACCAAAACAGCATACGGGACATTCATGAACGCCACGACACACATCCCTGTGTGGCCTCTCTTCTCTGTTGGTCACTCACTTGGCGATGCTCTGTGCGCCTACAGCGATCTCAGAGTTCCGATATGGGTGGGCCGCGATGGCACACACGGGGCCGGGTGACGGCACCAGCCGCAGCAAACGGCCCGTGTCGGATGGCTCGTGGCTGGCGGGGCCGGGGAGGGCCGAGGATGGGTGCACGACACACAGATCGCCTGACACCGTGCCTGCAACAACCGAAAGATGGATCTTCATTTGTCGCCATGCGCCGAGGTGTGTGTGTTGTGTGTACATACCGATGACGATGGATGGTCTGGATGGGAATATGCACGTGCGGATCTGCACCCCCTCGCCGTCAAGGCTACACTCAATCTGCAGTCCGGGACAAGCACGAGACACAAGCATAGACACCGAGTATAGAAGAACGGCAGGTCTTACAGGTTCTGCAGCTGTGTTGTGGTCTGGATCTAGGAAGTAGATCTTGCCGTCGTCTCCCCCGCACACGTAGCCGCCCTCGTCATCGGGCAGCACAAACGACAACGCAAGCCCTGCACACACACATCCATGACACAGACATTGTTACATGACCCTCTCTCTTTCTCTCTCTCTTTGTCGTGTCTCGTTCGGGCGGTGGGTGGGTGGGTACCTCTGGTGGGCAGTTCGATGACACACATGGCTATCATGTCCCTCAGGATGACCACCGTCCCCTCTGACGTGGCCGCAGCAACCGTGCTTGAAACTCTAGTACTGCCCTTGCCCCTCCCACTGGCCGCCGCAGCAGCTGCTGCTGCTGCTGCCGCTGCTGGTGCTGGTTGCTCCCCTGCTTTGGTCGTGGTCTTCTGTTTGTTGGACGGGCGACACTGCAGGGCGGAGCGGACCTCCTCGTCATACAAAAATCGACAACACGTGATGATCTGACAAACACACCACAAGACAGAGCGGAGGCAGTGGCTGGTCTCTCTTCATCTCCTGATCTCTCTGCTTACATTGGGTGGGATCCCGCCTCTCTCTCCCGGTTTGGCCTCCGTCACTATGAGTGGCCCCTTGCCGTCCCCCGCCCCCGCCACCCGCTTGGACAGGTCCATGCCGCCCCATGATGCGTTGGTCTGGTCCAGCTGCTCGCCCTCGTCGTGACGGTTCCACAGCATGGCCTTCAGCAGCTGGTGGCCGTACACGACCACCTGGGATGCGTCGGTGGGGTGGGCTGTGATGCCCAACACGGGACGATCCGACACCACTGCAGACATCACCGACCGGGGCGGATCGCCACGGTCCAGCCCCTCCAATTCCCTACACGAGAGAAAGAACAAGAGAATGAATGACGAGACACCCGTCACTGAGCCTCGTCTGGCGCACCCCCACCCACCGTACCACGCATAGAGGACCCCAATTCTGTTGTCTGCTGGTGTCGATACGTCAGGTGTCACGACGGCATAGAGAGTGGATGCGTCGTTTGCGAAGCAGCATGCCTCCACGACGGGGTCCTCGACGAAGAGCCGCGCCGCCTCGCCGCATCCGCCGACCCGCCAGAGGGATATGAACGACTGGCGCGCCAGACCGGGGGGCAGCGGGGGGAGCGGCGCATCTTGACCTGTTGACACGGCACACAACAACCAGGGAGAAGGAATGTGCGTCGGTGTTTGAAGATGCACGTGCGTACCCGTGGCGACGTATCCCGTGGCTGCATTGTAGTCGATGCACGTGATGCGGCCCGTGTGGACGTTGAAACACCGCTGGCTGTTGGACTCGATGTCCAGCACTGTCCAGAACAGACAGACAAGGGAATGGCCGGCGTGATCCCGTCTTTCTCTTGTCATGCCGGCAGCTGACCGACAGCTACTCCGTTGATGCAGTAGAGGACCTCTTTGCTCGATACCGAATACAGATTGTTGCGAACGCTGACAGACACCCAGCAGACCAGGCGAGATCCATCCATCCATCCATCTGTCCATCCATCCGTGGAGGTCTGACCTTCCAGAGTATCCATAGGCAAAGTTCACCTCCAGCTTCTCGGGGGGAGCTGGGATGGGCTCCTCCCCGGCAGGCTCTGCCATGGTCGTCACATTATCAGCACCCCACCATCAAAACACCATCTGACGAAGCGGAGTGGTCAAACATTTGTCTTATGAGAGATCTGTCTATTGTGTGGTTTCTTTCTCGCTCTCTTGCGTCATTCGATGCTTACGCACATCGAAGGGGCCTCCGATCGTCATGCTTTTGCGGCTGGGATTACTCAGCTCGCATCGGATAGCTCGCGATCGGAAGGCGCGTGACCACTGCAAAGGGGCCGCCCTAATGCCGCTGCCAATAATTGATGCGCGCAGTTCATTTTCACTTTGCCATGATAGACGAGTCTGCAAACCGATGAATTTGCCTGTCCATTCCTTCTCGTGTGTTGTGTGTGTCAGCAGCTCGATGGCCACCACACATCAGAGGAATTTCACCACTCACACCCGCTTCACAGCCACCACACCAACACTCGACGAACGAACCAAGAGATCCTCTCGTCTTTCTCTTTCACACATACCTGTGTCCACCCACACGCATTACACAGACACACAGAACACACGCGGTACGGTGCGGTGCACACATCGTTTGCAAGAACGAGAGACGGACGGGCATCTGCCGTCCAGCCATCCCTGTCTCTCTGCTGTGCATCTCGCTGGTGCTCTACCGTCGCATACCAACGCGAGATGCACAAAAGAGGGAGGGAAGACGCGCAAAGGAGAACAAGTGATAGGCGACAAAAGGGTCACACATCGATCCATGCAGTTAGTACACACAAACATACATCCACACGCAGGCAGGCGTCTCTGTTCTCACAGGCGACTCTCAGACACCATGTGTCGACATCCGACTGCAGACAGAGCAAAACCTACTTGCATACCGAGTTGAACAATACGAAGTTAGTTAGTCATCTCGCGACTCGCGCTCAAGCCGCCACACCATCCCCCCCAAATACCCACCCAACACACCCATCAAAGCACTGCGGGTGCGCTCATAAGGCGCTGGTTCCGTCGCCCACACCCAAACATACATACATGGCCATGTTGTCTGACACGCCTCCAGCGTGATCATCGCCATCTGTCCCTCACCCACCGCCTCACTCCCCAAAACCACCAGCCGGTCGTGCCACGTCGCCCATTCGTTCTTCTTGTCATAGACCGCCCCGCCCGCTCCCCACTGTCCACCCCCGCTGCAGCTGGGAGAGGCCGTCAGCAGCTCTCGCACACGCTGGAATGCACGGGAATCACGGCAGTTGGACCACCACTGCCTGATGTGAGCGAGGGGGTTGCGCTCCGGCGAGCTCCGAGTCAGCCATTGGTACAGGGTGAAGGCCACCAGTGATGTGTACGTGCTGTAGATGTCGATCACGTGGTCGTTCCGACGCATTGGGGGGCTGTCGCCATCGAATGTGTCAGGGCTGAAGGGACGGCTGGGCCCGGTGAGAGGGGAGAAGCTGATCAGGCCGGTGTAGGGGTTTGCGGATGGCGCTGCCTTCCATCAGCTGTCTCTCCTGGCCCAACACATCGATGACAGTGAACCCCGAGCTGAGTATCCTCCATTGTCGAGACGCCTCTCCTTCATTGACAAACGCCTCCCGGCTGTCGAAGACACCAAACTGCTCATCAGTCAGCACCAGCGGCCTCCTGCGTTGCAAGTGGTACAGCATCTCGAGAATGGGCCTCCACCTGGCCCAGTTGCCGCCATTCTCCAGCATGAACAAACGGCGGGTCAGCGACTCGATGAGGGTTGCAAAACAGCATCCGTGGCTGAATGCCTTCGGGAGGGGCAGCTGGGGAAATAGACAGACCAGGAAGGAGCCAAGGCCGAGAGTGGGCAACAGGAGGACCAATAGGCGTGTGAGAAGGGGTACAAGCACGTCGGGTGTGAGGGTGGCGTGGTGGGCCTTGTCGATGCGGCGGAAGGCCGACAGCTCGGTCCTGCTCAGGCACTTGGGTACAATAGCGAAGAGCACGCCCCCCTGCCTGCTGCCTGTGAAAACACCACACACACAGCATATGAAGAGAGACAGAGAGTCGTGGTACTGCGCCAGCCTCACCTGTAGAACTCGCCGTGGCCTTCTGCGTTTTCGACCTTGCAGCCGACATGCCTGCCACAAACACACACATTTCACATGAGCACTGTCACCCCTCACACCTCCCCTCACGCACCCCATTGCCCACACCCTCCATCCTCCTCGGTACCTCAATGGATCAAATCAGCCACTGTCGCTGCAGGATGTCGTTGCGTCTTCTGCATTGCGAGAGGAAGGGCCGAATCCGATGACAGAGCCTCAGAAGCTTTGAGCGCGCATGCAAGCTTGAAAAACCAACGAGGCAGGATGCAAGATGTAAGGACAATGCGCATTGTGCGAAAAGGCCGGTGAGGACCTTTCCTGTAGTTAGCTCAATAGAGGATCTGCTGGGCGGTAAGTCCCAGAGTAAGAGTGCTTTTACTTTAATAAGACCGATGGACTGGCCAATCAGTGAAAGTTATTTCTGTCCATGTATGGCATCATGAAGGGTGGTCAACACAGATCTCACTTCGGTGATGGCTGATAAGATCGTGTCTCCTCAGAATGCTTTCCTTGTCTTTTCTTGTCTTCTCCTCTCTCTCTCCGTTACACAGCAATCTACCCTAGCTCACAAGCTCGCAGTGGTTCGTCTTGCCAAGCTGGCAATCCTGACACGCATGATGTAAGCACAATACGCATGACTCCCTGGCTCTATCGATGAATTTCTTCCTACCTCTGTCGTCCTTTCCTTTGCTGATCTGTGCAGATCTCGTCTTGCGTGACCGTGCGGGTGCCCCTCACGCCATCCCGGACTGACTGCAACGTGGAGGCGCGACACATCAGTCACAAGTTGTGAGAGGCGGAGAGGCAATCGACCGACCTGTCTGTGTATGCAGGCCCTCGTTCCGCCACACTGTAGCACACCAGCCATGCATCGGCACATGCAAGCAAGTAAGCCAGTACACAAGACGCTGCTAGGTCCGCACACGCCATCCATCCATTCCCTCGTTCATTCATTCCGTGCTGTGTCGGTCTGTCTGTCTGCCTGTCTGCACGTATGTGTGATGAATGAGGCGACTTCGGTCGTAGCCAAAGAGAATAGAAACGAAGGAAAAGGAGAAACGGAAAAGAAAGAAAAAACCTTACGGGGCGACGGCGCCCTTGGCTGGGTTTGTGTGTACCTGCAGGCAGGCTGTGAGGCGTTCGCGGTCAAGTTCGAGGTGCCTACGCGCCTCGGCGGACTCCTGCAGGAAGGAGGTAATCTTCAGTATGAAGACGACGCTGAAGGACGTCACGCACGACACCGTGTGCAGCTCGCGAGGCGCCAATACGATGGACGACACCGCCACTGCCGCCGCATAGAGGAGGACCCGACCGTCACGGTCCCCGCGGCAGCGTCCAGGCTGTCGAAGCGGCAGCAGGAGTGAAAGAAGATGAGAGTCCGTGTCTGAGTGGCTGGGTTCGGCAGCGGTGCGCGTGTGTATGTCTGTGTGTGGAGGGTTCAGTCATGGACCTGAGTTGGGGGAGAGGAGCGGCTGACTGAGAGGAGCGGCTGAGTTGGGGGAAAGAGATGCGGGCGGCTGAGAGAGTTGGGGAGAGTGATGTGTCGACACAGACTTGGGGTGCGTGTTCTGTGTGGTTCATTCAGTGTCCAGACATGTTGTGAGTAACTCATTGATAATCGAAAACGCGAAGCACTCACGTTCAGCCAAGTCAGTCTCGCGTCGACGAAGTCTTTTCACACAGCAGCACAAACGAACAAACCAGCCACTCGGGTAAGTCCTCCTCGCTCGTGTGGCATTTCTTTCCCTCTGCCCAATAATGAGAAAATGGAAAGCAACGAAAACAACAAAGGAGCGAGCAGCCGCCAAATGATTCCATCCAGCAGAGTTCGTGGGTCTCTGACAGCCAGGAGGTGGGGTTGCAGTCAGTGCCCATCCACAAGTGCTGTCAACATAGTAAACACGCACACCCACTTTGGCCGGGCTGGCGGTCAAAGAGTACAGCAGCCAGCACCTACGGGCACCTCGTGTGGTGTCGGTTGAGGCCAGTCCAAAGCGCTGCTGTGTCGGCAAATCTGCCTGCCTGCCCGCCTGCCAGTCACCGACCACACGAGACACAAATCAGGTAGGCACACGTACGGCGTAACTCCGCATGAAAACAAACACGCACACATGGAAACAGCCAGCGCCCTGCCCTCACGCACCCGTCGATCCACCGTTCTTATCCACGCACCATACGCTTAGCGAAAGTGCTCTACGTGCTTCGCGCACTTAGTGTGGAGAGAGTGCAGTGCAATAAGTGCGTCACGTGTAAGGTTCGGTTCTCCTTGACGCCGCTCGTCTGTGTGTCGTCCATTCCATCCATTTCATCATCCACACACACACACACACACGAGCAGTAAATATTCGACCGGCCGACCGTGCAGGCAGGCGGACATCCAACTACCGATAAGAACAACAAACAGCGCATGCCATCCACTCGTCCATCCACTCGTCCACTCAGCCATTCCCACCCCCTCCCCCGTCCATGCCGCCCACCACTCCCTCAGGCGGACACTCCAAGAGGGCCGCAAGAGGGGCAGTCAGGTCAGCAAGGAACTTATCATTAGCTACGGGCACCGACCAAGAACAACAGACAACCGAACAGCCGGGCAGAGTCACCACACCATAAATAAACCCGCACACGACACACGCCAGCCACACCAAACAGGACACACAAATGTCGTCCGGCCAGGCAGCACACACGCCCCCATCTCCCCCCCTCCACACACAGGTTTCTGTCTGGCTACCCCTTTCCCCCTACAAGCACTCCAAGAGGCGACCAAGAGAGAGAGAGGTACCCTTGCTGTCGCATTAGTGGTGCTGTTGTATGCGTGTGTGTCTGTGTGGGAGGGGGTCGGTGTGAAGTCCATCGACCTGCATGGACAGCACAGCACAGCACAGCACAGCACAACACCAGACGAACCACGCACTGCAGTACACCATCCATCCATCCAGCCATTCCGTTCAATGCACACACACACACTTGAGGGAGGTGGCCAAGAACACATGCATACCTACAGAGAGCCAAGTTGTCAATCACGCCAATCCTCAAAGGGCTGCCGTGCCGCCGACGGCCGGGATGGGGAAAAAAGCGATGCCGACCGAGTACAAAGGCGATCGTCATGGCATGACTGACGAGGGCACAATCAATGTCATTCAGCTGCGGGACGCGCAGGACAAACAAAAGCGATGGAATGACTGGCGCTATTACCTAGCTGCCGAATGAAAGGTACGAGTGCCAGTCTCACTCACTCACTTACGCCTACAAGTCAGTCAGTCAGTGCTGTCTGTCTGTCTGTCTGTCTGTCAGGTATCCACCGGACATGAACGCACTGCATTCATTCATTCAGGCAGGTCGTGTGTGAGTGTGTGTCCCCCAGAGTGGGTGGGTGTGCGTCTCGCGGGTCGCTGCTCAAAACCAACAATGTGGAGTTAGTCAGTCAGTCAGTGTAGCAAGTCACTGCGGATGCATCGGATCGACCTTTGTGTGCTCGAGCCGCACCTCAAACCGCCAAAGCAGTGAGGTGAGTGAGTGAGTGAGTGAGTGAGTCGAATGAACCGTGGACCAAAAATACAATAAATACGCAGTCAGTCAGTGGTAGCAAGTCGACACGGATGCACACAGGCATGGCGTTACGCTCACGCCTCTACACGCATCTCACGCATCCATCCATCCATCCGCCGTCAATACGTCAACATGGATGGGTCACCCACGCTCACACCTCTCTCTCGCTGTATCTATGTGTGTATGTGCGCCATCCACCGATCCATCCAACAACCATCGGCCACAGAAGTGTCGTTCCGATGAGAGCAATGCGGCCCGGTCTGCCCACATCACTCACACACGCAGACCGGGCCGCTGACCACCCACCACCAATCGATGCAGGCACCACCGAGAAGAGTAGAGAAGGCACACAGTTGTGTGTGTGCCGTCGATGGATGGATGGGTATCGTACACACCCGCCCGCCACAATCGCCGCACTCTCTATCACTCCCTCCGCCCACCCACATAGCCCTGCTGACCTGCCTGTCTGCCTTCGCTCAGTCAGTGTCGGTCGGCTCACGATTGTCACCACATGAAAGTGAATTCGTCAGTCATCCATCCATCCATCCACACACACACACCGACCGATGCAGCCAGCCAGCCAGCCAGCCAGCCGCAGCACACGCTCAGCTGTCGAATCTCACGCTCACTCGACTACTCATAAACCACGAAGAATCAAGCGCCTGTCTTCTGCACCCATTGTTTGTACCGACGTATCTCATTATGGCCACGTTTATCTACTCTGTACATGTCGCTCACGCCCCTTCTCATCCCAACCGACCTCCCGCCCCGACAAGCACCACCACCTCCACCACCAACACCACCCGACTGTTTCGGTCAACGAGAACACCACCGACGCACATGAGTAGACAGACGGGGAGAGAACAGCGACACATTGCACCCAGGCACAAAAAAAAGGTATCGTCACGCACCATACGGTGGGACAAAAAGCATAGGATAAACAGTATCGTCACGCACCATACGGTGGGACAAAAAGCATAGGCCGAGTAGGGCTGATGACTCAAGAGCAATACCGTACATCCATACCATAGAAAAGAAAACAAACAAACAAACAGCCATCCACTCCCGTCTGTCTACATATGGGTGCGTGGGGCCTCCTCTCGTGTGGTGGCGGTGGGTGGTGGGTGGGGTGCTCCTCGTCGCACACGCTGCCCTCGTCGGCCGGAGAGGGCACAGACGGGGCCACGGGACGACGTGTCACTGGGGCGTATTGGTGGGGGCCGGTGCGAAGCCAGGCATGCCCGCTGCATAGGCTGCTGGTGGTGCGGGTGGTGCGAATGCGGGTGCAGGCGCTGCCTGTGGTGCTGGCGGGGTCGGTGAAGGGAAGAGCATGGCCGGCGGTCCTTAGCCGCCTCCGCTGAGCGACGAAGCCCTCGGCAGCGGGGCGCTCGCCTCCTCCGATGACTGTTGCTGGGGTGCGGGTGGTAGTTGGATGACGCTGGCCTTCGTGTGTGGGCTGCTGTGAGCAACGGGTCTGCCGGATGGCCTCGCCCGCCGCTCACTCGACCAACGGGTCTGCCGGATGGCCTCGCCCGTCCCTCGCCGAGTGCCCAAGGCCCACATGCGAAGGCCGCCGTCAAGCGACCAACTCTCACCTGTAGGTCGAACACATACAGACAGAAGTGAGTGAGGTGCATTGTCTGTCGCGTATCAGAGCTCGCCCATTCCCAATCCCTCACCAGGGTGAGACGAAGCCCTCGGCAGTGGTGCGCTCGCCTCCGATGACGTCCGGCCACCGAGACCGGCGTCCACAATCGCGCCGCCCGACGACGCTGTGCAACGTGGCGCTGCCGGATGGCCGACGACCGAACGACATGAGGCCCTGCCGGATGGCAGGAGCTCATGGGGGACGCTGAGCAGCTGGCTTTAAAGCAGCCCTCGAGAAGCGCCTTGCCGTCACCGTTGCCGGTGGTCGGGGCTGGTGGCTGTGCCTGGCCTGCAGCAGCAGCTGCTGGGACGAGGGATGGAGTGGGTACGGCAACCTCCTGCTGCCGCAACTGTTGCTGTGGTGCGGGTGGTGGTTGGATGAAGCCGGCCTCCCTGGGCACCGCACGCGGCGACACCGGGGGCAGCATGACCGGCCTGACACACACGAGAGACACCAAGGGCAGAGGGACGGTTCATGGGACGGTGGACTGGATGAGAGCGAGTGTCTGTGCGTCTGACTCACTCGAAGTCTTCGAGTTCTTGCTGTGGGATGGGAAGCTGTTTGGGCAGCTCTTGTCGGGGCTGCTCCACCTGCACCTGAGCCGACAGGGGCTGCTCCTCTGTGCCGTACGATGACGGGGCCGCCGCAGCAGGTGCCCCAGGGAGCTCCTTGCCGTCCTGGATGCTGATCTGCTCCTGTCTGCTGCCGTGTCGGAGGCTCATGGATGCCCATCCTGAGCGAGTGAGAGAGCAACGGACAACGCACACAGACACGGGTGCGTGAGTCTTTGCATGTGTTGTGTATGTGTGTGGTGGGGGTGGGGGTGTGGATGTGGTGTGGATACTTACGTTTGTATATGTTCAGTATCCTCCCCCATGGCTCTGGCGATGGACGCCATGCCCAGCTCATAGCTCTCAGGGATCGCCACCAACGATGCAGCTGCTGCGGCGGCGCCGACCACCTCGGCCTCCTGCCCACCCTCACGCAGGGCGCGGCGCGGTAGGTCTGCACAGATGCCGCCGGTCGGAGGCCGGAAGGTGCGCGTGGGGAGGGGAGGCAGGGCGGCTGCTGAGTGGTCGCTCGTAGCAGAGCTGGCCTTCGTGTGTGGGCTGCTGAGAGACGGTGTGGCGGGGCATACGGCCCCCGGCATCTGCAGAGCCGAGACGGCACTCTCGCGGCCTGGCACGACCGACGACCACCTGCAGACACACACACGTGACATCCATGGGAGCACGACAAGAGATGAGAGGTGACCTTCACCGTGTGTATGTGTGTGTGGGTGGGCCTCATACCTTGCTCCTCCCAGGCAAGAAGCGGGGAGTCGTAGAGGGATGGATGAGTGAATGGGCGGCGGCTGACTGCAGCCGGCCTGCAGAAGGACAACAGGCAGACAGACAGACAGACGAGGAGCTCAGAGAGGTCGACCACATGTGTCTGTCATGTGTGCGCATCTGTGAGTGTTCCCGAGTGTGTGCCTGGATAAACAAACATGGCGGGCGGGCCAGCAAACACACACCACACCACACACAGCGGCCTTCAACCTGACCTGAAGCAGCCAACCGACGAAAGACATCCGTGCGCCAAGTGCATGTACGATGTACAGCACTTCCCGCGTACCGGTCGGTGGAGTGCGTGCGTGGAGGGAGGGAAGAAGTGCCTATCATTTCCTTTTTGGTATTGCCTTCTTGTGGGCCTCTCTTTTCCCTCTCCCGGCCTTCTTTAGGGGGCCTTTGGCTTTGCTTTCCCTCTCTCTCTTCGTCCCTCCCCTTGTCTGTCGGGCAGCCAGCCACCGAGTAAAAACTGACTAGATGACGTCAGAAATGACAGGAAAAATGACTAAAGATGCAATGCCGCACACCGACAGGCCCGACGAACGAAATTGAGAGGGACAGCCAGGCGAAAACGAAACCCATCGGCGATGCGGACACGTGTGTGTGAGTGTGAGGGGCAGAGCCGTCATCAGCCAGGACATGAAGGGGGAAAGGGACACACATGCATGCAGCCATCACACAAAGAATTTCGAAGGGCACCACGGCCAGACAGCCGGTCATGGGCCCCTCCTTTTCTTGTCTTTTTTTGCGGCGGTCAGACGCACGCAGCAAGCATTATGGTACACGAGGCCCCTCACACAACACACCCACGCCAGCCAGACGACACACAGACGCCAGACGACACACAGACAGACAAAAGAATGGGATGCACACGCCCTCCCACTCACCTCACCCCACCCTCAGACACACACAACCCCGCCCCACAACACGGACGCATAAATGACGGTAAAAACTGAGTAAAAAGTGACACACATGGGGGACGGCAGCGGGCAGGCAGAGGTGGATAGATGGACGTGTGGCGCATCACGACGACACCTCCCTCTCTCTCCTCGCTCACACGCACCCACCACACGTGGCGACGCACTCATACACATCCACATCAATGCACTAGAATGCATCCACACGGCCCGTCCGTTGGGCAACACACTGATGGGTGGGTGGGGGGAGGGATGGACCATGCAGGCACCAAAAGGGCCGTCTGCTCTCACATCTGTATAAACACGTGCACCCTCTCTCTCTCGGAAGGCGCCGCACACAGACAGACACACACACACAGCCACACACAGTCAACGGCTTGGCCGTAGGTACACATCACGGCACGGCAGACAGCTGCCTGCACCATGCATTCATTAAGTTAAAAATTAGGCTCACTCACAGACAGATGCACTTAGGTATGTTCTGTTGTGGTGTGTTGCCTTGTGGTGGGCTCTGTGTTAGTTAGTGCCTCTCCCTCTCCCCCTCTCTCCTTGTCCCTCTCTCTCTGGCCATTGTGGTGTGGCCATTGTCGTGCAGTGCGGGGTCGGAAGACATCACCAACCCAAGATGACACAAAAATATCCCGTAGGCATAGAATGGGATGGCATGTGTGTGTATGTGTGTGAGGCTGGGGTGTAAACGGACTAAAGTAGGCCACACAAAGGAAAGCAGCACAGCCGATCTAAGCAGCACAAACATCGCTCATTACCATGACAGCACAGACACCTACCTCAAGACAGACAGACAGACAGACGGACGGACAGACAGCCAGGGAGGAAGGAAGGAGACAGGCAGGGAGGAGAAAATCCAAAGCCTTTCCTCTCCTACGGCAGTCACAAGGCATTATAAACACACACACGGGGTACCAGACAAGCTGTGCACACTACATGACGCAAAAATCGCATAAATCGCACAAATCATGTCAGTCGACTACTCACAAATATCTGCTGGGATGTGCCGTGTGTGTACGCTCCACTAATACGCAAGCAGCCAGGCCGCACACCACCCACACCCCCCACACCCACACCCACGCCACCGATCGACAAATCACTCACACGCACGCACAGTGTCCATTTCACTGCTGTTGAAAAAACTGACGAGGCTCTCTCTGCACCATCCCTCCCTCCACTCACACGACAGACATGTCAGCCATCCATCCACTTTGACCCATTCAAGCCAGCAACCACAGCCCTTCCAGCAACCACGGCCCGTCACCCATCACATACATATGACACAGACCATCGTCGCGAAAGCAGCACAAATATCACCGTTGTGCGTCCATCCATCCGTCAGCTAGCCAGCCATTCAGCCACAGCACCACACCCCTAGCGGCGCCGCGCGAAGCCAGGGCCGGGGGTGGCCAGGCGCGCCGCCGCTGCTGCCTGTCGTCCGCGCACAAACATGGGTGTGCCGGTGGGAGTGCGTCGGATGGTTGGCGGGGTCACCTTGACCCATCGGCTCGGGGGCACCACCCTTCGGCGGCTGGTCGCCTCTCGGCGGCGGGCCGCTTCAGCCTCCGCTTCAGCCTCCGCTTTCTCCGCCGCTTCCTCCGCCGCTTTGCGGACAGACGGGCGGTTGTGGTCGTCGTAGCGCACTCGCATGCCGCACGACGCCCGGTTCTCGGTGAGCAACTCCTGCTCCTCCTCATCATCCTGCTGCTCCTCCTCTGGGTCATGGATGGGCAGGAGGTCGTCCGGGATGGTCAGGAGGTCACCGTCGGTCTCCTGCGCGGCCTCGGGCTGCTGGTGCTGCGGGGCGCGGGTGTCGGTGGTACGATGGCGCGCGTAGTAGATTGGCGACGCGATGGGCACCTCCCTGGGCAGGTTGCGGAGGCGGTGGTGGTCATAGTCCTCCGTCGTGTCTGAGACGGGCGCCACGGGCGGCAGATTAGTCTGCGAGGTGCAACACAACACAACACAACACAACAGACATTGATTGCGTGTGTGTGTGTGTGTGTGCCTGAGTGGCCATCTGTGCTGTGTGGATTGTGTTTGTGTACCTGTCTGTGCCACTGCTCGCGGGGGACGACCCACCAAAGGCGGGCCTCCACGACGCGCAGGCGCTCGCGAATGGCCGACTCGCGCTCGCTGAGGGCTGCCTCGCGCTTCAACCTCTCCTCCTCCCGCCGGCGGATATCCTCGAGCCGCCTTTCCTCGAGCGCCTTCTCTTCTTCGTGACGAGGGATGATGGTCTCGATCCTGCGGCGGGTCTCACGGCGGCGAGCAGCACGTTCGTGTGGATGGCTGGGGGGCGGCCTGACAATGAATGTGGCACATCGAAATGAGCGAATGCATGGCGCCTCCTCTGTCTGTCTGTCTGTCTGGGTTTGTGTATGTTATATACGTACGTGGGGAGCAACCCCTGCTGCTGGCCGACCGTGACCATGCTGGGGATGGACTCCTCGAACGCCGCCTCACTGGCCCTCCTCGCCATCTCGTCCTGCTGCTGCTGCTGCTCGAAGACCAGCATGCTGCGCAGCGACTCCTCGAGCGCCGCCATGCTGGCCTTCTTGGCCTCCTGCCTGGCCTTCTCGGCCTCCCGCTCGGCCTCCCGCTCGACCCGCTCCTTGTGCTGCTTGAAGGCCGCGATGAGCTGCAGCTCGCCTACCGCGAACTCTAGGCGGCGGTAGGGAAGGCGTGTGAGGGGGGCAGTGCAGCTCCTGATCGCGCGGTGCGCGAGGGCGAGATACGAAGGGGGTCCTCTGTCTCGGCGCGCCCGCGGGATGCGGGAGGGGGGTGGCTTGATGGGCCCTGTGGCGGTGGTGGTGGTCCTGGGGGTGGGGGTGGGGGTGGTGACTGTGGCGGTGCTGTCGTGGTGGTGCTGAGAGCGAGTGCGGGGGGTGCTGTGGGTGGTGCTGGGCAGCCACACACATAGACCCATCAGCACTAGCAAAACAGCCGGGGGCAGGGGCACCAACACACACGCCACGGCGGCAGCACCACCGCACGCAATTGCCAGCATCACCGCCGGCACTATGGTGATGCTGGTGCTCAGGTCAGTGGCCGTGACGGTCGACGGCAGAGTGGCGTAGGCAGACAGGCGAGGGACCGAGTTGGAGCTCTTAAGCACCCCCTCCAGACGCTGGAGCTCCTTCTCACGCTCGTCGGCCGTCAGCGTTATTTGCACTGACGAGGCAGAGCGCACACGGTGGGCCTGCAGACACACACACACGGCGCCTTGGGTGTGCGAGAAGGTGCGAGCGTGTGTGTGAGTGTGACCTTGTCTTTAATAATCCCGTAGAGGAGCATCATGCCGAGCGGCAATGTGATGCTCACGCAGCCCACGATGAACCACACCATCTCGGAGTGACGCGAACCGGTCTCTGGGCAGAATGTGTCGAGCAGCCAGCCCGACATGGCGCCCGTCACTAGTGTGCCCATGAACATGGGCGTCGACGCCAACGCCATGTAAGTGCCCTCACGACCCTGATCAATCAAACACACACCGCAAACCACACACAGACAGACGGGGACACTCATGTGATGTGTCTGTGCTCCCGCCACCACCACATCCCCGTCTAACCTTTGCGGCAACGGCGACGGTGTACTCGTAGAATCGCGGATACCAAATCGCCTCGCCCAGTGACAGGAGGGTCACAAACCTACACACACGGGGAAATACAGGACAGATTGACAACAGCGGCCCCTCCCTCCCTCCCTGGCTGGCTGACCCGATGGCAGTGGTGTAGGTGTGTCCCATGGCGAGGAGGAACGGCGACAGCGCCGAGAGCGACACGCCGACGATTATCATCTTTAGTGGGTGGAGGCGCATGTTGACCAATGCGAGGAGGGGCACCACTATGGCCACACACAGCGGCTTGATGGCGATGATCGACCCGGACATGACATCCTTGCCGAACTCACGCACCTATACACACACACATACACACACATACACACACAGTGCACACACAGGGGTATGCTCCTGTGTGTGTGTGAGGTGCCCTGCCCACCATGTATTTTGGGAAGGTTGCGTCGAGGTGTCCGTATATCATGCGCACGCCCAACAGCAATACCACCAGCAAAAAGAACCGCCAGAAGCTCGGCTGGTTCAACACATCCCTGATACACACACACAGACACACACACACACATACAGACACAGACATACGATGCGAGCAGGCCAGCAAACATCCTCCCCTCTAGATGGCTCACTTGAATGCGCCGAAGAGCCCCTTCTGCTCGGTGTTTGTGTCGCGTGTGGCCTTCTCCCGGCCCGTATCTCTGCAGACCAGCCCCTGTGGCGACGTCGACACCTCCCGCATGCACACCAGCGATACCCCCAAACTGCATGCAACACACACACCCAGCACACAATGGCCTCTCTCTTGTGTGAGATGGCTGTGTGTGCTGGGTGTGCCTGGCTGACCTGACGAGGGTCATGACGGCCCCGGCGAATATGAGCAGCCTGGATGAGGATATCCTGTACGTGTGGGCGCCGAAGGCGATGGCCACGCCCGTCGGAAAGGCCTCGTGGATGGCATCTGCACACACGCCGACACATAGAGATGGGCTTCGTGTGCATCTGTGTGCATGGCTCTCTCTGTGTGTGTTCGTGGGAGGGGGGGTTACCAACTGTCGGTGCAGCGCATATGGCTGCGAGGCTCATCATGACGTAGAGGATGGAGTAGCCCAGGCTCCTGTTGCCCTCGTCAGTGTACCTTCGAATGCCAATCTGAACACACCGCACAAAACACAACCCACACACATCGTATCGTCGGCATCCATCACTGGCGGGCCTCGGTTCTCTCCCTCCCCCACCTGACCTGCATGACGGGAATGCCCATCGCCGAGCCCACGGGCAGCGCCGTGAACAGAATGAGCGTCAGGAGGTGTACGTCGGTGATGAAGGTCAGCATCAGGCGGGAGCAGAAGAGTATGGCTGTCCCGCCTACGAGGCTCCACTTGACCCCCAGGTTATCTATGATGATGCCGATGACAAAGCCGTACACTGACACGAGCATGCCGAAGATGCCGTACGCCAGGCCGGCCTCCTCGAAGCCGATCTCCTCGGTGAGGAAGGGAATGAGCGTGTGGGAGAAGACGAAGTAGGCGTACGATTCGAGGTACTGGAGGAGGAATATCAGCCACAGCTCTCGCGGGCACCGGGCGATCGACGCCACTGCAGTGGGAAAGAACATCGGTACTTGTGCGTGTGTGATAAACTTCTGCTGGCCAGAAAGCGCTCTAACAGCTAGCTGTTATGCTGTTGTGCTAAAGGGTAGCTTGCATGCATCGTAGCTTGGGAGCTCGCAAAACCTTAGGGTGCCCCACAAAACAATTCCCTGTACAGACGAAAATGCTCTCTTCACAAAACACCAGATGGGGATCTTGAGGAGAGAATCACTGTATGGGGTGGTCATGCTGTCAAGACTGAAGATCTCTGCACAAGACACGTATCCCATCGGCAGAAGTTGGGATGGATGGGATGCTGTCCGCATCCAGATGCCTCGCCACATCCCATCCATCTCAACGCAGCGGCTTTACCAACGGAAATGCGCGGCCGTTCCATGAGTCGGCATGGCGGTCGACAACAGCACGCAATGCACCTGGTCCACCAAGCGGCTGTCGGGGCTATTCATCGAGCGTCCAGGCCGGTGAATGCCAATGACTATACTGAGAAGGCCTGGGAGGCGATCACAGAGGTGACTCCGCTGAAAGAGAGGAATCAGCCGCCGTGCTGAGGCGGATCTGCTCAACCAGGGACCAGATGGGCTTGCGCATCGCATTCTCTTCAAGGGTGAGGTGGCGCACGGGTGGGCAAGGAAAGCGTTGATGCACATTTGTCTTCCTGCCATCAGCTGAAGGAGTACCTCGAGCACGGGGCGCGTTGGACAGGCCGGCTGGAAGGTCTCTCATCAACGTGAGTTGTTGAGGGAGGTCTGCCACTAAAGGAGGATGTGGAAGTGTGTGAGTGTAGGCAGGTCTTGAATACGGCCAAGTCGATCAAGGGCCGCTTCACAGACGAGTCGGATCTGTTGAGCACCTGCTGCTGGCCCTAGCCGAGGCCGACACTCGCTTCAAAAGAGGCTCTGCAGCACCAAGGCATCACGCCTGAGGCACTCCTTCAGGCGGTCAGATATCTGCGCGGCTCTCGTCGCGTGACGACCAAGACGGCCGAGGGATCATACCAGGCACTGGAGAAGTACGGCAGGTACGAATCAAGGCACGCAGTTGTTGCTCTTGCATGAATGAGCTCTGTTGGTGCAGGGATTTGAATGAGCTGGCGAGCGAGGGCAAGCTGGACCCCGTCATCGGGCGTGACGAGGAGATCCCGCGGGCGACACGAGAGAATCTGTACGTGCGTGTGGGGTCCATGTAGCAAGAACAACCCGATTCTGCTGGGTGACCCCGGTGAGGGCAAGACGGCCATCGCTGAGGGCCTGGCGCAGCGGATCCTCCTCGGTGACGTCCCTGACTCACTAAAAGGCCGACGACTCATCGCCCCCAACATGGCATCCGCGATCGCAGGTACACACACACACTTACACACACAAACTCTCTGACCGATGCATATATACTTCTAGGTGCCAAGTACCGTGGCGAGTTTGACAAACGGCTCAAGGGCGTGTTGAAGGAGGTGAGTGACGCCCAGGGGCAGGTCGTCATGTTCATCGACGAGGGGGCGGGCGGGGGCGGCGAGTCGGGCGGCATGGATGCGCAACATACTCAAGGTCAGTGCAACAAAACCATTTGCTCACTCTCACATATTCCAGCACGACTGTCTGTCTGTGTGTCTGTCTCTATGCCTGTATGTGTGTTGGTAGCTGCGGTACATCGGGCCGACGCTTTCAGTCGGTCTATGTGGACGAACCGGCCGTGGACGCATGAGCGGTATGAGATGCATCATGGTGTGCGAATCCGCGACTCTGCCCTGGTTGCCGCCAGCAATCTCGCTAATCGATACATCAGCGATCGGTTCTTGCCCGACGAGGCCATCGACCTGGTGACGAGCCCGCCGCAAAGCTCAAAGTGCAGGTACGCACACAGTACCCGCTCACACACATGTGCTGGAGTCATGTTGTGCTGAACGTTCAGGTGACCAGCCGCCCAGAGGATCTTGACGCGATAGACCGCCAGATAGTGCAGCTGGAGATGGAACGGATCAGCATCAAGGAGGACGTGCGAGCAGGGTCACTGCAGAGGCCATCCAGCGGTCACGGGCCGGCCTCTCTGACCCCAACCGCTTCATTCGCCGCTTCGCCGGGTCGAACAGTGGATTCGTGCGCGGCTGTCGGTGTGCCTGGCTCGTTCGGTGTCTGCGTGTCTGCGGCGGCGCAGGAGGAAGGGCCAGTAGCACTGGCTGTATCAGAGGGGGCGCTGGGGCTGGAATGTTCATTGGGAGCCACTCGTTTTCTGAGGGTGCCGTCCCTGTGGATACGCGTGTGGATATTGTGTGTTGCGTCGATTGGCTGCCTGCCTGTGCGTCCTCGTGTGCTTGAGCATCGGCCTATTATTTCTGCTGATAGGCCAACGTGTGTGGACCCCGGCACACCGTCAGAAGCATCGGCAGGATTTGACGTTTTGTGTGATGCAGAGAGGGAAGCATGTCCACGTGTGTGTTGTGATGGGTGCAGGTAGTGTCTCCGACTATCGATCGCTGGTCACTTGATGCAAATGGTCACTTGATCCATTCCAGCCATCCGTATATCTCTTGACCTTGACCGATATCCATTAACTCACATCACACCGGCTCTCCGCCAAACCCCGCAGCAAGCAAATCCATGCGTCCATCCATCACGGTTCACACGTACACGTGTCTCTCTGTCAGCCATCCCTACATCCCTCAATCCGTCCCCTTTCCCCCCCAGCTCATGCCACCGCCTCCGCTTTTGCTCTTCATTCACTGCCTGCGGATGCAGCTCGAGCAAACAGACGAATCTGTAAATCACAGCAACGATGAGACGCCTAGTGAGTGAATCCGCAGACCGCTGCTGCTCGCGCGGCAGCTAAGTAGGTAAAGGCAGAAAACGACCGACCGACAAGACACCGTAGTGTGCGTAAGTAAGGCGGGAGTGTGTTATGTATGTGTGTATGCTCACCCGTTGGTAGCCTTGCTGTAGGTGTGTCCATAGTCGACGATGAGGCCTTGGCCAGCACGCGGTTGTCGTTCACCCTCAGAACCGCTAATTGATTGATTGATTGATTGACACACAAGCAACCGACCAACCAATCAGCGAATTAATTAATGCGCACACATACCTCAACAGCCCTTCAGCCATCCATCCACACGGCATTGCATCGACGATAAATGCATCTGTGTCTCACAAAATCGAGCTTACTGCATACCGCCAGTATAGAAGGGAGCTTCTCGAGCTGTGCTGGCGCCAAAGGATGCCGATATTGCTGAAATATAGGGCCGACCGCGATATGAAATGAAGACAGCGATGTCTCTGCCAAACAGACAGACAAACAAACGGATGGGCGCATACCTATAGCTATGATGTATCTGTATTTGTTTTCATTGAGACATCTCCTGCGTACCTGGCGTCGACACACACACACACACACGCAAATCCACACAGAGAGTAATGAATTAGGAGGGGGGACTCCAAGCTCTTCCTCGTCGGACTCCAAGCTTTCCTCCGTTGCATCAGCCACCGTGTGGCGGAGCTTTCGAGACGACGCACATCAGAGAAAGCAAGATGAAGACCAACACGGCCAGTGGTAGCAGCAGACGCAGCAGAGATCGGTCATGCTGCAGATGACAGGTGGCAAGCAGCAGCGGTTGGTTAAAAAGCAGGGAAAGGCGATGCAGAAGGGGATGGGAAAAGCCACCGAGCAAATTGCCGCCGAGGGGTTCGAACCTCAGCGCGCGCAGCCTGTGTAGAGCGCGCACAGCCTGTGTAGAGCCAGGGCGTCTGTGTCGGTCAAGGCGTCTGTGCAGAGCAGCCTTTTGCGGCTCGTTTTGTGGCTGTGTCGCTTGGATAGTATCAGTGGGTACAGGGGGGGTTGGACAGAAGCCTTGTCTGTAGAGGCAGCCTTCTCTTCTTGCCGATGATGGATGGCAGCTGCCCACCCGCAGACAGACCAAACGACTTCACACACACATGGTCACACACACGCAAAGAAAGGCACACAAGTGCATGTGTGTGGTGCGTGTGGTGCGCGTGGGCACTGCCCCCCTCCCTCCCTCCCTCCCTCCCTGGCTCACCTTGACCGCTGTGCCGAGGGTCATGTTGCTGGCGGCGCCATGGGCTGGCGTGTGGGCAGAGACAAGGCTCCGTTGGCGTATGATGTTACATATCATCACCACAACACTGAAACAGACACACCCGAATCCACACAGCAAGATATGAATCATGGGCCAAGATCCATGCTTCTGCGGTGCATATTTCTCACCCAGCGACGCACAGGAACGTAAGGAGGCCGATGTCAGAACCCCATCGGGCATTGGGGTGCGGCTGCTCGTCGTCAACCAACAAACCAACCAACAAACCAACCGACAGACAAGGCGAAGCGTGAGGTCTGGTTGTAGGAGTGTGTTGAGGTGCGTGCGTGTGAAACGTTGACCCCTACCCTGTGCAGACGACTTGGTTGAGCTCTGTAGTCGACAGGCAGGCGCTCCAGCGACACAAGGTCACCTCGACAATTGTTGGCCATGGCAGCGGTATTGTGATGAAGTACAGGGCCGACCTCGATATAAAATGTAGGCAGCGATGTCTCTGCCAAACAAACAAACAAACAGACACATGAACGGACATTCAGTGTGATGTATCTGCGCACGTGAACGCGACGCTTAGAGCTCTCCGTACCGGGCGATTCGTTGTTCGAGGGATGATGTGGACAAAGCCTTGCAGATATAAAATGTAGACAGCCATCCGAGGAGGGCCCTCCCCCCTCTGCCGCAAGCACCACACGACGACTCCAGGTACATCACAAGGAGTATCAGCCACAGCTCACGCGGGCAGCGGGCCATCAACGCCACTGCAGTGGAGAAGAAGGCCATCTGCAATGCGAATTCAGCGGTCTACCGTGTCTGGAAAGCCGAATGGATCAAGCTGCGGTCCAAAGAAGCCTGTTGGAGCGACCGAACGACAAAACATCAGTAGCTACCCATCGCAGCTGCGGGCCTTCGACGGCGCTGCAGCGGAGATGAGCATCGGTACTTGTGCTGGTATTTTTTGCAAAAAGCGCGGTAACAGCTCTGTGCAGCTATCAGCTCTGTGCAGCTATCAGCTCTGTGCAGCTGGTAGAAGTTGTGCTGGTATTTGTTGAAAAAAGCGCTGTAACAGCTCGCAACCTTAGGGTATGTCTTGAGCTCGTTCTCGAAGCCGTCCTCCCACAACTGCTCGACTAAGATGCTCTCACGCCCTGCACAACCAAGGGGCACACACAACACACATGGCACGTGGGAATCTTTCTTTCTTGCGAATGGACGCTCTCTCACTGACCGTCAACAATGCCTTTGAACACCCTCCCGTACAAACCAATGCCCACACAGTACTCAAAGGGGTTCCGCCAGTCGGTGGCGTAGAAAACCACCTGACCACCACACGCCACACACATCCAATCCAATTATGTCCTTGAATGCATTCTGCGTGTGTGTGGGGGCTGCCATCCATCGACTTACATCGGAAGGGTACTGTTTGGTGCGGAGGAACTTCCGTGGAGGATGCCATGTCGTTGGCGGCGCCGCGGGTGTCGCCTTCGCGCTGACGATGGGGGTGATGGTCTCTGGTGCCTCCTCGGAGATGCTATGAAGTTTCTTGTCAGGTTCAAACTTGGGCCGCTTTCTGCCCTTCTTCATCCTGGGGGGCAGTGTGGGCGTGTCGGTGGTGGGGCGGGGGCGTCGCCCTTTGCGTTGACGATGGGCTTCTGCTGCTCGCCCGCAGACAGACCGAACAACTGCACACACACACACATCAAGAAAGAAAGGCACACAAGTGCACGTGTGTGGTGCGCGTCGGCACTGTCCCCCTCCCTCTGTCCCTCTCTGGCTCACCGCGACGGGCCTCTTGAAGTGCTGTGGTGCGGTGACGATGCACCACTTGACGGCGGGTCCGAACGTCAACACCCCGATGAGCCAGCTTCCACCAGTCGGACCCCTCGTCGCTGTGCGCATAGCATACAGGACAGGCAGAGCAGACACAGAAACCGGACTGACTGACTGACGTATTGGTGCCCATCGTGTTCGTTCTTCGTGTGGTGTGGGTGTGTGGGTGCCCATATGCATGCAGTACACACCTGTTTCCCTCCTGTGCATCATGGTAGACGGCGTCGTCTGCATCATGGTAGACGGCGTTACTGTCGTCCTGCTGTGGTGACATGGAGGTCTTGTTGGAGGGGAGCAGCCAGATCACCCCCACTAGCAGCAGCAGCAGTGGCAGTGACGGGGGGATCAGTACGCAGGCCGCAGACACAAACGTCATCACAACTATCACCAGCACCAACACCGCCTCAGTGCCCTGCACACACACACACACAGTGAGAAAACTCTCGTCCATGTCTCC